TTGTAGCAGTTAGGTGATTGTTATTAAGTAAAAACCATATTTATTGATCATAAATGGAAAGGTATACTACGGTTCATTGGCAAGATATTTTTATATTTTTAAAAGAATTTTGAACTTTTTTTTGTGTGAGTGTGCATAAATGTAATTTTTGGAAATACGGATGCCCCTACATGACATCAGAAAATGAGATCGTTTACTATACTAAATAGTACTATAGTAAATTTAAAATTATTGGTAATTTTATCACATTTCCTCAACGAATATCTTTAATAAGATTATTTGCCTAAATTTTTAAGATTCCTGGATAAATAATTATCTAAAAAAGATGTTCACTTTGTATTCTTCAAATAATTTTTTACATCTAAGTGCCCTTTACTTAAAAATGTCAAACTTTCTGCTGTCCATAAATCTGTCAACACCTCATAAAACTCGCACCTCCATGTTAAGAAAAAAATGCTTTTCTGTAATATTTTAAACTAAAATTAATATTTGCTTTAATTCAAATTAAATGTTAAATCAGTTAATCTTCTACAAATAGTTTCAGAAAGTACATTTTTCTTCATTAATAATTTTAAACCTTAGATATCATCCTTTTTTTTTTTTTTTTTTTTTTTTTTTTTTTTGGTGGGTGGGGGGTAGTGTTAGGTCTCTCACTGTTATCACATTTTAAGAATTTAAAAAAAAAAAAACAAACTTAGCTATTAAGACTATTAGTTGAGCTATGATGACACAGTTCTAGTTCCTATTATAGCCTATTAGTCAACTAAATTATTAACATTCTGTGGGCATAAACTGAGTTTGAAAACAAATGTGCAATTTACCCCCTTTCTACTTACTGCAATAACAATTGGATATGTGCACAAGACTGTCCTGGAGGCAATAATCTTATATTCATAATTTTTAATCTGTTACAGGATTTACTAAACTTAGGCTTAATTGGAGCACTATACCCAATCATGTCTTTTTGTCTTTTCTACAAAGTTTTAGGGGGTTATAAACTTCAACTTCAGGGAGCAGAAAAAAAAAATACTAAACCTTGTACACTTAGATAACATTTTATTCATTGCATCTATTTCCTTCTATCTGCCAGTCTTTTAGGTTCAAACACCTTTTCAAATAGAGTATATTAAGTTTATTTTCATTTTTTTTTTTCTGGTGCTTGTCACAGTCTAAACTTCGAGAACACTGCCCCCCCAAAAAACTTAAAAAAAAATTTTTTTATTTTTTTTTTTTTCATATTTCTCTGCTGCTTAGTCATTTAATGTTTCCCATTTTTATTTGCTATTCTACAAAAATGGGCATCTTTATTTTTGTATTCACTTGAGAAAATTTTATAATAGGTAAATTTATTTTAGAATTTTTTTTAATATTAAAGAATTCTTTCCTTGTCTATCACTTGTGATTTTTCGAGTTGGCTGATTTATTGAAATCACTAATTCTCTTTTTACTGCATCAAACTCACTGAAATGCAAGAAAATTTTAATTGCTTTTGTGAATAAGATGGACACTTTTGTCTCAAATCTTTCATCAATGAATAATGAAATTTTACAGGAATTTTCATTTTCTTTTTAGCTGCTTGAAAAGCTGATGTTACATTGATAATTGATCTAGTCTCATGTTAGTGGTTAAGAGAACCAGCCTAATAACTGAACTAAAACTGGCCATGTTTCTGCCCAAACACACTTTTAGCGTTTCAGTATTTGATAATAACAAGGGTTGCATATGCCTCGTGTAGTAGGGGTTTGTTCCTCTAGGTGATTGGTTGCTAAAGAAGTATGTCTACCTTGATTTCTTCAGTTTTTCTTTTAATTTGACTAGAAATGGTTTCATGCCTTTTTTTCAAGTACATAGTAAAACATTGACAGAATTTGAACTCTACATACCAATTTCACTTTCCACACTGATAGCCATTACGCTACCAGAACATTTAGGTTGTGACATATACCAAATCAAAAAGGTCTTGTCCAATAACTTAGAATACGTTTGCCATTAAGAAATATCTGAAAACATCCAATTTTACACGGGTCCACTCAAGAGTTGATAGTTCAAGCTCCGGGAATATCAGATAATTACAAGTCCTTAGACTGTTAAAGACTAAATTTAAATATTGTCTCTTTGTGTGTGTCTGCATTTTGGTGTCTAAGATCTCTATCTTTTGCTCTGCTTAAGTTTCATTGGCTTTCTCACTTTTTGTTTTAAAGAAAAAATATGAAGTGTCTAATTTCATTTAGACATATCGACACATTAATTGTATTGCTTAAAGTTTGTATCTGCTGTTAAAATGTTTTGGTTATTTTTATAGCTCTTTTTGTTAGCTTTATTATTAATGCCAGGTAAGCACTTGATAACTCTTAAAGGCACATTGCTTTTGATTTTAAAACTTTGCATTTGATGATCACTGATTAGTCAACAAAGCAGTTTTGGAGAAAAAGTTAGATATTTTAGAACTTCCTATTTTTCTTATGCAATTATATCATTTTATCTGTATTTTTTTTTTTTTTTTTTTTTTTTTTTTTTAAAGCACATTTTTGACTAAACTTTTACCAACTTTTGCTATTTCTGATTTATCTTGGTGTAACTTTCTGTAAACATTATTTGAACTTTGAAATTAACTGTTTTGAGATATGACCTTTCTGTTTGAATTGAAACAAAATTCCTCTTATGAACCTCCATTTCCCACCTTTGGTGATTAGTTATTAATGTATTTCACAACCTACCTTATATAAAAGTCTAAATTTCTTCCCACACCAGCTGACTGACTTATTTCCCTCACCAGGTGTCAAAACACTTTTTCTTTCTCTTATAATCACACTAACAATCACTATATAGTTGAACTTGATTCATCTGTTATGACCCAAAAAATGTGCAGGAAAGAACCATTCTCTCTATTCATTTTAATGTTTTCAGTAATAATAATTCCTCTATTTAAAAACACAAGTCTAGTGTTACAACAAATTGTGTATAGACTAATTAATAGGCTGTCAAGCTTGAAAGTAAGCCTTTTTGAAAATAATTTTCTCTTAAAGCAAGTCTTTCAACTCCTGATTGTTTTATATTTTCATGAATTCAAACTGAACTATAATGAACATGAATCAAATATAAATTCTGCATTTGGAGGCAATGATATTAGTGAATAAACAATATTTTGGTTCAAAAATTCTAAGTGTAGATTGCAACTTAGAAAAACTGAGATAGGTCAAACAAAATTATCAGTGAGGATTAGATTATAGTGTGTGTAATGTATTTTGAAGAAGGCCTAAAAATACAATTGTCAATGTTAACAAAGATGAGCATGGTGTTTCAGATTTTTAAAATAAAAAAAAAAAAAAAAGCATATAATTCCTCATCTAAAAAATTCCAACAAAAATTAGTATAAATTAGAACTTGGAACAAACTTAAATACTTCTAATCATCATAAAGTGTTTGGTGAGAGTGAGATTGATCAGATATAAAAGGTTAACAAAACAAGTAAATATCAGGTAATCAGTCATTAACTTTTCAACTACTGACTTTCTGGAGGTCAAATTTGGTTATTTTTGCCTCAAAATGCAGCCAGTAGAACCTCAACAAATGTATACATTTTCTCCAACTTTGAGTTTCCATTGTAAGAATTACTAATTATCAAATTATTATTTGCTTATTAAATATCCAAAATTGCCAACATAACCAACTAAAACAAGAATATCTGGTTCCCACTCCTCCCTACTCTTTTGTACATGAGCAGAAGTTTATCCCTTGTTTCCTGTTTAGGATTGTGTTTCTGGTTCTGTCTAAAGTCTTCTAATTTTCTTTCATTCCCATTAACCCCTTGCATCTTAGTGGCATTATTGCCTTGCTTGGAGTGAATTGATTAAAAAATAAACTTTGAAATTGCCTTATTTTAAATTCTGGATTAACAGATCACAACATCTATCAGAGAGGAATTTAAATTCTTATTGCATTATTCAAAAAAAAATTTATCACATCAGCAGACAGCTATTAATGTCAACAACTGAGCACAAATAGTTATTAATTAAAAAATTTAGTAATTAATGTATATTATCCATAACTAGATTTACAAGAATGTCGTTTTAGCTAAAAATTTGAAAATATATATAAATACATAAAAAAAAAAATGCATATATTGTCAAATTTCTTTTTCCATAATATAGCTATTTGTGCTATGTTATAATGCTTATTACCTAAACAATAATAATAATACTGAATAAATTTTTTTAAACATGAAAGTATATTTAATCACATCTCCCTAATAGCTGTTGTGATCTGTAAACAAATTTTGTTGGTTAGTTTTTCTTATTTAAAAAAAACGTAAAACTTTGTCACATACTTTATGCCACACTCACAATTTTGAGGTTTAACTAAGAACATTATACACAATTATAAAACCACCTCTCTTTCTAATCTGGTAAAAAATATGAACGCCAGCACTTGCAAAAGAAACCCATCATGCCATCTCTTGACTCTGTAATGTTTACAGTTCATTTTCCTATTAAAAAAAAAAAAAAAATGAAAGCACATTTCTTTCTCCAATTCATTACTTGGTGCATGAAGATTGCTCTCCCTTTTTTTCCTTTAACTTCTAAAAACTGTTAATGAAATCTATTGAAATTGCTTGTTGTATCACTTTTTGGTGTGACTTCTGGTCACAGGCTGCCTCTGATACTCCTACAAGTTGTTTCTGGTGTCTTTTGCTTTACTCACTTGATTCTTGGAATCATAATAGACTACTCTGTCATGAGCTAAGCTTATCTCAGTCAGCATAATGTTATTGTCTCTGAATTTTATTTCCTGTTATCTTCAAAGGTAATTTGTATTGAAGTTATTGACATTTTTGAAAATTTGTTCAATAATGAAAAATTAAAGGGGGAAATTTTAAGGGGTTTAATGTAAATCATTCAACTGATGGAACTTGTCTTTTAGAATTTTCACTTTTAAAATTTCTGACAAAGTTATGCTGGTTTACCTTGTTTCATTTTATTTTATTTTATTTTCTCTTTCAGCAATGCTTTGATTGTGGTAGTAACAATCCTACTTGGGCCAGTGTCACTTATGGAGTGTTTCTCTGCATTGACTGTTCAGCAGTGCATAGGTCCCTTGGGGTACATGTAACTTTCATTCGCTCAACCCAATTGGACACCAATTGGACATGGCTACAACTTCGAGCTATGCAAGTTGGAGGAAATGGAAATGCAGTAAGTTTGTTATCTCTCACCTGGGAAGTTAAAAATAAAAACAGCTGTGATTTTAATAAAAAAAAAAAAGTCATGCTTGTAAGGATTTCAAACAGCAAGTGTGAACTCTAGTTTATTGCATTTTTGTAAGAAGATTAAACATGCAGAATGGATTTAGCCATGTACATAAAATGAGAGCATTTTTATTGAGTTTCATTATTTTTTTTAATTGTATTTATGTTAACCTTCTGGTTAACTACAGGGATGCTTTCCTTTGCTGCTTTAGGGAAGGGAACTGGTACTTTGACACTTGTATCCAAGTCTATTACTCACTTTTTTTATTTTATCATTTGTGTTTTTCAACTTATTTAACTCTCTTTTATCTAGTTATCCTTTTTCCGTCAACATGGCTGCACAACAAATGATGCTCAGCAGAAATACCATAGTCGGGCAGCCAGTCTTTACCGAGAAAAACTTCTTTCTCAAGCACATTCTGTGATGAAGCTTCATGGAACCAAAGTAAGGCTGCTAACCATTTTACCTTTTATATCAAATTTACTGTGTGCGTATATACACTTTATCTGGCTGTAAAATTTTTAATGCTGAAAGGTCTTAAAATTGATTTAAAAAAAAAAATAGTGAAAGGTCAATTCTATAGTTTTGCCTATTTAGAAATATTTATTGCAGTGGAATTAAGGTTTCAATCCAAATTTAATATTTTAATATGTAATTTACATACATAAACTTCTGTTTTGTCATGTAATGATTTTTAAACAGTTGATTTTCTTTACTAGCTTTTCAGTTTTCAATTAATCTTTCAAAAATTAACTTTTTTTTGTGGAAGATCAGATTACATCACAATAAAATAGCTGTAAAAACAGCTGTACTCATTTGAGAACTAGAATTTTATCTTAAACAAAAATTTCATTCTTTTATCATTATTTATCAAGACTCCAATCTATATTCCAAATGTGGGGACTTCTTCACTAAAATTGTAAACAGTTTATCTAATAAATCAAAGGTGAAAAAGAAAATCTTCAACTATACTATTAAAGCAGGAAAAATGTAACTATAAAAAGAAATCTAAATCTTTCTATCCATTTATACATGGCTTTATAATTTTAGCACTTTATTCAAATCTTTCATTATTATTTTGATTGAATTGTATATCTCAATTTTTATAACTATCCCTGCAGCTTCATTTGGACATTAATACCACCACAGAAGCAACAAGTCAGGTCAAAGAGGTTGATTTCTTTGAAGAACATTCTGAAAATTTTGATACCAATGACAACTCCTCCACTGTCACCACAAATGGCTTGTCAGATAGTGCCAAGCTTTATTCAGACCCCCAGCCAATTAATAATGGCAATACCCAGAATGTATCCTCATTACAAACAGCTGGTAAGAACCTTCTTTCCCTCCTTCTTTTTTTTCCATTCTTACACCTTTCATGTTTTGGATGGTTTTAATTTTTTTTTTTTTTTTTTTTTTTTGTGTATAGATCCTAATGAAGGTCCTAGTGTAGAAGCTGCATTGAGTATATCACCAACTCAAGTCCAAAATGAACCTAGAAAGTCAATACTTGGTTCTAAGAGGCCTGGAGCTGCCAAGAAAGGGGTGAGTTATCTCTACACATCAACTTTTGTTGCATATAACCTGGAATTGATGTTCTTAACATAGATTCTTGAAATCTCTATGCTGATCACATGCTAAAAAGGCTGTTAATAATCAGAATTATCTTTTGTAAGAGTTTATTATATATTTCTGATTACTTAAGTAACTTTCATTGCTCTGTTTCATGACCCAAATATGTTGAATATGTTGCTACTTAATTGAGCTTAGATAATAAATCTTTCCAGCATTAAAAATACAGTATTTTTGGGGTGGGGTAAGTTACTAATTTAGTTTTATTTTGTTGATTATGTATTAAGTTGGCTAGAATTTTAGAATTCAGTCTACATAATTTCACAAATGAGATGATGCCATAATTGTGATTGGAAAAATAAAGAATAGATTTATGTGGTGTATGTGAATGGTACTTGCCAGTAAAACCCTTGTTGTTAAACTGGCAATGGTACTGTCCTGAGACACAGACCCTAGAAGATAAGAGACAAGAGTTCAAATCCCACTGGATATTTCCAATCCATGCTGTTTACTTGTCATAAAAATAACCATTTGATTGTCGAGCTGAAAAGTAACAAGATGAAAGACTAGTTAAAAACTTATAGTGATGAGTATAATCCATCTAAAAAAAAAAAAAAGCTTGCTCAGAATATTGTCTTTATATCATGTCTCATTTGTTGTAACCTCCAGCCTGTAGTTGATTATCTTCAGTGCTTTTTATTCAATCTCCTTATACTGCCATCTAAGCGAGAAAATGTCTCATAACTTAATTCTTTCTTGTCTTATTTATCTCCTCCACTGAACCAAACTGATTTTCACAGTATCTGATGCAGGGAATGTCTGCTTTTTCAACTGTACTACACGATATGCCTCTTACAGTTTACACTACCTCTATTAATTTCTCTGGAATTAATGGATCATATTAATGGTCCAGCATAATTTCTATAAACATTATACTTACTGGATACTTGTTTGAGTAGGCATTAGTTACAGTGTTTTTTTGGGGTTTTTTTTTTTTTTTTAAATAAAAAAAGTCTACTCAAACTATATCTCTAATGAAGTTGAATATTTTTTTGTCTCATGCCTAATGTTCTTCCTTTCTCAAAGATCATTTCATAATGGGTCCTGTCTGAAATTCTGGAAAGTTACCAACTACAATGCCTCCCCTCCCCACAAAGAAGGCTGGAAGGTACAATAGCCAAAACATAACTCTGAGAACCCTAATCCAAACAAATCGGTGTATAATAATTAGGTATTCAATATCATGCATCTGTCATGATAAACAACAGAAGCTTCATAACATGATTAATAACTCGTGAATTTTTTCCCAATTTATGTGAATATAAATGACTTTGTGTATGTATGTAATATGCATGCATACTATTGATGTGCAATAGAAACAATTACCACAAAGAGGGTTTAATAATGGAGAAAGCATTGCTGGGGACTTCAAAAGATAGGAAGTTGTGGAGAACTATGATCTCCCACGTTCTGAAGGGATACAGATCTATCTCTTCCTCTGAAGAGTTTTTAGATCGGTAACTTGCTTAGACCCTAACAAGAATGGAATTAGCCCAGTAGGGGGTTTGTGTGTGTTTTTTATATATATATATATATATATATATATTGTTTTACTTTGCTTAATTTCTTTGTCACCACTATGGTGATATCTAGGAACACCTAAATAGATCCATTCTCATAGCACTACTTAAGAAACCAGGTGCAAATGAATGTGAACTCTATTGGACAATCAGCCTAATGAGCCACAAAACTTACCTGAACTCAGATGAATAGGGCATGCAGTTTCATTAAAGGCACTGGAAAAAGGGATGCGCTATTTACATTTTGAATAAAAGCAATGCAAAAGTATGTATAACTTTTTATAAATTATTCAAACATGTTTGACAAACAACTGTTGGAACTGCTAGGTAAGCTTGTTATATTTGGTAAAGTTATTAGAATAATTCAGAACTTATACTGCATGTGGATAGAAGATGAATTGAGTAAATATACAAAAATAGAAAAGGGTGTAAAAGAAATGTCTTCTCACTGGACTTATTCAACCTTTACAGTGAGGTGATTCTAAGAGAATTTGAATTCCTAACAGGATTCATTATTGGTATCCACAATCTTAACAACACTAGATATTCAGATGACACTGATAGCAGACACAGAAAAGAAACTACAGGAATTCCTAAAGAAGGTAGTAAAGTGAGAAAGGACTAAATCTCAATGGTAAGAAAAAATGTATAAGAGCTCAACATGCAAATTACAAATTGGAGATACCAGAATTGAAAAAGTACAAAAATTTAAATATTTATGAAGTGTTTTAACAGAAGACCGACAATCTGACACTGAAATCCAAAGGTGCATTGAGATAGTGAAAGTTGCCTTCCAAAAGCTAAGCAAAGTATTAAGAAACAGGAAAATCTTCTTAGAAACAAAGAAAGGAGTATTTACCTGTAATGTAATCAGTCCTCCTATATGGCGGTGAATGCTAAACAAATGAAAAAGACTTGAAGCAACAGAAATGTGATTCTACACAAGGATGCTGAGAATACCATGGAAACAAAAAGAACACTTATACTTATCAGAAAGAGACAGTTGAAATTTTTAGGACAAATACCGAGGAAAGTGTGCTTGGAAAATTTACTAAGAGCTCCAAAGGACAGGAAATTGTGGAGAGCTATGATCACCCATGTCCTGAATGGAAAAAGACCTAGCATTTCTTTATATTTTTCCTCTTCTAAATTCTAGAAAGGCCTTGGTGCTCAACGGGTAAAGACCAACTTCAACGAAATTGAGTCGAGGGCTCAGCAGTTGGACAAGGAAAGAGAAGACCTGGAAGCATTGCATCGTGTGAATTATGTGAAATCTCAAGATGAAGGGAAACAAATGTGAGTGATTTATTTTTCCTGTTTACTGTATCCTACAGTTTTTGTTCAAGTCAATCATTTATAGTTGACATAGCTGGATATGACAACATTGTAAAAGGATATCATTTGGCAGTTGTAATTGGTTGTGTTGGCAGACAAAAGTTTTTTGCTTGGCAAAGTTTCCTCTTTTCCTAAAGGTTAATTTGCAAGCCTTTTAATGTACACCATCAGTTGTATTTAATGATTAAGTCATAGTGAAAAAATTCTGAACATAGTGTTAAGTGTTTATGAAAAGTTCTTTGCTGCATAAGCAGAGCTTTAATTACTTGAAGCATGCATGATTCAAAACAAACTTTTTTTTATACTTTCTTCTCACCAAATGTTTGAGGAATTTTCTTTTTTACATTCATATATACCTTAACTGTTTGAACAAAGTGTAATAAAACAAATTAAAACCAAATTTTATTTATATAATTAATGACATATAAGACCCTATTCTTTCCTCCTCCTTCCTCAAAAAAGGGTAACTCAAAAAGTCTCTCATGGGTCTTCTAAAACCTGGGAGATATTGAATTGAGGCTTCTAATGTTTACTCAGTACAGTGAGTCCCCCATATTTACAGGGGTGAGGGACGAGAACTGGCTGCGACTAGTTAGAATCCACAAATATTTGTAACCTCCCACCTAAAAGTGCTTATAAGTACCTATAAGATGTACAATTCTGCCAATTTTTACCATAAAAATGGACTGTTGTATATTTTAAATATGTTCTATCGAAAAAAAAAAAAACCTGAATTGAGGGAGTCCTTAGCAAATAATTTGAACATGTATTCTTCAGAAAAACATGCAAATATTCGGGGTTTCCACAAATAACAAAGAAAACGCCACAAATGCTGAAATACGAATAGGTGGGGGCTCATTGTACTTGTAACTGTCTTAATAACTTTTTTCTTTTGATAATATATTCTCTGCCTTGTTTTTAATTTGTGTATAGTATTAGTAAATTTTGTTGATTCACCTGAGACAGTTTGTATTGAACTTTACTGGTTGAAGCCTATGAATTAGAAGTATCAACATATAGTCCAACATCATTGGTAGTATTTTCTAGATGATTTTTGGATTAAATAGGATAAATCCAGGAGATAAGACATTTTGGCAAAACAATTTATTAAAGAGCTGGACATGTTATAAAAGCTGTTTTGATATTGTAAGCTTGTATCATTCTTTGATTGCTTTTTTTTTTTTTTTTTTTTTTTTTTTTTAGGGCCAGTATGCGACTTGCTTATCAAGACCTCAGTTTAGAAAGGAAGAAAAAAGAAGATAAGTTGAAAATCACAGACCCAAAGAAAGCTGAACAGCTTGAACGATTGGGAATGGGTCTGTCAGGACATCGGTAAGTTTGCAACTTATGCCTGCTGTCTTTTATTTAATCACACTATGATTGAGCATAATTTAAAAATAATAGAAAATATTGTCCAGTTATTATTCTTTGTTCATTTTTAAGTAGGAGCTTGCAGATTAATGAAAAATTTGTCTCCAATGATGTCTTTGATATAAACAAGATTTTGTAATTGCAATAGAATTTTTCTTTTTCTCATATGAATGCATTTTAGTTTTCTTTTTCCTTATAAAGGTTAAGTCACTTTTATTGCTTTGTCATATTTCAATGATTTTAGTGTAATTTCAAGATGCTTAATTGAAGGAAAAAAAAAAAAGTTTTTTTAAATAAAACATCTTGAATTTGGATGTAAAGTGTCATATAAAATGTCTCCAGCACACAGAATATGTCAACATATGTACTTGTAGATATTACAAAAAATACTAAATTTTTGTTGAACTTCTGACTTTAAAAATGTAACATTATTTTCAATGATTTAATGAAACTTATTACTATCCAAGATTAACAAATTAGAGCCTGAATAGGTTACTGCATAATTATTTTTATTTTTTATTTTTTATTTTTCCAGTGGTATCAGTCACTCTGTTTTGTCGGACATGACTGTCATAGATCAGGAAGCTCCAAGTGGGCAATCAAATAACAGTACTTCCCTTGACCGATTTGATGCCCCTAGCCGTAGCAGCCATGACTTTTTTGAAGATGAACTGGATAAGCTGGGTAGATTTCCCAGTTTAAAGTAATTTCTTATTATTTATCACCATCAAACCCAACCTCATCCACCACCATCACCTTCATTACCATTTTTCTTTTCTGTTGCCTCTCAATTTTATATTCAATATGATAGTAACATGGTACTATGTCCTGTAATGTGTGTCTGCGTGTAACCTTTAATCTACTCCAATCACTGCAGTTGGCCATTGACCTTCAATGCCTCTCATTACGGTGTCATATTTCTTGGGTGCTGCTGCTTTGTTTTTGTTTTTTTTTTCTAATAATTATTTTTCTTAGGCTAATGTTACAAGAAACTAAAATGCATCTATTATGCTCAATTTTTTCATATACAGAAATATCCTATTGTGGGATGAAACTGATCAATCAAATTGCTTATTTATAATATGGTATTAAGGATTTTTGATTTACATTTGGCAGTATAATTTTGGCATTACTGAATACAATAGATAAACTTTTTAAAATTTATCCATGTAAACAAGATTGTTAAAAGCTTTATAACCAAAACCTCATGGTCAAGCTTTTGAATTGTGTATTGTATGCAGTAGTCATTGTTGAAATAATTTAAACACTTGCTATTTCATTTTCAAAGTAATTTTTCTTATCCTATATCACTTAACTGATTGTGATAATGTAAGGAATCTTTTGCAATACATTTTCAATTTTTTATTCAATAATTTCATCTTTAAAAAAAAAACACTTCAACAAAGGTGTGCGTGTGTTTTTTATATATATATATATATATATATATATATATATATATATATATAAATTTTCAATTAGCTTTTTGTGTATAAGATGATCAATATCTTCACTTGCAAGAAAGAAACTTATTTTCATAAAAGAATCTGTGTATAATTTTTTGTTAAGCAGTTCTTTTCTCTCTCCCTGTTTGCTCAGTTTGTGTTGGTCCTCTTTTCTTTTTGCAATTTTCCAGACATTTTAAAATTAAGTACTTGTTCCCACTTTTGCTTTGTTTGGCAAGGCTATTATAGTTAGAATAATCAGTGAGGGTAAAATGTAAAAGGGGTCAAAGGAATATTACCTAAGAAATTGTAATTGGTTCAAATTCTGACTGGTGAATCATTTTTGTGCTAATACAATTGGTAAAGGCATGAACTCTAAATTTTCTAAAATACTTGGTTAGAAGTGAAAGTAAATAAGGCTTTAATCTGATCCTATTTAACTTTGGCAAGAGTAGTAACAAGTTTGCTATACTCATTCTCTTATGACAATGGGTATAGCAAATGCAAAACGCCATTTAAAAATAATTAAAACCAATTTTATAAGTTTTTATGCTTTAATAAACAAGTTTTTTTTTTGTTTTTTTTTGTCTAATAACTTTAACTTAATTATATTTGATGGGAAATTTAAAGTTTGTAAGGAAATTCTATCATCTCCTAGTCTTGTTGATAATTTGAAAATCCCTAAACAATCTTTTCTTGTCTTTATTAAGGTGTAAGTTCATTAGTAATTCAGTATCACTTCTTTTTCTCTTCACACACTTAGAATATTGCTGGTGCAATAAATTCTTTCCGATGACTTTACTTTGTTTTTACTTAAAAAAAAAACACTAACTTTTCAGTTAGTTCTTTGGGTTTCTCAATTTACTAATGAACTATATAATTACTTGATTTTTTTTTTTTTTTTTTTTTTTTTTTTTTTAATTTGCTATTGTTTTGTAAAAGCTTCAGGAATTTGTTCTGGTGTTTTTGTTGTTGTTTTTTTTTTTTTTTTTTTTTTTTTTTTTTTTTTTTTTTTTTTTTTTTTTAAAGCTTTAAATTTGATTAGCATTTTGTAAGAAAAATATTTTGGTGGGGTGTATGTTTGTGGTGAGAGAAGACTCTTTTTGTACCCTCATCCCACCCCATATCATCCAGTTATGAGTGCAACCTACTTTTCTGCACTTTCACCTAACTCTGTCCACTCTCAATAGTCACATTCTATAAATAAAACTAGATCCTTCACATTCTGGACTTTGACTTTTTATTATTGTTGTTTTTAATTCTTTTAATTTCTCCCCTCTAACCCAGTCTCTGTGTTTTGGGGTGGGGAGTAGGGGAGAATCCTGTACCCAATTTGAAATTTAATACATATTGTTTTGAATGTCCTGCATGAGAAAATTGTATAGCTATATTATTCCCCCCCACTTTTTTTTTTTTTTTTTTTTTTTTTCACTGGTTCAGGGAATAATCAAGAATTTATAAAAAAAATTCTTTTAAATATTTAAGAATTAAAATGTACATTTTAAATTTATCTTTAGAGCTTATAAAACGAGGGATTTTGCTCTCTCACTAAAGACTAATATTTAGCTAGGCAATTAAGCTATTACAATTGTTATGACCCATATATTTGTTGGAAATTTGAGATTTGATCTAATAAAACATTTTATTTATCTGCTCATATGATCATTTTAGTTTGAGATTTTAAACTGATTAAAAGCTGCTTAAAAAAAAAAATTCATGAACTCTTTGTAGTGTAAGATTAATATGCTCCTCTTGTAAGCTATTGATAATGATGAATTTACCCTACAAGTTCAGTCTTGTGCTAAATTTAAGCAACCCTGTGATGTTCAATTTTCCCCAGTAATCTGTTCATATTCAAGTACATAAATTTCTTTGACTTGAATTTTGATATTCATTTTACATGTAGATTTCATTTAGCCAAAGATCTTTCAAGTGTTGATCATTTTCTTGCCCTTTGCTTTTTAGCAAATATCACTCAGCATGTTTAACTAAAATTACTTTAATTTCTTAATAGTAAAGCGATATAGAAAATTTTTTTAAGTCTTTATAAGCAACTATAGTATTTCTTTAATACCTAATAAATGAATTTCATTTAACAAAAAATATATATTTTGCTTTTGTTTTAACAAGTTCGTTTTTCTAAATGTTAATGTCATTTTTTCTATTTTGGGCATATAATAGAAAAAAGCAGTTTCTTTACGTTTTAGTTTATATTGACTTTTTATTAAATTTTCCTGATTAAGTTTTGTTTTTTTTTTTTTTTTTTTTTTTAACAAATGAAAATGAGCTTTCATGACATCTATTTGAATCATGTCATGCAGAGTTTAATAAGACTTGTATTTGAAACTTAATTTCAAAAATTGGCAATAACAAGAGTGAAACAGTTTTTAAAGGAAAGAGGCCCTTAGGTACTTAGGGGGAAATTATTTGAACAAAAATTATGAATATGGAACACTGGCTCTACTCGTTGATATTATTTGGCTTTTTTTTTTTTTTTAATGCTCTTTGATCTTATCTAAATCTCTTATAGCTTTTACTTTTGAGTAAATTCCAAAGCATGCATTTATCATGTAAAAGACTTTTGCTTGGGAAAGAACATCTAGTTTTTAAAGTAGCTTAGGTATTTTGAAGTTGGCTTTCATTTATCCATTTTAAGAAATAAAGTAACTTTTTATTAAGGTGGAAGTTTATATAAATTACCAAACTTTGAAAATTGATGCTTTACACATTAGCAAGAAATTATTGAAATTTATTTTCAATTACTTGCATCTTCCACTTCTCTCTTCCTCCCACCAATAATGGTTGACATTACTGTAAAAATATATGCATCAAATTAGAACCTTATTTTTAAATTTATTTCTTGTAGAAAAATCTAAACATGAATTGGAAGATACAAAATACATAATGTAGCCAACCATGCATATACATACATCAGACACCAAAAATTTAAAACTAAGCATCCCTGTATTTTCAGTATTTCTAAATATAAAATTGTAATCAGTGTTTTTGTTATATCTTTCCCTCTCTTCACCCCTCCCCCCCACATGTATGTGTGTGTGCTCTGTCCTTAGAACTTCTCCATGCTAATAATGGTTTCATTGACTCCATTGGTAAAACCATTATTACACTGGTGAAGTCCTTTCCTAGACAGAACCTGTAAGTTTTTTTTCTCCCCATCCTTCTCTCCAATTTTATTATTTTGTTATCTACTATTAGTTTGGTATATAGATCTTCCATGATAAAATAAAAAGCTACTTCTGACGGTACTACTATCACTTTAGTATTGTCTCATTTTAATGCTGTAGAATACTGGCATTCTTCTAGAAATATTAGCCAAAATTAACTGGAGTGTGGTAGTTTGTTAAACTTTGACCATAACGTTTCATAAAAATTTAAATGTTTTCTTAAAAAAAAAAATCAGTTCTTCTTAAGCCATTCTGCTTGAATGCTTTCTCTCTCCATGCTAACACACCTTTTTTTTTTTTTTTCGAGAAAATGTAAATTATTTATACAGATAATTCTGTATTTATTTGATACCCTCAAAGCCTTACAATATTTCCATTCTTTGGCCATTAAATTTAGGGAATTCTGAAGCAAGTAGTTTCAGACAACTTAAAATTGCAACCAGTACCATGGGAACTTGCTATGTCATGTTACCTTACCATTTAGTCTCCTATAATCATAAGATCTGATTCTTCTGTCCTTTATCTTTCTATCACTCTTTTATTTTCAACTTTATTACTTCCTTCTATTTAATTTTAGCCCCTGTTGCTTATTTGTGATTTTTTTTTTTTTTTTTTTTTTACTATACATTTTCAATGCAATACTAAATTTTTAAGTGGTAAGGATCTGCTTGTTTTTTCTTTTTCCCCTTTCCTCCCTCTCTCTCCACACTTAAATTCATTACATTAATTTACATGCAAATACTCTTGGAAAAGTATGAATCCATTTTCACTCCCCACAGCTATGGGTTAGACTAGTATCTAGAAAAAATAATTTTCAAAAAATCAATACAATATTCACTTGCAAAAAAAAATTCTTATAATCCAAAATGTTTACCCTTTAAATAACCCACAAAGTTTTGATAGCTGTTAAAAAAAAAAAAAAATCAGTCTTGGCTTTTTACTTAAGCTCTAACATCTGCCACAGGTACATCATTACAAGTCAGACACTCTACTTTTAAAAAAACGCTGTTCAGTCTGTCACTCCAGAACACCTAAGAGATCAGTTCTGGAGTCTACTCAATTGCCATCATATTTCTCTGCTTTTCTCTTTCCTTATTTCTGTATGTAAAGATCTCAATAGTACTTTATCTTGTAGACTGAGAGAAGACTTAATCATCTCAGAAGTAGAATATTTGGCAATGCAGATTTTTCTCACAGGTTATATATGTTGGCACCACAGTGAACATTTTAAAAAAAAAAAAAAAAAAAAAAAACTGGAATTTTAACACATCAACTTATATTAACTTGTAGTTGGCATAATAACAACTGTTAACCACAAGTTCTCATGCTTGGCATTTGCTGATACATTTTTTCTACAGGTGCTAACAATGAGTTTATTTACACTAATACTTTTAGTGGGAAAACCATAACAAAACTTCAGTTGAAGCTATAAATTAACTCAAAAAAAAAAAAAAAAAGTTTATTGCTTAAGTTGGATAGTCATAGAGTTGATGTGTGAAGTCAGATTTCATAATTGACCCCTGGCAGTCAACATGTTAAAAACTTAATTTAGTTGAAATATATAAAATAAATGCCTGGTCTTACTTTTGATGCCATTGGATAATGTTCATTCTTTTTTTAGGTTCTCTTATGGTAAATTAAAAATAAATTATATTCAATTAAATGTTTTTTAAACCTCCTCCTTCCATTTGAATTCATATCAAGCTAAGCTTAAATATCTATAAATGTTTCAGAATTTTAAAACCACTTTCTTTTGCAGATGTAACTATGACTAAAATTTGTTTACTTTGATTTGAATTCTGGCTATTTTAACCAAAAGAGATTTTCTTTTACATGTTTCAATATTTTTTTAAAATTATTTTGCCTAAATAACTTTAGCTTTAAGATAATGGATTTACAATAAATGTTGATCAGATTATCATCATAGCAGTGCTTTTGGTTTTTGTTGAGGCAGGACCAGATTAATCTTGCAGAAATCAAGGTGGGTCTAGCCTGACAGGGCCTCTGTTTACCCCTCTACTTACACCGGTCACTTGCATCAGCTAGTTCTAGGCCTAATTTTTCCCCATCCTTTCCAAAAAATATCCTCTCTGTTATAAGATAACATTTGGCATTTATTGTACTTAATACAAATAATGCTAGTGAGTATGGGTCAGATTTTGAGATCCTTAGTGAGTATTGTGGAGATTAGACTTGTCTTTATACAGTTACATGGGATAAATAAACATTCAAAATTCAGGCTTTTACTTGTGATGGGACACTAACAAAACTGGATAATAATCTAGTCACAAGTCTTGACTCCATAAAGTATTTTTTTTTTTTATGTTTCAATTATATCACCTTCCAAAATGCTCCTAATATGTTGATGCTGCAAACTGAATCTCAAGTGTCTAAAGATGGAATAAATGCTGGTTTATCCCAGATATTCATAGGGTTAAATATAATCTGTTTAAGATTTATGTATTAAAGCATGAAACGAAATGTATGTAGTAGATGTATTGGAATTGGTTTTCTTGTCCAAGATAATTTTTTTTAACCATTTCAAACTTGTGATTATGATGAACGTGAGTGTCCTGTATTTTAGAATCTGTTTGCTAGAGTAATGAACTGGTTTGTCATCATGACTAGCTGCTTTGGTCAGCACAAAAATTAACAACTTTCAATAACTTATTAACAAGTCTTTGCCACTCTATCAAAATGAATAAGATTTGTTTCTGCATAAAATATATATAAAATATTTCCATATTGAAGTTTGAAGTATGCATTCCTCTCAACACAACTGTTTTACACTCTTTGTTAATAAAAATTCCTTAATTCTTTATTAGAAAATCCACTTGAACAGAATTTACATTTACCATAAGGTGGCTAAAACATTTTGTTATATAAAAACAAAGTAAGTATTAAAAGAAATTGATGGGGTTAGCACTTCTTGGAATGCGTATAATGGCTGTGAAAAGTCTTGGTCAAGCCTTGGATATAAAAAATTTAAAGTTCAGCATCTTTGTATCTTCATTTTCTCTAGATAAAATTGTAAGAGTTTTTTTTTTTTTTTTTTTCCTCCTACATATCATTCCATCAAGGAAAACATTCAGTATGAAAAATTCCTTTCAAAGGACAAAACATGTAATGGGACTTTTTTTTTTCTCGGTGGGGGGTCTCATTTTTTAAAATTATTTATATATAAAAATAAGATGTATAACTTATACATTGTATTCTCATATGTATAACACTGGTATATTTTATAGATAATCTAAATTTTGAAAAACAAAAAAAATAAAGCACTTTTGTGCAGTAACTCTGATCAGTTTTCCATGAATTCTTATGTTCAGTACATCACTTCCTCTTTTTTTTTTTTTTTTTTCTTTCTTTCTTCATTTATTATATCCCTATGTGAATGTCATTGTACCAGTACAGCCTCTTTAGATTTAGTTAATATGAATAGATAAGTCTCCAATATTTCCTCCTCCTATTTATAGACAGAATTCATTGAAAAATTTTAACTTTATTAATGAACTATTTTTCTGTTTAACAGCAGTTCTTCCAGTTCTAAATGGGGATTTTCCAACAAAACAGGATCTTGGGATGTTGATAGATTTGAGAGCAAAACAAGCTTTACTGACTCTATGCCCAGCTTTGATGAGTCTGACAAGTAAGATTTTACCATTTTTCCCTATTTCTTTCTAAAGTTATCCAAAATACCTCATTAGTGCCAAACCTGGAACTTTTTTTTTTGTAATGCATCTATGATGTTATTCAAACTGTATGGTTAATAATTACTATGTGAATATCTGCATTAAAAATGTATATATGCACACACTTCTGTACATTCACTTTAGTTTCTATAATCTGTTCAATCTATTTTATATGAGGAAATTAAAGACAGTCTTGTTCACTACCAAATGCATTTTGATTTTAATCTATTACCAATATTTCTAAAACAGTTTTCTGTACCTTCAATTTGTCCTACTTTTAGACCAAGTCGCAACCGAAAAACGTTTGAAATTGATACTTCTACCAATGCTCAAGATAAATTTGGTAATGCCAAATCCATTTCTTCAGAACAATTCTTTGGACCAAAGGATCCTGATGTAAGCATTTTTTTATATATATTTACTCTTCAGTATATTACAATGTCCCCCCCCTTTCCTGCAATAACCAAACTTCTACATGTAAGAAAATAATGAAAAATAGGAAAAGTCTCGTGTCAGCCTGTTTCCAATTCCAAGTTATTTAACAATTGATGTAACATTTAAGTTTTTCTGTCAATTCATTCAGAATTCTATAGAAGCTGCTCTATAATGCTATCAAATAGTTATCAAAATCAGTTGGTTTCAGACACTTTAAAATGAAAGGAAAAAAAAAAATTTCCATATTTTCAAGTGCATAAATTTCATGTTAATTTTAATGTGAAATTGTTTATAACAATGAATTTATATTGCTTTAATTTATTATATCAGACGGACTTTCTGATAACAATAACTATCTCAAAGTGATTGCAATAAGCTGTACCCTCTGTAAAAGGAATGTACTAAATTATACAATAATTAATAATATACTGTTTATATAACAACTTTTCTATCAGAGATAGGATTTATATTTATGAAACTAACTTAAAAGCCACCCTATTGTGTGGCATTTAAGTTAGCTTCTGCAGAGGGCTGTTAATTGGGCCTTCATTACAATAGGTAGGAAGGAGTAGATTCAATAAGCAACAATAAACTACAGAAGACCTCAAAATTGATCGCTGCATTTACGTATTGCATTAATATTTAAGCTTACCTTTTCAAAAGGCTACTTAATTTAAAGGCAATTTGATGTACATAGGTCCTTTCTGAACACACATTTTTATTCCCTAGGTGACTTTCATTGGATTTCACAACTAATTTTTGATTATTCCCAGACTTATTTCTAAGTTATAAAAATTGTTATTGTACAAAAAAATTGTTGCAAAACAAAAAAATGCTGAAAACAATCACAGTAATGAAAACTTGGGAATCCAAAATGTCAGGATTGCTGGTCCAGATCTGGCCCGGAATGCTTTTAATTTGCTCACAGTCCGATTCCAAAATGGTACATGTTAGGCTATGGCCTCTAGGAGTAACGTTGAAAACGCAGACAATTTTATTTTTAAACGCTTTAATTTGAAAACAGTAATTTTTTTTCATTTGAATGTGGGCTATTGAAAGTTAATTGTGTCCTGTTTAATTGCTTTTATCAGTAGAAGACACTATGGCAGAATCTGAAAACAATCACAATAATGAAAACTTGGTAATCCAAAATTTCATGATTGCAGGTCCAGATCCAGTCTAGAATTGTTTTAATTTGCTCAGTCTGCCTGATTCCAAAATGAGCTGTTTGGCTATAGCCTCTAGGAGTCAAGTTCAAAATTTGTGACACACTGACATTCACGTTTTATTATATAGATTTTAACTTTCATTTGCTCTAAAGGGAGATATATATATTTGCTATATTTAAGGGGAAGAGTGCTCAATATTGTGATAGAACATTTGTTGATATATTGTGGACATAGAAATCAACTGTATGGTGACTGTTAGTTTCATGCCTCAGATGGTTTTTATACTGTGTCACTAGGGGATTAAAAGTAGGAAACCTGGCCTTTTTAGTCTGCTTATTTCATTTATATACCTAAAAAGCAAACTAAATGTCATGACTATAAATAACCTAAAGCATTAGCTCTCAACAAGTGAACTGAGGACCAGTTTTCTCTTTCTCTGGTGGTTTATACATAATATAAAGCCTGAGAAAGTAGTGACACATGATATGAAAATAAATTGAGTTGTAAAATTAACAGGAATCACTACTGCTTGGTGACTCTATTATATATAAGACAACAAATTCTCGTGACTGACAAGAATAACATATTAATCACTTAGTTTGGAACTGACTGCTTTGAATCCTGTGTGTATGGGTATATACAAATAGGCACATTTGCCTTTTATTGTTGCACTTTGATATTAATGTTAGACATTTTCTGCACTTGCAAACTAAATGTCTGGCATTAGAGAAAACTAATTTAAACACCAAATTTTTCAATTTTTGACCTGAAAAGTTTTGTGTTATGCATTGAAAAGGAGATTGTCATCAGTCAGGAATTAATGTAGACATTACTGACAGCATAAAGCTATATTTATCATTTAAATGCATTGCTAATGAATTTACCGAAAAACCAGAAAGGGATTATCAGTGATCTAGAATTAACATACTAACAGAATAAAATGATTGTATGTATATCACTGATTTGTGTGTTAGCCTTGAAGAAATATACCATTTTATGATGATTTGTTCCTCTTTGCAGCTGGAGACAAAACAAACCTTGAGCAAATTTGAAGGTAGCTCCAGCATCTCCAGTGATGACTTCTTTGGTGGTGGGCCTCGTAGCAGCCATGGTTCTAGCCATTACTCTGGCACTGACCTGTCTGACATCAAAGAAGGTGTTAGGCAGGGAGTCACTAAAGTGGCTGGCAAACTATCTAGCTTGGCCAATGGAGTCATGTCCTCTCTACAGGTAAATGTCATTTATACTGCAATATTGTGATGACTGGTTTCAGATAACTTGTGTAGTTAGCTTATCTTTATAATATTAACATTTCATCATCAATTGATTAAAAATCTTCCCCATTTGTTTTTCTTCATTTACATATCAATATAGTTTTTTAATGTCATTTTTAACTGTATATATAAATACAGATTAGCAAGCTCACTGAATCTTTACAATTCTATAGAGAATATATAAAGATTGAATGCCTGCTTGTTCTCAATCTTCTGTTTGTCTATAAAAATATATAAATGATATAAATGAATTTTTTTTTTTTTTTTTTTTTTTTTTTTTTTGACAAAAGTTTGATCATATGATTTTATATATTAAGAACAGATGTAAAAATGAATTTTTCTTTTTCATTTTCTATGAAAGATTTTCTTTGTAGATTTATGGGAGAAAATGATATAAACTTTTATATACTAGAACAATGTTAGGAAAATTAATGAAGTGGAAAGATTTACTGTGATGTATTTAGTCTTTTACGACCTCATTGGACTAAAGTGACATTTTGATTGATGTAACTACACATGCACGCCCAAGGGAGGGGATGCTGAAATTTTAAACTTTTATTTTATTTTTTTGTGTCTGGGTATATAGTCTAGCTAATTTAGTTTACTTTCTTATCATTTTTGTTAAGTATCCCACTTTGTAATAATAGAAGATCTGTCAAGGCGAATGTTTGTACAAATCAGGACACAAATTTACTGTGGATCTAGCAATTAAGATTCTTTCTGTACATATTGGTCTTAGTAAATTGCTTTTCTCTTTAATTAAAGTAGCATCTTTTTTAAATATAAATTATGGTTACTGTTACTCATAATGATGAACAACTAATGTATTGAGTGTTTTGTAAAAGATCTGTGTTCCTTTTTAAACTCTTATTTTTAACTTTATATATAATAAGTCTTTGTGCATATAAACACAGCCATTTAATTTTACTCTTTTGTTGTTGCCATAGTTGTTTTAGCTTTTAAGAGAAAATTGTAAATATTTATCATGAACAGCTTATTGCATGATCATCGTGCCTTGGATAATGATCTTTGTAATTCTTAAGATCAATCTTTGTGGCTTTGGTTTATTTTTTTTTATTGATGCTCCACCAAATAAAGTCTTCCATTCTTGTCATAAGTTTTGTTTCTAAAACCTGCAGAAATTTTTCAATTGGAACAATATCTTTATTCAAGATATTTTCCTTGCACATCAATTGAGTCAATAAATTGCAGTCAATAAAGGAATTAACTTCTCACCTGAATTAAAATTGGATCCTTTGGAGTAATCACAATCTGCTATTGCCCAACAGCTTAAACTCGTATTGAAATTCATTTTTTTTTCCCCATTGCTTACAGATTATTTTGTTTCTTTCAGGAAAAATATGGCAGTTGATGATCTACCAGGTTGCCTAAAGCCCCACCCCCAGCCAACTCCCTAGCAGAGAGTTTATCACTGGAGAGTTGTCTCTCCTCCTCTTCCTCCACTTCTCCTTTTGCCTAATTCAATGGACAACTCACATACAAAGAAAAAAAAAATCACCTTTCCCTCCCTAAAACCCTCCAAAAGTGGTCAGCATTAACTTTCAAACTCTTATTTCAATTTGACTGGTGGCAGATTTTTTTATTTTTTATTTTCACCCCACCCCTCCCAGTATATAAAAAATAAAATAAAAAAAACAAAGTGTCAAAATGTGTGTCTTCAATGTGACACTGAATGCAGAAAAGAGCAGATTAGAACATTTGCATGGATGGATGTATGCCTGTGTGTATGTATGTATATATACCATCCCTCACTGGCTGGCAGACACACAAACACACTTGATACTGCCAAAATTTGGAGAGAGAAGAAAAGGTAAAGCTAATAAAAGTATGTGTGAGTGTTGTATGTGCTGTGTATACATGCACACACAAATTTATCTGTAAGTAATGGGATGCAGGAATCATATCTATAAATATAATAATAATAAAACTCACATAAATAACTTTTTCTTTCCCTCTTTATCACTTGGGTTCCAACTGTTGTCAGAAAATGTCTTTGATTCTAACAGTGTTGTTCCCTCTTCACTATTTCAGAATATTTCTTTCTTTGGCTGTTTTCAGAAGCAAGGAATTTTTTTTTTTTTCTGCCTTCAAGACATCTATAAAACACTCTAATCCGTAAATTCACTGGACATATTTCTACAATGCACACAGTTTTTGTCCCACTCCTGCCCCTCAACATCAATTCTCATTTTGAGATTGGAAAAAAAAATCTTAAGACAACAATTTTTCATTATAAAAAAAAAAAAAAAATGAGACATTAAAAAAAAACAAAAAAAACCTGAATATTTTTAAATATTGCCATTTAACCGGGTTCTTGGAAACTTTTTCATTCTTTCCTCTTAAGATTTAATTTTGAATTTTTTTTCAGTCTCAAAAAGGATCTCTGAGACCAAAAAATCTTTTGGCAAACACCTAGTGCAAGTATTTATCTTGACCCTCTGCTCCAATAAGGAGCAGCCTAAATTTTTAGTAAAGCTCGTTTCGCAAATGCTTTCACACAAGAAATAACACTATTTTTAGCTACTCAGTATATTTCTTTTCTCTTAAATGGCTACAATCTGTTCATCATTAACAAAATGTTTGTGAGGTCTTGTAACTTGTAGTGGATTGAATACTTTAAATCCAAGTATAAACTGCTGAGGGTGTTTTTTTTTTTTTTTTTTTTTTTTTTTTTTTTTTTTTTTGTGACCTCCAGTATCCTCCAACCTGATTGACTTCTGTGGTGACCAAATTTCAATAGTAGACCATAAAGCTATTCAACAGAAATACATACACAAACAATTTACAACAAGCGCAAAGTATATCATGAAAATTTGCATTATAACAATGCTACACATACTCAAAGCTCTGTCCACAGCTGTATGAAATGTATAGATCGATGCAGTATGATAAAACTGGACTCCAAAAATAAGTTTTACTGAGAATAAATCTTCCAAAACAGTAAAACTAAAGAGACAAGGGAAAATAACAGGAAATTTTAACAAAGTAACAATTGCATACAAACTACAAAAAGATCGACTAAAACCTGCCAATAGAAACATTTGACTTTAGTAAATAAAGTTTGAAGTTTGCTTATTTTGTTGCAACTTTCCTCAGTTATGCAGTTTTCGTAACAACTAATTGAGATGTTTTACAATTTCATCTATTTTTCTATTGATTTTTTTTTTTTTTTTTTTTCCAATGTCAAACTTTCTCATTTTATTTCTTTTATTCATTATGCTTTGTTTTTGTCATAGATTTTTAGTTTTTGATTTTGAGAACAATAATTTTAAAACCAGGCTGAATCAGTAAAGTTTGGTACTTTGGCTGCTCTGAAAATCCGCTAGAAATTGTTTTATAACAACTGTCTGAGCATAATACAAAATAGCTATTGGTAAGATTTAGGTCCATTCTTTTTTCCTGATTATACTTTATATCAAACAAACCAACAATACTATCAGATGTAATTATACATTTTATCCTATGCTAATTATTTTGGTAAAGGTATGAATTTAAAATTTGCATTATCATTAGTAATACTTATTTGGATTTGTCAAGAAATAGTATAAAACTGCTTAAATGAGCTTGGCAAAAAGCCTGTCACCACAAGATGATTGATGACAAATAATCCCTGAGTAACAAAAACATAAGATTTCTACAAATTAAGATATACATGTACACCATTAAACAAACATGTTGAATTAAATTTAGCTTGTATTCTTTGACCATTATGAAAATGATTGCATAGCTTTCATCCTTCAAAAGATTTTGGTTATGGTTCTCCAGTTCATTATTACCTCTAGTAAAGTACATCACAATTTCTCTGACATTTTGCAGACTTATGCTAAAAAGGAAATACTTTTTTTTTTTTTTTTTTTTACAGCACTAAATGGTCATCATGTAATGCTGTCAGAAAACTGACTGCGGCTAAACATTTTTGATTGTATAATAATCTTTTTCTTTAATGTACTTCAGATTTTGTTTTAAACATTCTTATCTGGGCTACCTATACCAAAAATAAATTTATGACCCTATTAGCTCTGTGTACTTGTTCACACACATCCTAGAAGTCTTAGAAAAATGCCATTATCTGTGTTTATAATTGGTTATAAAAGAAATACTAAGCAAAATGTGCAGGAGATGTATTTGAATGTCAAGAAAATGTGAATAGAAAACCCAAGGCATAAATGTTTTGTATAGTTAAACAAATGCCAAGCCTCAAATTCTAGTGCATTTTAATTTTTTAAGAATTTTTCTTTTAATTGATATGTTAAGATGTCGGAGAATAATCGAAAAAATGATTTTTGTGTGTGTTTTCTATATTCATCCACTGCTTTTATAATTTAAAAGTTGGAACTTTTTATTTCATGCAGTGAAGTTATATTGTTCTTAAATCCCCATCCCAGGAATATACTCGGTCCGTATATTCCTAAACTAGTCTCCGGATTGGACTCTCAACTTCAAAAAAGTTGATCCCTCATTTTTAAAAATTCATAAGCACTCCTAAGTTTATCACTAAATGTGGAGGGTATTAATAGGGTTAAATAATGCTTTATAGGAGTCTAAATTCTAAAAAAAAAAAAATCAGGAATTTGTTTTTCCTTCATCTTTGAAGAAAATCTTTACCTTGACACCTAACCAACCTTATCTTTGCCATTTTTACTGGTTATCTTATCTATTTGTAGAAAAATCTCTTAACTTAATCACCATCCCTTTATATAAAGGTTAGTATTGCACTTTTAGTTTTTTTTTTTTTTTTTTTTTTAAATAATTGCTCATAAATGTTGTCATTTGAATCTGTAAATTTAGATTTAAATTAATAGCCATGTATAGTTGTCATCTTATTAATATAGCATTGCCAAATGCTTACAGTGCCTAGTATTTTTTTCTAGTATCTAACATTAAAAGGTGCTTACCATTTGCCTTATTGAATAAAACATTAGGTTTATGTTTAGTTAATATCTTCCTAATGCATACTTTTAAATAATAATACAACAGTTAGGCAAATTGTTCCATATTTCATGGTTAATGTCAATCCTGACACATTTTCTGCCAAAGATTGTTATTGTTTACTAAAAATGGATCAATTTCAAAGCATTGATTTCTGGATAAATATGGTTTAATTTTAATTATATAAAACGATTTATTTGCGAAATTCAAGCTAAGGGTGTATATGTATTCTTGTAAATAGTAGGTTTTACTTTCCTTCCAAACAAAATCATTTCTTTTTAACACCAAATGTCTACTTTTAATTTTTTTTTTTTTTTTTTTTTTTTAACAAATACTAAAAATGTGGACTTTTGCTGATTTCCAAAGTTCATATTTAATTTGAACTTTTTTTTTTTTTTTTAATTAACAATCTAATAATACAAGCCAGTGCTACTGTAGTTGGATGTTCAAACACTTATGGATTTGTGTCATACAAAGCTAAACTTAGTAAATCAGTTAACAATTAAGCAAGGGCATTAACCATAAAAATAGGTAGTATTTGATACTTATCTTCCTTTTCTGTGTAGCCATTTTTTAGAGATAGTTTTCATTATACTTTTACAGCTATATATCATGTATGTTTGGTTCAAAACATACAAGGCTCTTTAACAGCAGAAACTGGAGATGTTTTGCAGACACTGTCCCAATGCAGTGTTTCTGTATCTTTTTTTTTAATTTCATGTTACCAATGAAATAAATGTGGTTTTACTAAATTGAAATTCTAATATCTGAATGAAATCTCCAAACATGTGTTCCACTCAATCATCTTTAATGAACAAGTTGCACAAGTGACAAACTTTTCCAAAATGACATTTTCATGTGAGCTGATGTCCTATTAAATATTACAATGGGCACCAAAAAGTTCTTAGGCCAACCAAGAAGGGATTTAAAAGAAAGTCTTGATTTGGTCATTTAGCCTGATTTTTTTTTTTTTTTTTTTTTAAGCACCCTATTCTGGTCCTAGATTGCCAGTTAGGTAGCCCTTAAATTAAGCAAATCAAAACTGCAGAACCAATTATATGGGACAATTTTTCTTTTTGTATGTGTGCACTACACACCCACATTTCTAGTGCAGAATTTCTTTTTGTTGCTTCTATGACTCAATGCTGTTTTCTGTTGATTATATTTAAACTTCACATGATTAAATCTGGTCTGGCTGTTGTGTAATTGTTTTTAAACACTATTTCTAATATTTTTACAGTTGAACTATCTTCAGTTTTGTGCTCTCCAGGTTTTTTGCACAAATTAGGTAGCCTTAAAGGAGTTTATTTACTGTTCTTGTTCACTCTCCATGTCTAGTGCAATCTAGTTTGTGTTATTTTCATTCTTTTATTAGTACCTTAATTATTGCTAGTCTTGTTTCCTGAGTCTGTACTACCTTGACAAACCCACTGATTCAATTCATTTATTATGCCAAAAATCTTTACCTCACAGGATAATAGTTGTTGGTTATCTTGGAGCTTTAAATCTAATCTTTTTATTGCTTTCTTCTCCTGCTGCAGCCTTGCTGTCAAGCTTTGCTCTATCCCTTGTCTTTTATTTGCAGATTCTTTTGGCTGTCTGATTCTACAGTACTCTTCTTTCTAGTAATTTTTTTTTTTTATTACACAAGAGTTGATCACCATTTTCCCTTCAAATGATCAGTTATGTATTTATCTCTCCCCCACTAATTATAGTTTTTCAATATTCCTCCAGCCTTACTTTTAGGGTTTAGCGGTTTTCATCTTTGTAGTCTTTGCCACAACTGCAAGGGATGTAATACATGTGGTTCTTGGTCATGTTTTCTTTTGTGTTCCATTTGACTCGTAGGGTCAAACTGCTTCTGAATATTGTCATGTTGTATGTGTTGCATGCCTTTCTTTTCTGATGCACCTTACTGTAAAGGAGACAAACTGGCAGTTTCTCAATCTGCCTGCAGAAGCTGTTTGTGCAAAAATCACAAGAGGATCACCATCAAACAATATTGTAGGTATTAGATTATCCCTTTCTTTATGCTGTTTGGATGGTACGAATAGAAGTATTATTGTCTAATGGTTTGCTTGTGATATACAGATGTCTTGAACCCATTCTCTATGCAAGTTATTAGTAATGTCAGATGATTTTTGGTTTTTCTCTTCCATTGTGAACTGGATCAGTTTTTACTAATTTTATCTGGTCACATTATTTGTACATCTGAAGCCAGAGTATAAAGGTGTTATGTATCAAGACCATATATCTCTAATCTCACTCCACTGTCCATGTTTAATGTACATTAGATAAAAAGTTTGGTTCAAAATTCTCTAAAGCTTACACAGGTGGACAGACACTCTGAAGGCCAAAGAGCAGAACAAAAACGAAAGCGAAAGATTGTAAATGTTTCTAACACATTTACCGTTATCTTTGAATGATTATATAATGTCATCTGTTTTTGTTAACATTAGAAATTGCTATACAAGACTAATTATGCTTTATGTTGGGAAATAAAATTAAGCTATAAACAATGATGCTAACATGTCCTCAACACTAGCTTCTTTTCAAATATTCATAATGCCATGTGATGCATTTGTGTATCATGGGTTTTTTTGTTTTTTTTTTTTGTTTTATCAAAAGAAAAGAGAATTATTCAGAGGGGAGGAAGTGAAACATGGGGTGGTAATAAACATCTTTATCTTTGAAACTCAACAGAGAATTAATGCACATGCATTAAAGGCAATATGTAACGAACATCATGTGGTAGTGAACATGTTAAATACTTTGGATTTTCCATTTATTTTTTTTTTCCTTTACTTGAAAATGAATATACAAAATCTACAACCACCATCCATATTTCTTGTTATAGATAAAACTTATGCATAACAGCAGAATTAAACATGATTAAAGATTTACTTGGCTTCTTTAACTTCACTCATTTATGGTCAAATCAGATTGATCAGACAAAATCCAATACTTCCAAAGATAAACAGTTAGGAGCCTAATCAGTACTTCAGTTCTGTGAATGACTACTCCATAACATCAATTATCTTTTACAAGACTAACCATAATTTGGGCAATATCTCTCTCTCTCTTTTTGAGATAAAGTAATTTGTGCCAAGTGTAAAAAAAAAAAAAAAAAAATTACAGTATGTCAGATTTTTTTTTTTTTTTTTTTTTTTAAGTACATTATTTGTCCCATGACTAAAGTTAAATTTTAACCTTATATTTACAAGCATCAAATAGGACACAAACTTTCAATGTATTGCAAAACCAATAGACTTTTCACTGTAACATCAGAAAAATGATTTTTTTTTTTTTTTTTTTTTTTTTTTAATACCTTGAATTTTCACAGTAAAAATTCAGCTATAAGCAAAATTGGATGAAACTTTTTACTCTTTCAACAGGCTGACAGGTTTGCAGCAACAGTTTTCTCATCACCGGAAGAGCTTAGTTTCTCAGCTCCTATGTAAAATTGGCCTATTACATGATTTTGTCTTTCAGATTTTACAAGCTTTTGATTGACAGCAAATACCTTGCTTTCAAAATAGATTTAGGAATCTTCATTTTTGCCATTTTGATCTGTCTAATATTTTGCATTGAAAAGTTTAGATATGTTCATAAAAATATTTCTAGAATTAAAAAATTTTAATTTAAGTGATTATTGTAATTAAAAACTTGATATTACAAATATTGAAATATATTTCTTTACAGAACTTTTATCACATGAGATCATTCCATTTTAACTTAATTACAATGATCATTCTGTGGCATCTTACTATAATTTTTTTTTTTTAATCCCTCAATGCAAAGATCATTATCCACACTAGTTTTATTATCAGATAAATATATCACAGTAATGTTCATTCTTTGTTTAAAGTGTTTGGTTATATTATTTAAACATCACTTGGCACATGAGGTGTTGGTTGTGGCTGGTTAGAACTCGGGTCCCTTTAACCAGCCCCTTGGTGTGGTCTGATGTGGTGGACTTGGCTGAGAAACCTGATACTTCATCAGTGGCATTTTCATTCCTTGCAGCTGATAAAAATATAGAACAGGGAAATGCTGAAATTTATTGCATGAACAAATTAATCCCATAAATTCAATGCACCAATTTTTAGATTCCTATATTTTAAAGTTAATCTTGGTGTTAATTTCAGTTTTGTTTGCACAGGTTCTTTTACCTGCAAAACTGAAAGTTGTCATCAAATAGCAAAGCAGTTGCAGCCACAACTTGAACAAAGATGCCAATAATTAAATGGCTTGTTTAAATCCATTGCAAAGGCAACACAATATTGTATATTCCTCAAAATGCTATAATTTAAATTTATACAATTCATTACAATACAAAATTGAAAAAAGGTTTTGGAGTGAATTATGGGATGTATTTAAATTCTAGAAATAAACTAACATTGCTGACACCTGTATTATGCTTTTTCTATTAAAATGTAATCTAATGCAATTTGGTTACATAATTCAAAAATTTTGTAAATGGCTTCAGATTAGATTTGTTTTACCTGGTCCGTTAGGAAGAGATGTCTTGAGACACCATTCAATGCAGTTGGGTTGTAATCAGGAGTGCAACCTGTTAAGTGAATAAGTCAAATATACGAGATTACAAAAATTGAAACCAAAGTGAATTACACCTACAAATCATTTTCTCAAACGTTTCACATCTATCTTTTTGATGAGTAGCTAACATCAAGCAAATTACCCTTTTTCTCTTGTCTAAAAAAACAACTTTTGTATAGATCTCCTTTATGCCACTGTAAAATTTGTTATAAGCTTCTTAAAAAAAAAAAAAAAAAGTCTTAATTTATAGGTTTCTGACTAGCCCATTAATGCTCATTGTCAGGGCAGTGGGCTTTAATGAGCTGTGCAATGTTTTTTTTTTTTTTTTTACAAATAGGAGAATGTCTTAATCATACAACCTCTCTTCCACAATAGACTAATGAATTGTAAGCAAAGGTGTGGGTGAACATAGCAAATCTATATTTTGCACAAGTTACTTTTTTAGAATTATTTCTACATGGAAGCATAAAAACACTAACAATCAGTATATGTAGTTGCTTAAATCTATAATCAATGTAACATTGACAAAAATGGAATTTTTATTTTTCTGTGTAAATGGTAACAAGCATCTCCAACTTAGCACAAACTTTTTTAGTTACTAGAATTAATATAATGTTCCATTCAGCTAAGATAAAATTAGTTTCCTATATGAGATTTTTGAACCAGATAAAAAAAAGAACACAACACCTAATGACTACCAAACTGAGCAGTTCAATGAAAGAAAACATCTGGCAAAATATTTATTACTTTGTCTTCCTTTTAAGTAAGCATATCAGAATTGTTTTTCTGCAATTTTTTTTTTTTTTTTTTTTTGGTTACTCCACTTCTGTTTTTAAGTTTCGATTATCAGCATTGGACTATCACCTGCTGAGGCCCTAAGCTATATAAAATTCAATGCCCTTCTCTAAAAAAAAAAAATTCAGGTAAAAAATATTTAATAATTATACATGATCTTATTTATTAATGATTATATAATTTGATAATTTAGCATTAAAGAATAAAAAGTAATGATAAAATAAAAACTTTTTTTTTTTTTTTTTTAAAAATGAGAGATAAGGGTGTGTGGGCCTAAGCTATAGCTAAGTCCAGCACTGTTGATTAGGAACTTACACACCTTTTAATTTGTTATTGATTCTTTCCAGAGATTCCATTAAGCGTTTTTCTTCCAAAGATAAAATGGAAGGGCCTACAAAAAGAAAGAAAAAATGGCTAATGTAACCAATTTATTCAATATGGGAATATGTGTTTGGGAAGAAGACAAAATAGATTTTAACAAGCTCTTCTCATTAGATAATGTATTCTGTATATTTGGCTTTTTGTTCAACAAAGCCAACCTTAGCAAATATCTAAATGCTGTGAAGTTGTTCATATATAAAGTAACCAAAAATAGTCCTTGCTGTTTTTTTTGTTGTGTGGGTAGAAGTGACCACTGATACACAAACGTGTACACACAGGTCAAGCAGTGTGGAAGTAGCTCATTTGGGAGTTGTCTGCTTTATGACTAATGTAGACATGTCTGCAGCTGCATCAAGTCACTGAATACATCAAGCTTTTAGGGATAATGCTGTGAGTGAATGCACTGTTCATGAAGTTCGGGTTGGGAGATCTGTCCCTTTGTGATAAACCCTGCAGTGGCCATCTTGGATGATAAGACCCTAAAGGCAGCCATCAAGGAGGACAACAGCCAAACCTGTGGTGAGCTTGCTGAACACTTGCAGATTTCTGATGCAACAGTCAGACTTACCCATTTGTACACCTTTCCTATCTGGTGAAGGTTAACCCACACACTTGGAAGCCAACAAGCAACAATGAGTGACAGCCTGTTTCTTGTTGCTTTCTTGGCACTGCAACATACCTGTATTTGATACTTTTTGTCACTTATGAGCACTGTATGACATTCCCAAGCAAGCCAAGTATGTGCGTGCGTGTGTGTGTATATATACACACACACACACACACTTGGATGCCAATATTGGCATTTTTGCCCTGATCAAAGAAAATAAAAAAAGCATTTCTTGTTACTGAAAATAAAGAGTTGTAAAAATTTGACATTAGCAGGGGAAAAAAATTTTTCCCTTTTTTTTTTTTTTTTTTAAATCAGAATATATCAGGTTTAAGAGACTTGAAACTTCATAAAATTTTGATATAATTGCTAACAACATTGTTTTCATTAATGATATTAAAAATCTTAAAATAATCTTGTAGTTTAGCTGTATGATAGGGGTATATTCTAAATAAATTATTTCACATGATTGATCAAGTTTATGCTAAATCATATTCAAATACACACAGTTACAAACTTTTTTATTTCAGTTTTAATTGGACAGTCAAAAATTATGGTCCCGTGCCAGACTAAATAACATTGTGGAATGAAACAATGTTCAATAAAAAAAAATCAGTTCACCAACACCTATATTTAGTTTACATTGATTTAGTGAACAAATAAAATCTGGTTTTCAAAAGTACACAAGCTGACTCTACACTAGAATTATCGGTCAGTATGTACCCACTCTTACCTTTGTACTTGGGAAGGACACCACCATGGTGTGGTATTCCTACTTCAGCTTCCCTCATAGCCACAAGTGCTTGACTTTCAGTAACATTGGTTATTTGAGATAACTCCTCAGCTTTTAAAAAACCAGCCAGACTACTTGTCACTGTCAAGAGAAATGGAAAATGGACTCTGTTGTGTGATAGACAGGTTAAAAGGTTTTTGCAAATTTTTGTCAGGTACAAAATTAAGAAAATAAAAATTTTCATTCACTAACAATTTTTCTTCACTATTTAATTCTATAGTGAAAACCATCATTCTTTGCAAATGGATCAATGCTGAGCATTTAGAGCACTGACAGGTTATTGGTCCCAGATTTTGTTTCCAACTGTTGTCATTACTGAAAGGCTTTGGAGAAAAAAAAGACAAAATGACCCAACTTTGAGAAGAGTCATTAACATACAAAAAATGTGATTTTTCACTGCCCATAATACAGATGAAGTGCTGAAACTTGATCAAACAAATTTCAGGTATAAAATGGCAAAATTCAGTGACTAAATCATCAAATTTCACTTTTAAGCACTAATGTTACTATGTTGACTTTCATTCATTCATAGTTCTTTAAATGACCTTCAAAATTAAATTGGATTGGATTATGTACACAATAATTGCATCATAATGGTATTTTATATTTCAAGCAGACCTAGAACACGGATAAGAGAAAGAAATTAATATTAGATTGGCTATATAGGTTTACATGCTAAATGTTCGAGATCTGTCAAGATAATATCCAGCTATTTCATATGAATGAAAAAAAAATAGCCTACCTCAGGCATTTCAAAGTACTTCTTTTGGAACCTCCCACACATCACTTCTACATTTCAAAATAGTCTGCAAATTCCACTTCAGGGTTCACCATCAGCTGCCTTCTCCTTAGTCTGAAATCTCTCTTTCAAAAGCAATTTTAGCTTTGGGAAAAATCAGAAGATGAGAGGGTGGGGTGTTGACAGAATAGAGGGATGTCAAAAACCCTGCATGAGACATGGAAAATGAGCATTGTCAGTCACCAATTTCCTTTGAATGCAGTCAGCACATATTCAACAATTTTGGTTTCTCTGCTTATTGAAGGTCATCCAGAAAATGAATTGCTTTCAACAGATTCATGACAAAGTTTAAATTAACAATACAAAAATCTTATCAAATCATCCCTGAGAGACTTCTTAATCATTTGAATATGATGGTTACATAACATACAAGCTCATTGCTAACTGAGTAACCCCATTTGTAACCACATGCACAGTAAGATTCCCTCTTGTAGGTTAAGTTACATCAAGGCTGCACAGTCAGTTATCAAGTTTTTCTAATTCCATATAGAATATTGAGCCAAAACCTCACCATGCTATAATTTTAACAGCAAGCAGGCTTTTTATGGATTGGAGTTGCTACACCAAACTGTTTTTGAATTTAGAGTTATCCTTCTAGACTGGTTGCTAGAAAGCCCAGTTAGACCTGTTATTTAATCTATAACTGGAGGAACAAAAAATGGATTCATATGTTTCCCAAGGGTATTTCTGCAAAAGTGAACACAATGATCTCTGCCAAAATTTTAACTGAGCAGGCCAATCCCATTTGCCACACCAATAACCACTATGCTGTACACATCCATTCTCTGGATAAACCACATATATGTTTATAAGCTTACATAATCTGGCACTTACCTTCTTTTGAAGATGTAGCAGGAAATCTGTTCTCTGAACTGGGAGGAATGTCCGATTCTAATAGGAATGAAGGAACTTTTTCTGGAGTAGCTATCATTGGCACTCGAGGTGCAGACGGATTTTGTCTTTGGTGGAGAAGAGAAAATCTCTTGGTAGAATTGGCACTTGGCTTCCCATCCAGTGTAAGCCCTCCATTGCAAGGAGGAGGGTACCATAAAGAAGAACTTGTTTTGCCAACACACAATATATTGCTTTTATTACCCAGGATGCCACCATCAAAATACATATGGGATACTATTGGCTTTGTTCGGTTTACAGTCTGTGCTACAGGTTTCGAAGTAGATTTCTGCTGCAGACATAGCTGGACCTTATCCCAAAGCCAGTTAATTTCCTCATCAGTTGGTGTCTTATCAACAGAGAAACCAAACTTAGTAAATGGTGCCTGTTCCTTTGTTATCGCTGTTTCTATCTCCTTCTGCAAATAAGAATTCTTTGGATTTGGCAGGCCTTGGTTATTTGGTGCCACCAACTTTTTAAGTGTCCCCATGTTAATATACTGAACATTGTTTTTGCTTAAGGGTTTTTCATTGATGTTTTTCTTGTCTATCCAAGTGCTATTAGGAGGTGATGGATCTGCTGCTGCTACCTGTGAAGTTTGTTTGATGATGTGAGCTTTTGCTTGTGGTCTCCCGCTCGGCTGTACACAGTTTACTTGCGGCTTTTGTGAGGGTTTATTGCAGAAAGGCTCTTTGTTATCAGATTCCTTGTTATTGCTGTTTGTTTTCTGATGCCCATTTCCTGCACAGATTAAATATGTTTGTTTAATAAGAATTATTTTATTACAGAGGAACAATTTTGTTAAAAATATCATGTTGAATTTGCTGATAAGAATATTTTACAATCACATCATTTTTTCCATGATTCAATAACTTTAACAAAAAAATAACAAAATGAATCAATTCTTTGGCAGAGCTGATTAATATGATGGCTGTTCATACACAACAGGATTATGGTATGAATCAGGAAGGAACTGGTTTGTATAGATTTATTTGAAACTTCTTCATTATCAATATTTATTAGACTTTCCGTGCAAAGCCAAATGGAAACAGAAAAATTATGCTTTTCAAGTGGATAGGGCTTACATACTTTCAAAATCAGTATTTGAAATACCTGGGCTTGAACACTGACAGTGAGAAATATGCAATTAACCACCATTATTATTTACATTCTCTTTGATTGCTACCAAGTTTCTCAAGAGATAAAAAGGAAGACAAAACAAATCTCCACCTCATATAATGGTTGCAGCTTACCATTATGTTGCTGCAGAGGGTCGTGATTGTTACTGTTATTATCAGAAGAGGAATTTTCAACTGTCTCTTCAGCTCCATTTGATGTTGGTTCATATTTTAACTCTGTATGGTCTGTAATAAGTACATCATCAAGTTCATAGAATTGGTCCTCAGCTGCAAAATGGACATGTTTTTTGGTGGGCTGTAAACAGAAAACGCTCATTTCATTTTCAAGTACTAAGCAAACACAAAATTACATTCATTTTCATCACTAAAACAAACAAGGCTTTTCTGTCGTACTTACAAACTCAGAAAACAGTTATCTTCAATAATTATTTACATGAGATATCTCAAAATTCAGAAAACCTGGAAAAACATGAACTAAACAGATTTTTATGAATACCCTTCAAAGACTGTGAAGACTAGATGCTAAGAACATGTCATTTTTTTTTCTTTCATGATCATAAGTGAAGCCATTATTAAAAACTTGTTATGAATTTGAGTATCCACTATTGAAAAGGGTTTTCCAGGTTTAAAATTAAAGTTAAGTTTGTGTCAGTGACTATACAATGACTTAGAACTGAGAAAGTAACCCCAGATCCAGTGGCAAACAGTCTTATGGTCTACCCTACAAATGCATAATGTAAATATTTGTTTATATTTCTTTTTCAGACAGGTACTTTACAACAGACATACTTGGTTGGACAAAATAAAATTGTAAAATTTGACCATATTAAGTAAAAAACAAACATTATTTACATGCCGACTACTGTTTGTCCTCATTTTTGTTGTTATTCAAATAGAAAAGAACAGTTCTGATTCTGTGCCAAGAAGTGGTGAATGCATTGTCTTGGCCTCCATCTTCACTGTTTATCTAATGCAATTTCTCAAAGCCAACAAAATCTGACTACAGGACAGAGTGAAAGAATTTTATTTTCCTACCAAATTATTACTTATATTTACTTATATCTGGTACAAAGCCTCAAGGAGAGAGAATTCAATGAAGATCAATCTCATTACAGCCATAATGGCCTGCAAAACTAACTAGTGTTCTATGGTATGCTTTCCATCTCTTCAAATACAATTGATATGTTGTTTTGGATTATATTGATGATAAAAAAATAATATGAAAGTTGTTTAATAAAATTGACTGTGAAATTTTTTTTTAAAATAAAGAATTAAAAAAAAAATAAAACATTAAATTTAATTTTTATTATTTCTGGTGAAATTAGCTTAATACTCATATATGAATAGTTTACTAAATGAACAAATGAACTTTTTCTTGGAAGAAAATTAAATTTGACCAATAAATCACAAGCAGACTATACATATGTATAAGTGGCTGTGAGTGTCCTCAGTGCTGTCCCAGTCTCCATATTGTACTCATTTTTTGTTCTAAGCTGTAACCTCAGCTGAAAATTTTTTGGTTTTATATTGAAAATAATTTTTTTCATATATTTTTCTAAAAACACAAACATGGACCAAGTGAGAAAATTAATAATAGAAATTAAGAAGGAAATAATTTTTAACCATGAAAGTGGAACAAGTGTTTAAACTTAGTGCAAACTATTGAATGGTGAAATCAACAGTCTGCACTGTACTCAAAATCATGCGTGAATTAAAAAATATTCAAGTGGCTAAGGGAACAACCACACTTAGTAAATTATGTAGAGTTTTTTTGAACAGATGGAAAATTTACTTTTTGTGTGGATTAAAGAAACAGAAGTTGTTGGTGATTGCATAAATTATTGATTCATAAAGCCAACCTTGGTAACCTTAGAGCTAATGCTACCAGTTGAAGTGACACTACAGTACCAGAGTTTCTTACTGGTTTATCAGATTCAAAAACTAAATGAATTACATAGTGTTTTGGTACATGGTGAGGCTGCTAGTGTAGATCATAAAGCAGCATGATGTCTTTTTAAACATTATTGAGGAGGGTGGCTTCAGGTGTTCAACTGCAACAAAACCGGGCTTCTTTTAGAATACATAACAGAAGAGACTTCAGTGCCAAGCCACAAGCTGATGAAAGACTAAATAATGTTATTTATTCGTACGTTTGTACAAATGTGGCACAAGGCCAAAAAGGGGATTGGGGAAGGACGGTCTTCTTCTGTCTTAATTCTAAACTTAGCTAGTCACAAACACGTACCCAAACATTTCAACAATATTCCTATCACCAAAACAACACATTCACTCCTACCTTTCTTACTATGTCCACCATAATACCTCAAATTCTCTATGAAAACCTAACTAGTCCCCATATGTACATTTCAAAGTCTGTGCGGGGAGGGGAAAATAACAATTTAAAAACCCTAATGATTATTTACAATATGATTTAATACTATTTACATAAAACAAAACAAAATAGGGTTAGTAATAAAACCCCACACAATCCCTGAATGTGGCAGAAACATCAGTTAACTGGATGAAATAATTGCGGGATTATAACATTATGAAAAACCAAGCACGCCCAGAAACACGCACTCATTTAGACACAATAACAACTACGAAAACACACACACGAAACGAAAGTCATCCCGCAACAACCAGAGAACTGACATCACTGACCACCTAACGGGGGAGGGGATGGGGAATTAAACAAAAGAAAAATAGGGACAGAAATAAAAGGGGGCCAATGAGCATGCATACTCTAGCTAAGTTAACCAGAAAATGGGAAACTAAAGATTCAAACTAAAAAGCCTGAACTAGCCTAATATCGGGGTGGGTTGCCTTTGTTCAACCCTGATAGGACAAAATCCTGTACCTAACCGACATCCAAGTGCCACTCCAGGTCAGCCCCTTTTACTCTACACATTCGCGCAAGATTTACCCACCTTTTGCTGAATTCTGATGAAGAGAGACGCTGCCTTTCCGTCCTAATCTTGACTTTAAGCAGATGCCTAAAGTACAAGATCAGTTGGGAAGAGGTAAACTTCTCACCTCCATAGAATCCCTTCTGACGTGTCAACCAAATCACGACTCTCATAACTCCTAGCAAGCAGTGGAACACAAAGTTCAGCCTTCATCAATGGCGGTGCCACATTGCTACAAGCAGAAGAGGCCTCAAGGACAAAGAACTTTCCGTGCAACATGCGAACCATGAGGCCTTCAACAAACTTACACAACGGAGCTACCAACTTGCAATGAAAGAAGACGTGACCTAGGGTCTCGACTTCCCCACTACAACGTCGGCAGTTTGGATATTTCTCCAAGCCCACTGCGCAAAGCTTTTTGGCGACCCAGAGGGCTCCATGCATCACCAGCCAGGTGAGGGATGCCTCATCGTTATTGAGACATTTCAACCCGGGAGCCCAAGGCCAGACCGAGCGAGCTTCCTGCTTTGTAAGACCGAGTTCATCAATCAGATCATCATGAACGGCCCCCCTAACTAATACTTGATATAATGCCCTACGAGACAACGCCTGGACATTGGAGAGGCCATCCGACGCCCGTAAGAGGCGTTTCAGAGCAAGACGACATTCACGATAGAAGGAGCACTCAGCTCGGGGTAAATGGTGGACCTCCTCCTCACATGAGTGCACACTTCTCAAGGATGGGAAATTTTGACGAGCGTCTTCCTTCCAGAAGGCGCCCTTCTCATCCGGTCCGTGACGCAAACGATCTAGGAACCCGATGTGAAGCATACAGAGACAGATCTCAATGCTAAGCATACCTAGACCGCCTTCAGAAGGATGAAGGCAACAGATCTCCCGAAAGACTCTGGCAGCCTTGCCTCCCAACAAGGAGAACAAGAGTTTCACTAACGCCAGCAAAGTGTCAGACGGAAGTGGAAGTACAGAGAGTCGGTAAAGGAGAATTGGGTAGATATGTGAAACACATACCTCCACCCTCCCCTTTAAGGAAAGATTCCACTAAGACCACAAATTAATTGTGATCTCGGCCTTCCCTTGCACCTCTGACCAATTCATTCCCAACTGGATACCTGGACCGAACCAGACGCCGAGTATCTTGACTGGTCCATCCGTCCAGTGGAAAGGTCCGGGAAGAGAAACTCCCTTCCACGCACCCAACCACAAGCCAACAGACTTATCGCGGTTGATCTTGGCCCCTGTCACCATCTCATAACCACTGATTTCTTTGCTGACTTTGTTAATCTCGGCTCTGCTCGACACAAGAACCAAAACGTCGTCAGCATAGGCAAAATACCTGGCCGAGGTGGAAGCACCAGGTAGAGAAATTCCGCGCAGGACCGGATTCGCCTTTAACTTGCAAAGGAAAGGTTCCAACGCAAGAACGTAAAGCATAGGCGAAAGCGGACAACTCTGACGAATAGATCGAAACAATATGAAAGGTTCCGATCTTACCCTGTTCACTTCCACCAGCGCACCGGGAGTCGCATATAGAAGACGTATCCAGGAGCGAAAGTACGGCCCGAAACCGGCAGCCAAAAGAACAGCCTCCAGAAATCGATGGTCAACCCTATCAAAGGCCTTGGACTGATCCAAATTGATCAGCGTGGCTTCACTGTCGGCTTTCTCGATGATCAAGTGGACCATATGAAGGTTGTCCTGAATAGTCCTGCCCTTCACAGCACAAGTCTGTTCGGAGCCAATCAGACGACACAGGACAAGCTGCAAACGGTTAGCTAAGATCTTTGCCAAAATCTTTAACTCTGTATTTAACATAGTTAAAGGGTGAAAATTACCTATCCCATCCCCACCATTTTTGTCCTTACACAGCAACTTGATCACACCCCTGGTGAAGCGTTGAGGTATAGACCCCTGCTTCATCCAGTTGTTGAAAATCAGTTCCAGCAAAGAAACAAAAACGGGCGACTGCCTCAAGTAGACTTCGTAGGGAAGACCATCTAATCCTGGAGATTTATCCAGGCCAACCTGTTTTAACGCTTCCCAAATTTCCGACTCTGTGATGGGACCCTCACACCTAGCCGCTTCAGCTGCCTCAAGGCAGGGAAAGTCGGCTAAATAGGTGTCGAACTGAGCAGTGCTCAGACGGGGCTCCCTGGTAAAAAAATCCCAAAAAGCCTCACATATGCCCGAGTTTGTAGTCATGGTCCGCTTATCCGGCAATGTGACGCACACGATATGCCGCCGTGATGCATTCCTACTCTCCTCTGCATGCAATTCTGCGGCCATGTTCGTCACCTCAGGGGACATTCTTTTTAACCTAGCCCTAACTACCAGAGCTTGATCCTTCTTGATAAGCAAGGAGGCCAACTCTGCCTTAGTTAAGGCTACTTCCCCACTATCACGGGATTTAACTGCCTGATACACTCTTTGCTCTAAAGCCGTTTGCGCCACTAATCTATCTAGATTGAGTCGACGGCTAAAATCAGCAGCAAACGTTCGAATTTTAGATTTTAATTTGTCCCACCAGGCATTTCCCACCACAGCCCCCGTCAGTTCCCTTTGTAACATTAGTAGCAGCTGGTCCCGGAATTCCTGCTCGCCAAATAACGAGCAGTTGAATTTCCAGTAACCAGCCATCCTAACCTTAGGCTTATCTAAGTTTACACGGACTATGATCCGAATAAACTATATAATGGAAATTTGGACACCCTAAGAGCCCTATATTGACTCTCCTAACTAAAACTCGGTCGAGGTAGCTAGCACGCATACCTACAGCCAAGCTGCCACTATTAGTCCAAGTCCAAACTACCCGCTGAGGGTACTCATTCCAGTATTTGTCGACGAGATTGAACCCGCCAACAGAGTTGCGAAATGGTTTCATGACCCAGATGTTAGTACCCGAATATGAATTTGACCCTATAACAATCTATGTCTGGGTCAAGAATGGCATTCCAATCACCCGCTAAAACTACCCGATGTGATGTCGTCATAAACATCCCAATCTGCCGAAACAAAGCAGGCAGCTCAGTCTGGATATTGGGCCCATAAACCCCAATGAGACGTGAAGCCTTATCCTTTATGGTAACATCTAGCACACAAAGTCTGCCCGCCAGATCTGCGAAGACAAGAACACACACAGCCTTCAAAGACTTGCTCACCAGCCAAGAGACACCCCTCAAGCGTCCATCAAAACATGCTGAATAAAGAGTAAACCCCTTAGACAGAATGCCTTCATAATCGCGAGAAGAAAAACGTGTCTCTTACACACAGCATATATTCACCCCTAAGCGCTGAAGGTTGCCAGTGAGCCTCACCCTCTGAGACTCGGACCTCAGGCCTCGGGCATTCACACTTGCCAACCAGAGAGACATTGTCAAATCGATTAGGATAGAATATGACTGGGGTGAGGACACCGACAACTCGTCCCATAGATCCAGATGCCATCTCACTTTCAACAGTATCATCTTGAGACAAGCAGCCAATGTCTGAAGGATACGTTAATTTAAGAGCCCTATAAAGGGATGGGTGAACAAAAACGGGGACCCTCCCTTTGAACTTTTGGTTTGATTCGTCCATCTCTGGGTCGAGTAGGTAGGCAGCTGGGGGCACCATTTTTAGAGATGACTGGGCCTCCTCTATCATGCCCCAAATCTCCCGCGTACCCGGGCCAGTTCTTATAACGATCAGTATTCTTTTGGCAGAAGGGAAATTTTCAGGCACTTCGACATCCAATCCGTTGATCTCTTTAAAGTTCCATAAAACTTTTAAGGCTTTCGGGTTCCTATTCTGCCCGAAAACCTTCTCCACCTGTACTCGGGATATTCGGCAGACGTCTTCCCCTGGGAGATATGGTGGCTTAATTTTTTGTTTTTCTTGTCAATAGCTGCCTGTGAATCGGGGCTTCTATTTCTTTTCTTTTGAGGAGATTGACTAGGTGTTTAAACAGGTGTATCTCTGGGAGTGGTAGAGGGTGTCATGCCAGAAAGTGTCTTAACAGGGGAAGGTTTTGTTGATGGATGGGATTTTGACGGTGAGTTTGTCAATGATTTGGGCGGAGGTGGTTTTGTGAAAGTTTTTTTGGATGATGAAGGGGAAGACGGGGCAGAGGATAAGGGGCCTGGTGCCCCCCAGCGATTTTTGATTTTTAGCCTGCTTTGCGTCCAGTTTCTCCTTCAACTTTTTGATGTCTAGAATTTTCTGCCAGCTAGGCTCATTCAATTTTTGTGTGGATGTGGCATTTTCTTCATACGACGCCAAGGCATCACCCTCAGAGCTGGTAGAGGGAATGGGGCTGTAGGTGTTTTTATCCCCGGGGTCATGATGGGACAGAGGCCCTGCTGTCCGGATCTTCCCTTTGGCCCTAACTACAAGACGCCATTCCCCCTCTCCCCTCTTCCTTCTCCTTATCCACACTTGTGGCAGGTGTTGGTTTTGGGGTAATGTGGGTAAAGACCCAACCGAGGATTTTCCCCCACCTGTCCGCTTCTTCAGAAGTTAGGCCCACTACAGGCGCCTTGTGGTTTTGACAGTCTCGGCCAAAGGGGGATTTTGGTCGCCAACGGCCAGAACTCCAGGGGCCTTCTTCCCTGGTCAGGAGAAGGAAAGGTGACCAGTCTCTCCACACCTCCAGCAAGTAGATTTCCTACCGGTCACAATGACCGGCATTTTCCGTCCGCCTAAATCCAAATAGTTGGGATGGACTTGAAGGCTTTCTGATCCAACATAATATCGAAAGTCCATTCCCCGTTCAAGTTGTCGGAGAGAGCCCCTAAAATCTGGCCGTGCTGCATAAAAAATGCAGCCAGATGCTCTCCTGATACCTGAGGAGGGACCTCAAATACAGTCACCCTGGTCCTTTGCCGACCCTCATATTCAGTCCTTAGAATAAGGTCTTTCGTGATTAGTTCTTTTTTTGCCATTGTTAGGCAATCTTCAGGTGTAGGCAGCAGTATGTCCCACATGAAAAACCCAGCACCTTTAATAACTCTTTGGGGTTTTATCCCCAGGGACAAAAGTGATTTAATCACTCTGTCTTTCGTGGAGCGACAAATTTTGCGTGATCGCTTGTCCACCACGAAAACCGACACCATTCTCTTTGAGAACACCTTGGGCTCATGGACGTCTTCAAGGAGCCCAACTTTATTTACAAGATGAGATTAGCCTTTTCCAAGAAATCCGCTATGTTCATTATGCAACTTGGGAGGACTTCCAGCAAGAGGGCGATTCCTCAGCTGTCTTCTTAGCTTGTGCCTCCTTCAGCACCTCGTCAGTTGAAATTTGGCTTGAGACCTGCCTGGTCTCTCCCTTCTTAGGGCTACTAGCATCCTTTGCACTAGCTTGGTCTTCTATATTAGGGGCAGCATTTGCGCGTTTCTTTGATGATTTCATTTTATCTGGTGGGTCGGCCTTAGCAGCCACCCCAAAAAGGTCCTTTTTCACACCTTACCAAATTGCTTCGTCGGCCATTTTGAAAATACGTGGAGACTTCCACCTGCGGGTCTATATATATTTTTGTCCAACAATGGGGAAAGGAGTTGGAATAAGGGAAAAACAATAATCTAAAAATTAGAAGTTAAACAAATAAAGAAAAGCCTGGATACACCAGGAAATTAAAAAATACAAAAAACAATAAACTTTTAAACAAGGGCTATTAAATAAACTGGGCAAACTAAAAGTTAACCCATATTAGAAATAAATAAAAAAAAAAAATCAAACTAGATCAACTGAAAAGAAAGAATAAATTAAATAGTCAGGTAGGATTTTTTTTTAAATCAAAATGGTGCCCAAAGGCTGCCGAGAATGAAAGAAAAAACAATTAAAGAGACTCCTTTCTTTTGTTCAACAAATAAATTCAAATATAATATACAAAAAAAAAGAAAAGAAATAAAAAAGTCTGGTTTGAAACTAGTCATACCAAATTAAAAATAAAGGTTTGTGGCCGAAGTCGCTAAAGAAATAAATTAAATGAAAAAGAAATACAAAAGTATTAAACTAGTCAAACCAAAGAATAAAAGATTGCGACCGAAGTCACTAATTAAGTAAAAACGTGGGAGGGTATAAACTAAAAAGGAACTAAAACCAAAGCTTTCTTTTTCTTTTTTCTTAAACAGTAATGAAAGACTAAATAACATCTTTGTTCAAACGTTTCTGGGAACAGATTCGTATATCGAGACCACACTGTAATTGAGCAAATGAGGCACTGATGACAGATTTACTTACCTTTGATTGTGTGTTTGCTTCAGTTATCTCCCTTCCAGCATTATTAAATTGCTGTCGCGTGATTTCCAAGCTATCACGGAGGTCACGTGCTTGTGTTATATTCAACCCTCGACAGGAACCATTTTCAACTGAGGCTATTTTAAGAATACCGCGAATAGGTTTTGTATTTCCAGTGGACAGCTTCCTTGTAACAATCTTCTGATTGGATTCTTGCCAGGCATTATTCTTTTTGGTCACTGCATTCTTGGATTTTGTTAGGAGTTTAGAATTCTGTTGGGTTTGTTTTGTTATTACTGGCTGGTCACCAGTGAGGTTCTCAGAGATGACTGCATTATTGTTAGTCGCAGATTTTTCATCTGATTTCAGTTCATTATCACAATTTCTGTCTGAAGGTTGCGATATTTTGATGGGTCTCCCTTGTGGGCATTTTAATTTAGTTTCTTCTGTTCTTATAATTTCTGGCTTCTTTTTTTCATGTACAACAAGATTGTCCTTGCTCTTTAAATGATGACCAGTCTCACTGTTAGTGCAACTGGCAACATCTGAATTAACCTGGGGACTTATCTGCTGTGGATACTGTTCAATCTGGAGGTGGTTTGTAAAAATTTTGGATTGTTGTGCTATTTCAGGTACCCAAACCAAATGTTGTTGGGAAAAACCATTTGTGACTGGATGGAAAGTTGTTGAAAGTTGTTGTTCATAGAAATCATACTTTGGTTGGAATATAGTCTTCCTGGTTGGTGCTCCACAGATGGGCTGATTGTCTTTTGATAGCATTCTGTTTGTTTGTTGTTGACTGCAGTTTTGATCTTTATCCAATTCTTTAGGGTTGATTTGACAAATGTCAAAGTGTGTGTCTGCTTTATTCAGATTTACCCCAGCTTCCATCAGCTGGTGGAAGCCACCAGGTTCCTTATCCAGGGCTGGGGATGGTTGAATCCAAGCTGTTTTTCGAAATGATGGACTCTCATTTTCCTGTGAAACCCAGGGTGAATTTTTGTTATCTCCACTGGCCAGGGTTATGATGGCAGGATTCTTTTGTTGAGAAGGATTTTGCTGTTGTTGTTGTTGGATATTGTTTACCTGTCTAATTGGATGATGCTGTTCTTGGCTACTGGTGTTTTCTCTTTGAGCAAGACTTGAGTGGCCACTAATTTGTTTGCAGTTTGCTAAAAGAGATAAACATTTCACAAGAGATGATTTATTTCTTGCATAATAACAGTAAGCTTTGATTGATCATTTAAACTCACTTGACTCTGCAGACATTGCAGAAAATAATACCTTAGACACACTAACAAAATATCATTGGCCTACCTTTATATGTATCATATTTTATAAAAAATATTATACAATCAATATCTGCTGTATAGACAGGAATATTTATACAGGATGCAACTTCACCAAATAGATCCACATTTTGGCTGTTCGAAACTGCTATGCTAATTTTCTTAAATTTAATTTTTTTTTTAAATAAATTCTACAATAAAGATTTGATATATTTACATGTTTTATACTTCATAGCAGTTTATATACAGAGTGCCATGGATAAATTGTCTAAATTACACAAAAATGAAAATAACACTGACATCTAATTTTAACAGACATATTTACCAAAATTACACAAAAATATCTTGAAAGTGTGAATTTATTCAATAAAATTGCCATTGGTTTCACCCATGTTTAAGTTGGTGATTGCTGCCATATTCCATTCCTTCAGTTCATCTTTGATGTTACAAGAAGTTTTGTTGGTCTCTTGCTCAACTGCGTCTCACATACTAATCAAGAGGGAGTGATGTGGTCACAGAAATTGTCTGACAGTCATGACTGGGATCTTCTGCATGTGTGGTATGGTGCAAAGACCTGTTGCTAGACATAGAGCCTTCCAGAAGTCACCCTCTTGACCAGGTCAGCACTATCACCTCAAAGCACTTGATGTAGGCTTCTGTGTTGAGTCTGAGGCCCAGTAGGAAGATGAATGGAGGCATAACATAGCCATCACTAGTGATCACTCCAAACACCATGATGTTGACTGGATATTTGTTTTTCATCACTTTTAGTACATCTTTTGGGGATACAGCATCCTCTGCACTGTCCTCAGACTTACATCCAAACACTCTGAAATGTTTGTATTGGAGGTCCAGCACGAATGCCAAGCAATACAGCATGCTGTTTCCAGATTTCTGGTAGAGTGATTTGCCTCATTGTGCTCTTTTTGTTGCAGATGGTGCCCAACTGACTCTACTATACTGTGCAGTTGATAAAATAAAAAACAAACAATACACATGCGCAAAATTAAAAATGTAAATTTACCCATCGCACTCTGTATTTATAAAGTTCTTGTTTAGAATTTTAATAACTTCTAACTTCTTTTAAAAGCCTCTCCCCAACCCACCTATGTCAAGTGATCATCAACCAGTAGTCAACCTGGACATAGGAGCAGTAGGTGGAGGCACTTCTGAGAGGAGGTAACCTCAACATCTCCAGTGCAAAAGGAACCGGCAAGCTATTGCACTATTTTGCCTTGAATATTATCATAAACCACAATTACAACATGGGAAGTGGTGACTACAGCAGTACAAAAAGAATAAATGAATGAATGAATGAAATGATAATATTTGACTTTTTGCCTTCCTTTTGTTTAAGGTTTTGAGTCTACTGATACCATTTTTGTCCCTAAAATGAATTACATCCTTCTAAAATATGACATGTAATGCAAAGGAAATAAGCTGAAATCAAGCCAGAAAGAGGGTATGCATTCAATTTAAGATAGCAGATATGATTAAACTACTTAACTCACCCTTAAAGTCAAAATCCTGGGCATAATTGGAATATTTTGTTTGATTTTGTTTCTGTCTGTTTCCTTCTGTTGATACAATGAAATGATTCTCTTCTGCTACTACTTGATCTTGTTTTGTATCCTCCACACTGTCAACACTATACAAATCATCCTCTGAGTCAGTGTCCTCTTCCTTTAGAGCTACAGTTATTTGCTCACATTCCTTTGTCTTCTCTTGCTGCTGTAATTTTCGTCTCAGATGCTGCTCAAACAGGTTACGACTATTTGTCAAGTTTCTAAGACTTTGGTCATGAAGATGAGCATTTGCAACTGCATGGCCTGGTTGGGAAGAGGGTCGATTGGTCAGTAATTTATTCCCACTATGCAATGGACTGTTGGCTCTTTTGTCCCTGTCTTTTGAAAACACTCGGGCCGAGCTGGAACGTTGCTTTGTTAGTGTTACTGTGTTAACCAAGTTTGTTCCCCCTCGAATGATGCATAGAATGTCTTCCAAGCTGGTCCCTTCTATCAAAAATAAAAGAAAGGAGAAATATTTTGAAAGCAATGAAATTAGCCCAGAAATTTAATTCACTTCTTCAAGGCTCAATTGAGAAGCAATGGAATTTTGTTTGATTGTTAAGAACACAAAAACTGTAAAGAAACTCTCAAAGTAAAATATACACAAATTCCTCACACAGTACGACAGAAGTCCTTCAAAAAATGTAGATATTAATTGAAACTAATCAAACAGAAATAGATCAAAGAGTAAGAGAGACAAGAAAGAATCATTTGGGACAAGAAGAAAAACTGACTTTATAATGAAATTCAGAATGTTTTTAAAACTCTCTATGAGTTCTGTGGGGCATTGTCACGGCATCAGTAACCATGGGGTTTTCAAACACATTTAAAATATTATAGATATATCATTTAATTCTTAATTTCTCTTTGTTCTATATTGTCTGGAGTGTTCTTTCTGATTTTTGTAGAATAATTAAAAATAAAAAAGGGTTTTATTTTGAAAAATTGATTTAAAAAGTCAATTAAAAAAATGAATATGTAAGTTTTAAAAGTTCAAATATGCAAAAATAAGTTTCATTTTATATTCAGTAAGTAAATAGAACCATCTATAATTCACACACATTTTATGACAAAAGCCATAAACTCTTTGTATCATGAAAATTTGTTTACCACTTGCTAAATATTAAGGAAAATCATTTTATGGGGTGTTCAAACACATCACGACACTAACAGAGGGTTAAAAATACCACAAGAGCATTGAATAAGATGAAATTAAATCTCACATGAAGACACCACGGCTTTATCCAAAAAGCTTGCTCAGGTTGTCAAATATACAGTGGCATTAAGTCATCAATTACTCACCTGTGTAGTTGGGTTCCATAAACATCTAACTCTCAGAGAAACTATTAATTCAACTGGAACTCTTTCTGTAATTAATCTTCTCCTATAGCGCCTTCTTGGAAAACTTGCTGGTATTATAGCTATATTGGTACTAATATTTCTGATGTAATTAAAAAAATTAGGACACACATAGACCACATGCAAGTTCATTTCTACAAATTTTCCTGTTAGTCAAAAATTAGAAAAATACCTACAGACAAATCAAATGGCTCTGCTTAGATCAGTTTAAAAATTTAGAGTGTTTATTTAGCTCATTCTGTTAAAAAATGTATTTATTAATCAACTTTCTGAGTGCCTTAATGGCTTATAATACTTCATTCTAATGACTAACCAGTTAGTTTGAGGTATTAAATTTGTATGGCATTATATTATTTATTATATTACTCAAACTTCAGTTATTAATTTGCTTTAGTATCAACATTCTTCCATTGCAACTACTTATTATCAAATGCTAAAAGAAAAAGTGCAAATGTTTATTCACATCATTTGAGGATGTGAATAAATAAGAAAAGCTTTACAAGATTAGCAGTTCTTTTATAGTAGTTCTTGTTGTTTATTAATCAAATATTGTTTTGTTGCAAGAATATTTTCAGAAATCATTTTTAACATCCATATTTCCAAAATTAATGAAGACTAGCTTCCTATCTGTTTCTACAAAAATTTTAGAAAAGGTGATGCCAAGTGTAACTGAAAAACATTATATTGAAATGAGTTTTTATAAATGTACCAAATAAAACTGGACTGCAGATTTTGGAAAATATTCAACACTTGCAATAATTAGTGCATATGCTCTGCTCAGAACATTCAATATACAGGCATATACTATGTAATCCTTGATTTCAAAATAAGACACAAGGTTTAAGGCAGCAGTAGGATTCAAATTTTTTATAAACTAGTTCTCTTTTCTTTTACATCTCAACTTTTTTGTTTATAAAATTAGGAAACAGTTCTCTTTTTTTTTTGTATCCCTAAATTATTTTGTCATTGACAAACAAAGAAGTAAATAAACAATTTCTGCAAAGTTGTGTAAATTTTAGCAAATGGTTCATGTGAACCATTGCACAGACCTTGAGTCACACCACTGATTTAAGGCTCCAAGCTGTGTAAGTTTATGCCATATGCAACCCTTGACTACCGAAAGAGATACAAAGTTTAAAGCTTCAAACTTTCACCACCAAAGTAGACCCACAAGCTGGTTTCTGCTGCAAAGTTCATTTCATTACTTGAAAGTTCTGTGTTCCATCTGATTTCAATCTAGGCAATGTAATAGTACAAGATTTTAGTGGAAGAGTATAGCAAAAACAAAATGGTGGCTGTTAAGAGGTAAACAATCCAAAGGAAGAATACCATGTGACAAAAAGCAAAGAATGAGATCAGTGTAATCCCACTCTTCAAAAGAAATAAGGATTCAAGAATAATGGGTACCTGAAGAAGACTGGAGAGTATAATGGCTGGAATATGGTAATAAAACAACGAACATGAGGATGTTAATCTGAATGAATTATTGAACAATATTTTTTCTGATTTTTCTTTCATCTGGTATTTTTTCAACAACAGAAGTTGAAGTAGAGATGAACCGCAAATATTTTTTTCCTTAAAACATTCTACTTTTCATAGGGCTTGTTCTTCTGAGTTCATTGTCAACAACACAATAGGAAGTAGATTGTAATATCCTCACTATCAGACAAATTAAAACAAATACTACAAGGTTTCCACATTGATTTATAAAAATCCCTACTCATCAAACATAAAACATGAAATTCACTTATTTTATTCTGTATCTTTGGATTTTACTTTTGGGAAATTCTTTTAGATACAATGTCACTTCTAGTCAAAATGCTTAGAGGATGATAGGAATAAATATTGAAATATTAACAAATCATTCATCCACACTTTGTTAAATTTATATATGAATTGATTGTATCTTATTTTTTTAAATCACCAACTTTGTTTTTCAATAATTAGATGAAAATGTTCAACTATAAAATAAAGAATTTTCTTGTAAACTTCACAGGATCAAAGCCAGATGTCAAAAATAAAATATATTCCCTAGTCAATGTTGCACACATTTCTCTTACCAATTTCATTATTCACTCAGATCTAAGAATATGAGAAGCAAAATGATGTTATTGAAAGTATATTTTAGCAAAAAGACATGTTTTCAAAGTCACTTTAAGTGAACAATGACCACCTACTTGTCTTGTTTTTGTTCCGTAGTGGTGCTCGCTGGAACCGTTCAGTTGCTTCCTGCTGCAACTGTCGTCTCTGCAATAAAATTTCCTGCTGACGTTTCTCCTCCTTCATGGCAACCATTTTCCGGCGCATTTCTTGCACTCTACAATGAAAGCAACACTAACTGCAAAGATTTTCAAAGAGTATTAGTTCACATTCATGCCTGTTAGAAAACATTTTTATTTTTTAATTCTTTGTACATTTTGCTTATTTGTTAAAAATCTGACCAGTTTTATACTTAAAGCTTTCTGAATATAGTCATCACTTGATATCCAATTTCACCAGTGTAGGATAAAAATGTGACTTGAGCCCAGCCAGAAACTTACATGCATAAAATGTTGCAGATATGCTTACGTCTGGCAACAAGAACATTGTCATTGTGGATTCATGGGTGATACTTCAACCCACCAAACTTTTTACACACCTTGTCACATTCACTGTTGTCATGTTTTGGTGGGAGCTGCCCAGACCTCACTCTCCAGCCTTGATAGAATTCAAAAATGTCTCCACCCTTCAACCTCTCTCCCCCAGGTGGGATGTGGCAAGCCTCTTGTTGCTCTACCTCTACTTCCATGGTAAGTGCTCGGTCGAACTTGTGGGGTTCAGCGTACCCGGATTAAAGGAGAATTTAATACTGGATACCCTGCCCACAAAATACAACGCAAATTTCAAGAAGAAACAACACGATAAGGAACGTTTATAAAAAATAGAACATTGTATATTTATTATCTTGTGAATAGGGTAAAAAAGATTAATGTTTTAGTTCGTTTAAGCAAAAATGTGATTTTGATAAAAATGTCTGTGTTCGCTGTCTTTTAACAGAGTAGCAGAATAATGTCTGTTTCTTTTGTTTTGTATAGTTGTAAAATGAAAAAGGGGCGAGCAATTTAAGTTGAAAAAGAGAGTGTGAATGAGGGATAAAAGGAAAATGTACTTATGAATTGTTTTGGAGTCAGTTGTAAATTTGTTGTTGTTGTTGTTGTTGTTGTTCCTTCCTACTCCACTTTTCGGCTCTTTGTGTAAGTTTGAGTCAGTGATGAAATTTACTGTCAATCTTCTGTGATCTTTTGCGCCCTTCTCTGACTGACTGACTGGCGACTGACTTGAAAACTCTGTATTTATTGTTGACTTTTTTTTCACACTGGCTCGTTAACTTTTTTGGTTTAGCAAATCGCCTCCTTTCATTGGTCAAAAATTAATTTCACACCTTATTGTGAAATCTGTTTTTTAGTCGTTTTGATCCGATTTTGCGGGTGTGCAAATCTACTTTGTGTTTTTTTAGTCATTTGTTGGAATATAGGATTTGTATCCTATAAACTACATTTCCTGGTCATGCCAAATCAAACCTTCACAGCAAGAACACACTATGCCATTTACATAGTAGCAAACCACCCATATTCCATCCGTATTCTATTGGTGAGAAGTACGTTCCATTCGAGCAGCTTTGTCACGCGAAACACTGCCCAGTAGAACCTACTCCAACAGGATGTTTCCCCAATCACTACAATTTTAACCTGTTGAAGGCTAGGGTTAACCTTTATCTTCCACTCCTATACACAAAAATGGCCTACTAAAGTAACCCTTTTACTTGATTGCACCCCCAGGCCTTGTAAATTCTGAACTTTACTGTAAAAAAAGTAAAAGGTTTGGGATATTAGGTTGTCCTTTTTACTTACTTTTTTTTTTACAAAAATGCTCAGTGGAAAATGTCATGATGCCATTTCTGACTTTAGCTCTCTGGTTGGGACCCGGAAGGAAATGAGTATACAATAGAAAGTAATGGAAATAATAAAGCAAGAAGAAGAAGTTACTTATTTATTCATTATATTGAGCAATTGCTTAGAATTTTTCTGGACAATGTGGCTGGGCATGCTAGTTTTTATTTTAATTTCTTCAAGAACTAATATGCATGCAATGATTGTAGTAGAGTTTGCATTACTAAAGCAGGAAAAAAGAAAGAGTCACCATCATGAAGTAACTATAAACTATTCCATGTGAGATGTTACTATATGACACAGTGCAGCAATCCAGAGGTCATGAGCGTAAATAACCCAAACCTATTTATATATACACTTACTCCAATCACCCAACTAACATAAATAAACAAAATCTAGAGGACATGACCATAAACAGCCTTTCACATTAGCCTAAAAAAGAACCAATTTCTTCTTCCACCATTCTTTAAATTGAAGCACAAAACTGACAGTCACCAGTCACCATGCAGTGTTGATTTTTATGTCCACAATTCAGTACCTCTTGGTAGAGTTTTGCATATATATATATATATATCATAAACACACATACACACAAAGTGGATATCATACAGGGTGCGATGGATAAACTGTCATCTAAATTACACAAAAATAAAAATAACACTAACATCATATTTTAGCAGATATATTTACCAAAATTACACAAAAATATCTTGAAATACTAAAGAGTAAATTTATTCAATAAAATTGCCATTGGCTTCAACCTGTCTCCAGACAACTTTGGAATCTCCTGCAACTCTTCTGGATTAACTTGATGAATGCTGCCATAATCCTTGCCTTTAGTTCATTTTTGATGTTACAACGAGTTTTGTTGGTCTCTCACTCAACTGCACTCCACACATAATAATCAAAAGGGTTGCAGTTTGGGGAGTTAGGTGGCCAAATCTAAGGGATGATGTGGTTGCAGAAATTGTCTGACAGCCATGACTGGGTTCTTCTGCTTGTGTGGCATGGTGCAGAGTCCTGTTGCTAGACATAGGGTCTTCCAGTAACCACCCTCTTGATTGAGGCAGCACTACCTCCTTAAGGCACTAGATGTAGGCTTCTGTATTGAGTCTGAGGCCCTCACCAAAAAATTTGGGTGTTCTTTTCTTATCAGTATGATCAGAGTGAGTTTTCTGAGTTGCCATACCTTTATAATCACCATTAGACCCCCCCACTCTTTCTGACTCTTCTGCACTGTCCTCAGATTGATATTCAAATACTCTGAAATGTTCATATTGGAGCTTCCAGTGCGAATGCCAAGCAGTACAGCATGCCGTTTCCAAATTTCTGGTGGAGTGAATTGTGGCATGGTGTTCTTTTTCTCATAGATGGTGCCCAACCAACCCTACTATACTGTGCAGTCAACAAAATCAAAAACAAACAAAACACATGCACAAAATTAAAAATATAGAATGCCGACAATTTACTCATCGCACCCTATATATATATATATATATATATATATATATATATATATATATGAGAGAGAGATAGATGTATATGCGCAATTAGTTATATGCCAAAAGCATCCTGAATTTGAAATGAATCCTATTGAGCAAATCTCAATGCCTTGTCTTTAATTTCACTTATTACTAGATGCTGCATTCAATAATTTTCCTCATATCAGTATCAACAGTATTTAAGGGGTGTTTAAGATCCCTTTAACTGTAACAAGGTTATTTTCATTTTTTTTGGTTTTGTATTATCTTGTATCATATGAGATTGCATGTTGCAATAGCTTTTTGTTATTGTATCAGCCATTATGCACACATGATTTATGGTAAATATTTTTGTCATTACCAAATTAGCAGTCATTGTGTAAGGAATTACACTTAGAATAGAAAAAAATCCTCATTTTAACCTACACAAAGAGCTCAAATTGTGGTTCTATATGATAAAGGTTATTCTAAACATTAAATTAGTGCAAAAATAGGTTGTAACAAAACAGCTAGGCACACTGCTATCATGGATTCCCAAAAATTTAAAGACATTTAGCAACAAGGGGAGAAGTGGACATCTAAGGGAAACAAGTGTTATAGATGACCATTTGATGAAGTGCGCTGCTACATAATCTCCAACAAGTTCTTGTAAAAAGATATGTGCTGTTCTGCTTCAAAATGGTGCAAATGTCAATTTATGATGATTTCACATCATCTGATATTTGAGTTTGATCTGAGATTGTAAATGACAGCTAATTGCAACTATAAAATCCAAGTTATATTTTCAGATGATTCTACTTTGCAACAATTTATCTGTATACAATTCAGATTATGAAGCACCCACCAAGCTGGATGATTTTGGGAGCCATGTCCAAATCTGGAACAGCTGGACTATACTTCTTGCCTCCAGGAACAACAATGAATGGTACAAGGTATGTAGAACTACTGCATAATCTGGAATTACATATACACATTTATTAGTCCACAATATTTATGCATGATGGTGTTCCATGCAACTGATCAAAGATTGTTCCGAATATTTGAACAGGAACAATATGACAACACTGAACTGGCCAAGAAACAGTCCAGATCTGAACCCAATTGAAAATTTATAAGAAATTGTCAAAAGAAAAGTTGCAGATAAACATTCATGAAACACTATCTATTAAGGAAGTCTGGACAGAAGAAATCTTAGTTGACTGCTGTAACAACTTCATTCCCAGCATGCTCCACTGCATCCAAGCAGTAATCAAAAGCAAAGATCATACAAAATATTGACAATTAGGCTATTTGGCTTGAAATGAATAGAGAACACTATATACAAATTTGTGACTGAAATTGAGTCAGGTTCTCATAAATTACTTGTTACTGTTATTTTTAACTTTAAGATAGTAAAATTACAAGAATTAAACTTTTGTTACTGATTAAGCAACTCAATTTTAATCTTAAAAGAATTTGTAAAAACTTACTTGCGTCTTTTATTTGTCTCCAATGACAACTGACGTGACTTGCCAATTTTGTTGCCTGGATGAATGTCATTTTCCAGTTCAGAATCTCCAGCAGCTGCATTTAAGATCTTTAATTTATGAATTTGCTGCTCTTGCAGAAAACGGAACCGATTTCTGATGATTAATTTAAGGAACAAAATCTACAAATTCACTATTAAAATAATTGGATTTGAGGGAAAATGCATACAAACATATAGAGAAGCTGTTTCAAGTACCCAAATAACAATAATAATTGATATAATAACAAAGTTAAATGGCTGAGTCCATGATAAATATACTCACTTTTTACACAGGAGACCTGTGCTCAATTCCCTGCTTGGGAAATGTAATCATATGTGAGTATAAAAAAGGCATAAATAAATGAATAATTTTCATTAACCATTATCAAACAGTAACAAATGTTTACTTATCAATTGTGAGCAAAATAAGTCTGATTGATCACATAATATCTTCTCTAAGCTGAGAAAAACAAAAATCTGATGAAGCAAATCATGAACAACAGAACTTGAATTTTCCTTTTGAGGATGACAACAAGCATGATCTCAAATTAAGTTCAATATAACTATTGTGCCTAGTGAATTTGTTTCTGACAACAAAAAAGAAAACCGTGATAATAATTTGTGGATTGGCAACTATAAGGGCTGTTGTCCTGAACAAGTCAATGGAGCAGGGGATACAAAGCAATTGCACAATATCAATTCATTGATATAACTTCATGAGTACTGCATAGACCATCTAGGGATGAGACATCAGTGTAGCTAAGGGACAATCTCCTTCTACTTGAAGGTCAAAAGTATTGTAGGGATACAAAAGGCACATCTCCCTCGGGTGGAAGATAAGTCCTGTGGTCACATGACAACTGCTTCCTAACATTATTCCATACAGTGACCCAAAGCGGGAATCAATTTTCAGTTTGTGAATAGAAACCAAATGAGAAGATTGCTTTCTGCTAGCCTGGACATTTGGCCCAGCATGAGGCTAATTCTGCAAGAAATGGCATCATGTGCTTGTAGCACATGATGCCATTTCCCTTTGGGACATAGATCTGACCCATTTAAATCTGGAGTCCTAAAAATGTCTTCTCCAGGTCAGGAATATCTTCAAATTATATCTAAGACCTTTCCTTTTGTTCCTCCTTATACTTTACTTTGCTATGTAGACATATATTATATATAGTTCTCCACATGGGTCATGTGTATATATGTATATGGTTTTGTGTATGTCATAGTTCATATAAAAGTCTCCTTCTGAGAACAAAGCATGTTTGTTGTTCTTTTCCCTTTCAGCCATTCCGTTTTGTCCTCTCTGTGAAATATCAGTGTTGTTATATCATGAATATAATAATGTCCACAATGAGAAAAAAGTAATTGGGAGAATAAAATATTTCCCTTGCTCTCATTACAATATCAAGGACACCCAAAGAATCAATGGCTTACCAACAGTATCCAACTCAACAACATCAAGTCCAACATGTTTAGCCCTCTTAGAGGCCTGGATCATAATTGACTGTAAGTCTTTGAAGTTAACCTTTATACCAGAGGCCTGAAAAATGTGTACCACTACACATACATACTTTCAGTAGTTTCTATAAAGAAAGTGAGATCATCAGTATGGGTCAATGACCCCATCTCTATGGAACTCATCCAGTAAGTAAGGTCAAGTTTAACAATGGACAATACTTCATCCATGACCATGTTAAACAACAGGGGCAATAATGAATTGCCCCAGCAGACACCTCTCTGGCAGCAAAAGGTAGAGTTATTTAGACCTTAATCTTGTTGATGCTAATTTCTTTTATTTATCTTTTTCTGATGCTATTCACAAGCATCAGCTTAATTATCTCAAAAAAAAAAAAAAAAAAAAAAAAAAACTTTGTCTACATTTATATTTTATTCAGCAGATATTATATGAATAACAATAACAATGTAAATCAATAATTGATTGTTATGAAAGCTTTTAATTATGATTGGTTATTGTGATCAATTATTGATTCTTGATAGATCAAAAACAGAAGGAAAAATGACCAGTATTTATTTTATAAATAAAACCAATCTATTGGGTCTAATTCACAAACAAATTCCATTATCATGCATACAATGAAGCCTTTACTTTGTAGATGAGGATGATGATTTGAAAAAACAAAAAGATAAAAATCAATTGTATTCATTTACAAAAGAAATGTCTTCAAGTTTTCTACCATCATTCATATTACATTGTGTCCACCGATAGCCTCCTACTATCACTCTATTTTTACTGTTACTTCAGTAACTTAAAGGAAATATGGTTTGAAGTCATTGAAGTAGTTGTGATTGTACTTTCAATCCTTTATTAAAATAAGGATTATCATTCATTAAAATGCCTTACTTAAGACAGATATATAACTAGATATAACTCAGTACACACATGCACAAGCTTCTTGAAAGTGGCCAGGTCAACAGGACAAATAACAGGGAATTCTACATGGAACTTGTATTATCTATATAATGGTCTTGGAATTCATGAGCAATGAAGGCTATGCCATTCCATCCTATTTCTTTCTACAGGGCTTCCAGGTCAATGTCACTCTCTACATCAAAGAGATGGATACAATGGTCAAGACCTGGATTGTGGAGGTGGACAATGGACATATGCATTCTAGTGAAATTATGATACCTTTCACATAGCTTATGTGACTCAGGTGTGACTGGCCAAGAATTTTGATGATCATGTCACCCCCAACATCTAAGTTTGTAGCTCTCCTGCTAAGGGAATGGTGATCTTCCAAGCATAGCTTAGATGTGGCACAAGGCCAAAAGTATGGGCACCCAGTGAGGATCAAACTCACTACTCAGTTGTAATTGCTCTAGCGAGACAAGCTTGCTAACCATTACAGAGTTGCTCCTCTGCTGCTAGTGGAATGAATTGATAGACTAATTGCCTGGACTGCTATGTCTGGTTGTGTCATCAAAGACATGTTGAAGCCTGCCATTTTGGATGTGATGGTTAGCATAAATGAAAACCAACTGATCTAGTCATGCAGTTGTGCATGAAACTACATTGAGATCATCACCATGGCTGAGGGCAATTTTATTGATTAACCTCTTCTATAGAATATCTTTGTTTTTAATTTATATATATTTGTTCACATCCTATATATAAAGGGACTTGATAGTTGTATATTTTCCACTGGCATCAGTGGTTAGTGTCTAAACTCAGGTAAAAAACAAGATTTTAACTGTTAGTTTTCACAGCAGACAAGATGACAGATTCTTCCTATTTAGAATCAAATGATCTTAAAACCATACCCCTTCTAATATATTAAACTTAGCTTACTAAATATATATATATATCTTAGTACAGGCAGAACTATGAATGTGATTGTTTTCCTTTTCTCTTTATTTTCAGCTAATTGCTTTTAATTGTTTCTATCATGAATGTGTGTCACAATTACACATACCAAGTGTAACAGCATAATTGTCCATCCCACAAAATGTTTAATATCTAGAGGAAAAAAAAAACCACTAAATAATTTTTTCCAGGTTTTCAGCTAAGACATTTAGCCATCTTGACATCATTTGTTGTAAGAATCACTGAAAAACTGAAAAACCCTTTGAGTCATTCAGCTAAAAATAGAACAGGTTAAAATCATTTTGTGTCAGCCCCACTGTCTTCCCAACAGTGAGAGGAAAAAAATCATTCAGGCCTTCAGTAATGGTACCAATATTCATACTCTGTCTTCCATCTTCAAAATCCACTCAAGAAACATCAAGAGAATGGTGAATAAGTTTAAAAAAAGGGGACAGTAGAGAGGAAAACTGGCTCAAGGGCCACAACAAGAAGCAAGATTATCATTTCAACTTAGACCTAAAGAGATCAATTAAATAGATCCAACTCAATCCATAAGACATTTGGCATGTGAGAGAGGAGCTTCAGCTATGACAGTCTAATGACCAGTAAAAAAAAAAAAAGACTTGAAAATGAAATCATAAGTTGGAAAATGATCCTGGCATAATATATATATTTGAATAAAAACAGACCACTTTAAGGTTCCATGTAATAAATTATTTCACCACAGCCCTTTTAAAGGGCTCTGGATCATCAAACTTTACTTCCAAAGATTGAAATGAAAAATGAAAAGAAATTTACACATTTTTGACAGGCCGTATTAAGCATATGTAAATTAATGAAGTGAGGGGGGAGAGAAGGCATGAGTGAGTTAGATGTACCATTTCAATTCTTTATCCTTAAGTGTGGACCAGACGACGCTTAACTTAACGTATGTTATCTCTAGATATAGATGGGTAAGGGGTGAAGAAGAAATCCACATAAAAGGAAAAAGATACAATAAAATAAATCATGAGACAATGTTTCACTCAATTTCTTAGACACTGTTATTTCACATTACTTTAAAGGGTATATTTGGGGGTTAAAGTTGGATATTAATCTAAATGTCTAAACAATCTACGAAGAATTTAATTTGATGTTTGTTGGAGTTTTGGGTATTTTCTATGAAATAGTCGATTGGAAAAAATTCATAGAAAGTGCATTGAAAGAATAAATTCCTTTTACATCTAGTAATCTTTTTTATTTGCTTAAACTTTTTTCTTGTTGATTATTAAGTTGACATCTATCCGTTTGACTTTTGTTCATAAATTAAACCCGTGACTGTTTTTAGATATTCCAATTTAAATAATTTTATCATCAATAATGATTATTAAAGGGTAATATATTTCAATTTAAATTAAATTATCAATTTAAAATTTACCTCCATATTATTTAAACTTATTTCCAATTGGAGAATATTAGAGGAGAAATTTGGATAAAACATTACTAATAGAAAATTAGGTCCTTCTTTTATATTCCATACATCCATACACAAACACACCTCTACACATATCCGAACACCCATCTATATCCACATACATATCCCTATATACATATAAATCCATATATACACATACACACAAAACTATATGTATATACCCATACATACACACATATATAATTATATGTATATATATATCTACACATACAAATGCCTATACATGCACATCTATACATACACACCCACATATGCATGCATTCAAAGAACATATCAATATCCATACGTAATTACATTATTATATATACGAATACACAAAATCCTATAATTATACATACATATACATATATTACCCGCCATCCCATATCTATGGCAAGACATACAAGTACCCATCTAATTTTGCACACCCACACTCACATATATAAAAAAAAAAAGTGTTCAAGTACAATATCATAGTTATATACAGTCATGTGTTCGCGTTCATGTGTGCATAGCAACATTTCCAAAAATAAAAGCAAAAAGAACAAAGGTCATTCAATATTATTCTTCCTATATCATTATTTCTCAATGTATTTTGTTAGGTTTAGGTTGTTCTTATGTTGGCATTTAAAAATTAGTTCATTGTGTCTATTTAGTAATAAATCTGGATCTATCATCCTCCTTGGGTCTACCCATATGGATTACCTAGTTTTGAATAAACTAAATATATATATATATATATATATATATATATATATATATATATATATATATTTGAACTTAATTTCAATCCTTCATGTGCTTCTGATCCATCCTTAGCTATGATTAATTAATGATGAATATATCATTTTTGTTTATGATTGATCTCATCACAATTCTTGTTAAGCTTGGAGAGTATTTATACATTCTTATTGCTCAAAGTAGAGTCCAATAGTGTTATAAAAACCTTGGAGAATTCCAGTAAGGTATCTTTAATCATTTCTAAGATACAATGGTTATGGCTCAAAGCTTAATCTAACAAATGGTCAATTTTGCTGTTACACTCAGTACATACAGCTCACTTAATAATAGCATAAGATTATTGATTGATTTTCTCATTAGATAAGCAGAAGACACTAGAAGTAGGTTGAGTTATTGCTGGGCTAAATAATAGAAGTGCAATAATGATGCAAAGGGAATCAATATGAAGCAGTTTCTAATGTAATCTATATTAGATATCTGGTGATAACCTTATAAATTTAACAGATATCAAAAGCAGGCAAGTCATCAATATCTGCCTTTTGTCTTACAATATAAAACTTATTAATGGCTTATATTAGAGTAAGAAGAGAAAGTAATCAACACAAGCCCCCAAGTGTTTGTTTACAATTTAAATTGGTCTCCTTTCCAATTGCCTGTCCCTCTGCCCAACTGCTAGTGGGATGAACTGATGCACTAATACACATTAAGATAAACACTACAGTCATATAAACAGAAATCCATGTCCTTCCAGCTCGAACAGTACACTTTATTAAATAAAGATCAATCAAATTGTTGTGATATAATCTCATTATAAAAATGAAAACAAGACAAGGACCTTATATTGAACACTTCCAAATGAAAATATTGATATATATCTTTTAACAAATTATAAACATCTATACATGTGTATATAAACACACTAAAGACAGTGGGTGCTTTTGAGATATTCAGGCTAGTGTTTGTGTGATGTCATATTGGAGCTATATTATTCTTAAACTACATTAACTGCCATCTAAAGTTCCACAATCAAGCATTTTCATTATCCACACATTTTCCAGACTACACCTCTATAGTTTTTAATCACAACATATTGGCTGGGATGTTCTTCAGTTTTTGTCAGGTATTTCTTATATCTGGTGGTTTTTACAAGTTCCTAAGGATTTTTTTCATTTTTTACACTTAATTCTTTGTGTTTATTAAACAGTGATTTTCCTTTTCTTGTTGAAGAGTTAAGAAAAAAAAAGTATCAAACCAGATGACCACAAGGAAGGTTAAGATAAAAACAAAAATAAACATAGTAGTCCAAATAATGCATTTAAAGTTTTTTTTTTTTTTTTAAGTTATATGCATTGCCTGGGCCAAATATCTTAACCATGTCATTTTGGGGTTTTACAGCCCCTAATAGGAAAAAGATGTTCATTCTTCTACAAGTTTAGAGAAAAAGTTCTGAGACATCATGTTTTGCCATGTCTTAAGACCACTTACCCAGAAGGCAACTATATATGGACCCAGAATGGTGCTCCTTGCCACGCAGCCTAAGTGATGCAACATTTCTACAAAATGAACTAATTCCTAGCAAATGAACGTCTAACCTTTGTCCAGCCCATGTCCGAATCTCCTAGATTATGGCCAGTGGATACTTTGGACCTTCCACCCCATCATCAATATTCTCAATGCTGCCATCAAGAAGGAGCAGACCAAAATGTTCAAGGACTTAGTGTTTAAGAGTAGTGCAGCTTTTTTAGGTAGTGTTGAGGTTGTAATTGAAAATAATGGAAGCTACATTGAATAACTTGCTTTGGTATTAAGCTATGGATTTTATTACCATTCTTTTGTATTTATAGGCCTATTTATGCATAATAAACAAGTTTTGAATATCACAACAATTGTGCAAGTTTTGCTTCCACACTATGCTCCATAAAGTACAATTCAGGTGAAAAGCTGTTGAGGAAAGAGTAGAGGAACGAGATGAGATTGAAGAGTGGTTTCTGGGCTATCAACAATAGAAACACTGATAGACCATGGCTTAAATATCGATTTACTAAGCCAAATTTGGTACACAAGAATGTATAATAATAGATAAAAATAAATATGAACAGGCTGAAAGAGACAGATATGAACAGATTGAGATAGTAAGAAAGAATGAACAGGCTTCGGCTATCCATTGACTATACAAAGCTCGAAAATAATGATAGATTTCATCATTTTTCTTTCAACAAATTACAGATAAATAACACATATCATATTGCAGTTAAATGCGTTCACTGTATTGGGGATCGGATAATCAAAAAAAAACAAAAAAAAAAACTCATAAACGTATATTGTAATATATTTCTTTCTTTTAAATTTTACACTTTTACTCTCAATCAATATCTTCATCACTTTTTCACCATTTTCAGTGTCCTTTGAATAATGATTGCAATAAATACCTATTTTTCCTGGGTTTTCATGCTTGGTATCTGGTGTCCTCAGTTTTCAAAAATACTACAAGAAAAGGTGTGCTATTCCATTTTTTTTACCATTGTGATTGTCCTTAAAGTAAGTGAAAATGAGGAATTACAAATAGTATAAAAAAACTGTTTTTTTTTTTTTTAGTTTACTGCTTGGAATTATTACGATTAACCACTAACCATTGTGAAATGTGCCACAATATTGTCAAAAAAGCACATGTCTAACCATTTTTGTCGCTACAAAGTAATGATTGTGTAGTGTACAAGGAAGTTGTTTCTTTGGCTTGTGGGTATTTAAAAAAAATTTCAGAAAAAATAGTTAATATTTTTTAAATAATATTTTCGCTTATTAATAAAAATGTTAAATTTAATTTATAGTAATAAAACAAGTAATATTCTAATGAACTAGCAAATACTAGTTTATAAAGTACTCGGTATCTACCGTGGGATTTTTTTTTTTTTTTTGTTTACTTAAGAAGTGGTAAATACTGAAAAAATAAATGAATATTCATTGAATAACGTATGATAATTTTTTGTGCTATTTTCAAACGTCTATTAGTCGTTATTTTTAAGTATTACACACAAAAATCTTTTATAAAATCATTTTATCTCTCACACAAACAAAAATAAAAATTTAAAAAAAACGCGAAGGAGACAAAAATCCGTTTTCAACAACACAAGAAGCGTCAATAAATTATTCAAAAGGTAAATTTGTCGTATAGCCGTATGAACATCTACCTGGATGTGTTGTGTGTCACGATACCTATATTGTTTAGGTGAGAGGGAAATGTTTGACAAATAAAATAAAAAAAGGATACGAATAAGCTCCTGCTAACATCCCAGAAACCTCGACAGGACACTTGTCACCAAGAAGCCATGTTGTTTGCTACCATGGCAACAATAACAACTCTTTGAGGACAGGGGACCTTTGTTCTATAACAAGGCAGTGAACCTAAGTGATTCCCCAGAAAGAATGAACTCGTCCATACGGTAACGGTACGATATCTTGGGAGGGATCCAAGGAAGTTTCTGATAAGAAAAAGTGTCTAGAAAAAGTTAACTTTATGGATATCTGAGGTGACAAAATCTGTTTCAAGAATTAAAAAAAAAAAAAAAAAAAAAAGTTCTGAAAAGGTGAGAATCTATTGACACTAGATGAGAAGTGAGGCAGGGGACCTTCCAATATTGTTGACAAAAGATTACGAGAAAACTTTATAACGATTTGGGAGGTGGTGAGTTATACCGTGTACTCATTGTATTGACTAGAGTACAAAGTTGTATAATTCTGCCCCCCGCTACTTTTTATATCTATTAACTAACATAATGATTTTATTGTCCCTTTTAGTAGCTTGAGAAGAGTTGGAACGAGAGAAATAAACTTAAAATTAAAAACTACTCGATTCTTCTTATTCATTACAACGGAAAATATTTTCATTCGTTTTCTCAACTCTAAGCAACTATTTCAGATTGTAATGTAAATTTAAAAAAAAAAAAAAAAAAAAAAAAAGACGCGCAAAAAAATGTATGCTCCCATTTAAGTTTTTTTCTTTCTTTTCTTTTTTTAAAGAAAGTTAAGTAAGTCTTAACTTGGTAGTGAATAATCAAATAAACATTGGGTGTCGGGGAGAAAGGCTCGCAGAAAAATGTTTTAAAAGTTAAAACTTTGTTGTGAAATAATTTTTTAAAAATTGGCATTTTCCTGCATAGTAAAAAAATTCAAGTTTTTTTTTTTTTTTTTTTTCTTTAGGTAATGGGAAAATATCCACCCACTTAGGCTACCTAAGACAAAGTTCTGAATCGAGGCCAGGAAAGTTTCTTATTAATTAATTATTTCAAATTTGTATTATTTTTCTAGAAACACGTATTATTGGGAGAGGGAGGAAGTGTTGTTAAATATCTGAATGTGAATTATATTAAGCCAGATTTTTATTGCCCACTGATTCCTTTGTCTTTTTCTTCTTACCGATCGTTTGGCTCCTGTTGAAATGTAAGGTTTTTTTTAGGACTAGGCTATTTGTCATAGATTACTTGTTTTTTTCTTAATATTTATTTGTAAGAGGAAATATACAAAATGTGCCACAAGGACTAAAAAGTGGGCATGAGGAAAAGACAGAGCTTCTCTCTACTAGTCTTACCTCCAAAACTAGCTAGTCTCACTCATTGACCCGTTCGTATTTACAATTTTCCTTTCAGTTCACCATAACAACGCATTTTTACTCTTAGCTGTCTCACCACGGTCACTAAAATACCTCATTTTCTCTATGAAATCCCTAGCACGTAGTTTTATTTTACAATTATCGAAGTATGGGGAAAAAATCAAAACCCAATGTTTAATGATTGAAAAAGATGTTTATACAAGAAACTAAACAAAAAAACAATATTAGTAAAGCAGAAAAGTGTGACAGAAATCTCGGTTAACTGGATTGAAAAAAAAAAAAGAGAAATTTCTAAATTTGCCAGAGAACAAAGACATCTGTCACTTAAAAACGGGATGAGGTGGAAACAAGAAACAAAAATGGAGGACAAAAAGTGGGGACCTATGTACTTGCATACATTAGTTATGTTTAAAAGGAAAGTATTTTACCCTGAGGAGGCCAAGACTGAAAATGAAAATGTCCTATCTTACATTAAAAGAGCTGGGAAGACTGAAATTTTGGTTCGAGGCCCAAAATCCTCTTTCCTTAGTCGCATCCAACAACTACTCCAGGTCAGCACCTCTCACTTGCACCAAGCGTGAAACTTTCACCCACCTTTTGCCAAATTTCAACGAGGAGAGACGCACACTTTCTGCCCTGATCTTAACTTTAAGCTGATGCTTAAAGAAAGAGACCAGTTGAGAAGAGGAAAATTTCTCACCTCTATAAAACTCCTTCTGTCTTGTTGGCCACACAACCATTTGCATAATGCAGAGCAGACACAAGAGCACCTTCTTACGACAATGACCATACCCATCACCAGTATATAATTGATTTTTCTGTTTATACTGGTCTTGACTTCTTGTATAATGATTAAAAAAAAAGAAAGAAAATACACAGAGTATTGATAAAAATAAATAAAAAATGAATCTTTATATACACAAACAATAGGAACCCGCAAAGTTTCGCTAAAAAATGAGTACATATGTGACATGATGAAAAAGTACCCCCCCCCCAAAAAAGGAGCTAAAAAAATTAATAAAACTCTTTTTTGTGTGTTAAATTAAAAGACTAAGAGAAAAGACCAAACGATTTTTATTATTAAATTACATTTTTTAATCCTTTTTAGAACCTTCGAAATCTTGGTTAAAAATTTTGTTTTTCTTGTGTCAGTGAGTGACCATAAATTTGAGTGTTTTTTTTTGGGGGGGGGTTGCACTGAAAAACACATTGGTTTTGAGATTCTTGCAAAAATCAGATAATAGTTGGATTTTAATGAAACTTTCAGGACTTATTCACAAATGAATGAAATTAGTTTAGAAATGTTTCCCCTTTAGAAAATTTTAGTATAAATATAGGTATTTTTTTTTTTTACATCTTTTACTCCTTGCTTATTTAATTTTATGCAATTTTGAGAAATTCATTTTTGCAGAGCTTAATAATGTTTATTACTTATAAGCACAAGTCCTTGGAGAATTTAAAATCATTTTTTATTTTATTTTATTTATTTATTTTTGTCAAACAGGCCCCCAGTTACAGAAAATCTGGTCTGAATCATAAAATTAAAAAATGCAATACAACTATGAGATTATTTAATTAGAAAAGCTTTTCATTACTTTTATGAAAAACATATAATTAGGAACATTAAAAAAAACAAACAAAAAAAAAAACAACTTTTTTTCAATGAATAATTAATTTTTACAAGAATTGTTTTCATTTTTTAAAAAAATGAAAACAACAATTAAATATAATTTATTGTTTAAATTTTTTTAAAATTCTGTATTAATGTCACAGTTAGGTGATATTTTTATTAAGTAAAACTATTGACTAATCATAAATGAAAACGTTTACTACAATTTAGCAACTCCAAGTATTTTAAAAGATAATTTTGATTTTTTATGTGCATATAAATGTGCTGATTTTTGTAAATATGGATGTCTATACATGACATTATCAGAAAATAAGAGCGGTAACAATAGTAAATTTAATTTTATTGGTAATATTCTAACATTTCCTCAACAACCATCTTTGTAAATATAAACCTAAAATACTTAAAATTCAATAAAATATTAGATTACTTAGAATATTTTCCTAAATTTTAAAGATTACTGGGTAGTATTTTACTCAATGGAAATATTAAATTTAATCTATTAGCTTGGAATTAAAACTAAAATGAACACTTCAAGAAAGATTTTTTTATTTTTAAAATGCATTTTAAACCTTAGGTATTTTTTTTTTTTTTTTTTTTTTTACATACTTATGAAGAAGTATAAGGTGGAAGCTGAAGTTTCAAGGATTCAAGTAGAAGTGCTGACACATAAAGGCGATAGGGAGAGTATCCAAGAGAAACACATGTGTGTTCCTCTTGAATACTCTCTCTCTCTCTCTATATATATATATATATATATGTATGTATGTATGTATGTTTGTCCCCAAATGTAGCCACTTGGCCATGTGGTGAAGAAAGGTGTTTGTTTTCAATGTTGCAAGAATGGATTTAGCTATTTTTAGATTGCAAGCTAATTGTGCAAATGTATTTCTTCTTGTCGTTTATTTTTTTCTCTATCACCACAAACGAACAATGATGAAAAATATTTTTCTTTTTCTTGACAATGTAATCATCACAATTTGATAAAAGCCTGCAATTTGTCCAATTGGCAGAATGGTCAAAGAAGTTAGAGACACATTAGAATTTCCACAAAATCATTTTTCATGGAGGAAACAACTTATTTGTCAGGTGAATCTCAGAGAGATCCATCAGTAACACCATCAGCAGGTGTGTAATATTGGGTCAATTTTATTGCCATTTTGTGAATAGAATCTGGACCATGCGGTAGTTTCTGGTAGGCCCTTTCAATGCCATGGAGAAGTGTACAACTACAGCTGTACTTACAGACTATTTTTGAGGGTGTGGCTACTTCACTATGTAGTCTTCACCTGTTCCAAAATCTCTATATGAAGTCATGTCCACAACAAAAACAAATAGAAGATACAAACCCAACCCCACAAAAACAAAAAGTAGGTCCCAAGTTCAGCATCTCCTACACAAATGCAAGGGGTTTACGATCAAACTTTCCAGAAGTTGAACCTGATCTCCACACGGTTAAATTAGACCTCATGTTCCTACAACCTCCTTGATTATTATGTGCGGGATGTAGCTGAGTGAGAAAACCAACAAAACTCCTTGTAACACCAAAGATGAACTGAAGGCAAGGATTATGGCAGCATTCACTAACTTAAACAAGGAGACTGTCCAGACGAGTTGCAGAAGGTTCTGAAGTCCTCTGGAGGTCATGGTTGAAGCCAATGGCGATTTTATTAAATAAATTTACTTTTTAGTATTTTAAGATATTTTGGTAAATATTTCTGTGGAAATGAGATTTCAGTGTTATGTTCAATATTGTGTAATTTAGACAACAATTTGTCCATCACACCTTGTATATTTATCAAATCACTACATATTAATTTTTTTCTATGAAGCTATTTTAAAGTAAATTTTAATTTTGATGTGTATTATCTTTGACAGGCTTTCTCAAGAGGCCCAGTGTGGAAACAATCTGTCACATTATTTCTTTTTAAATATTTTGTTATCTAAATCTATTTGCTTGTTTTCTGTGTAAAATGTAATAGACAAAATATTTTCTATGCATTATTAAAAACTTAAAAATACAAGCATCAATTTCAATCCTTGAAATCATGTCTAATATAGTTTTCTTTCAAAAAAGCTTAAAAATTTAAAAATGGTGACCACTGACATTCTAATAAAATAAAAAATCTTAACTCCTTAACATTTTCAACACCAAGTAACCTTCAAAAATTTTATAAAGAAATTTTACAATTAGAAAAAGATTATGATGAAAATAAACTTTAATTTTTGTACACACAACACTATAATATTGTCTCAATTTCAGAACAGAGATCTTTGAAGAGAAACATTATCCAAATAAAAGTTGAGAAACAGAGGATTATTAAAAGAAAAAAAAAATAATGTCACATACTGTTGTCACACTGGGCTTTTTTAATGTAACATTTCATAATGTGCTCAGCATAGTATTCTGGAAATATGTGGGAATATCCTTTTGTCCAGTAGGGAGATATTGAGAGACAGAATCCCTGTACCAAGGTGTTTAACATCAGGCAGAAATGAGAATGAGGAAAAAAGCTGTGATAATCTTCATGATCATCATTAGAAAATTTTATTGATTTACATGTATGCACATACATGCATACATAAATACATATGCATGCATGCACACAAAAGGTTTTTGATGAAAATTTTTTTTACTGCAAATCAAAATAAAAAAAAAACAGACATTTGAAACTGATTTTAAAATTTTAATACAAATTATGTATTTATTTTCACATTATTTTCTGGGAAAATTTCTTGAATCATATGAGATTAATGATTTAAATGATTCCTTAAAAATGTCTTCACCCTTTCTCCATCTATTCCATCCTATGTCTGTCTGTTCACCTCCTTTCTCTCTTTCACACAAATACAGAATTAAAAACAACATTAATATATATCTTTTTAATCTACTTGGAAGTTTGTCTTTAATTCTTATAATTTAAATTAAATAATAATTAAAATAATAATTTAATTAACTAATATCACATCATTTTTGAAACTCAGAGATTTTTATCATTTATTTATTTTTACAATCTTACTGCATAACCCCCCACTCCCACCTCATTTTCCAAAAGAAACCCAGCCTGGTGAGAAATGAGTAATAATTTTGCTGTATAAAACATGAGATTTTTTTTTGTATAAAAAATACAGATGAATTTTAAATTTTGTTAGTGTGTGTCTTATATATTAAAAAATACTGTATCTAAAATGAGGCTTGCTCCTGCATTAGCTTTCTCTGTGAATTAGATAAGAATTACAAGTTTTAAAAAAATGGATAAAACAGAATTAAATAGGTGAACAATGAAAGCATAAAATTGGTTTTATACAGACCAAAAACAGAGTATTGCTGTCATATCTGGGATGGAGTTGCCTAATCCTCTCTTTCAAATCTTGACAGAGTCCAAAAGTGTCTCCTTCATGGACTTGTGGGTGATGAAATATTTTCCACCTTGTAATTACTTTCCCACAGACAAAATATCACAAGCCTCTCACTATTCTCTTGCTATTTCTATGGAAAATGTTCTGACAAGCTACATTCCTATGTTTCACTAGTTCAAACCTTTACAGACAAGTCTTGCCATGCCATTTACGCAGGGTTGAATTATCCTTATTATTTGGTCAAGCTAGCTCAAACATTGAGTCTATCACGCCAACCATCACAGCCCTGCATCAGGAGTAGTTGGAACTCCATAGCTATAGTGAAGGCAGTCCATCTTTGAGAAGGAAAACTTTAATGAGACCAGGAGTAAACTATTTAAATCAACTGCCATTGTAATGCAGGATGGCTTTACATGTATTTGGCTTTTGCATCACCCTTGCAGAGCATAAGTATGTCAGTGAACATGGTCCAGGAAAACTATCAGTAAATATGACACTGCTACTCTCTATAGGAATGGCGAACTGTAGATGAGTACTAAGCTACTGAAAGAAAAACGTAAGTAATTATCTTTACTCCCTTCATAACGCATTGGCTAAGAAGAAGGTTCCATTCAAACAGCTTCTTCACAAGAGCTGCTGCTCTGTGAATGATTAATTTGTTTTCTTTTTAATGCTTATCAACTTTTTGCAGATTATTTAAAGCAGAAAATATTTAGACTGTAAGAATATTTTGGAGATAATGATTTACTGATACAAGTCCTACTAACTAACACATAGCTGGGGAGAGAAGAGGTGGATTTATACATTTCCCAAGGCTATTTGTATGTAAGTGACTATAATGAACCTGATTGGAATGAGAACTCAGCTCTCTAATTTCCAATTCTAAGCTGTTATCCATTACACCACTTGCACATCCAAGCATACAGCACCTGGTATTCCCAAGCAGTCATCAATCTATATACTGACCTGGCTCAACATTAACTTTGGTAATCAAATGAGAACCAGTGTTTTAACATATGTACGTCAACCTGATGCTCTGTGGAACTGAGAGGATGCTTTCTTGATCACTACAATTTTAACCTCTTCAAGTCTAAAAGTCAACTGTTATCTACTCTACATATGCTCATAATCAACACTAACATCCATAAAACAATCTCATTCATTATCCCTCTACTTTGATTGTCTTTTGGGCCTTCTATTGGGTGAACAATAATATATTAAAAACAAAACAAAAACTACCAGATCATTTTGATCTTGTTAAAAAAATTCCAGATGGAGTAGTGGAAATGTATTGCTATCAAACAGGAGTGTAATGATATATCATAATTTTATGTATATAATTTATATATAATTATATGAACATGACATTTTAAAATTTATTTAAAACAATGCTCTTTCATATATATTTAATTCTATTTAATCATACAGGCTAGAGCAGAAATATCTTCCACATAGTGGCAATAGTGTCTTCATCTAGCTAATGTCTTAAAATTATGTGGGAGGTATTTCTGCCACACCCTGTATAAATTGATATTAGCAAGAACTTGCTTTTTGAAGTTATACAAATATTGGATGTTTATAAAAAGGACATTTTTACAATATTTTTTGGTTCTTTGTATATATAAAAATAAAAACATGATAAATGTTTTAAAAAGGAATTGACTGCAAAATATTTCACTGTAGAAATGCACTACGGATGATTTGCATTAAAAATGCTTGAATTTCAAGAAATTCATTGCCAATAAGATCTGCTGTAGAAAGGAATCAACAATTTCAAAAGGGTTTTTTTTATTATAGATCACTTATGGGTTAAATAGCAGGACAGACTAGGTTCTCTAGCCTTGGTTGCCAACTAGTCTAGGTAAAGAATATCTCTGAATTCAAAACCTACAAAGAACAGAACTGGTGCAACAATCTGCCTACACGGCCAGTGAGATGTGACATTTAACAACTAAAACAGCAATATGCCATGATCAGTGTAGCTGAATCGGCAACCAACATCCTGATTGGTCATGATTTAACTTGTATTACTCTAGAAAAATCATAAAATATTTACAAGAGAAAGTTGTCACAATTATGATAGTAAACTAATGTTAAGTTATAACCAAACTGCTAATTTTTTTATTCATTGTGTGTATTAGTTAATTACAGAAATTTACAATTAATAATTTAAAAAAGGTATTCACTTATCAATGTTCAAATTACAAAAAGAAAATTAATACTTTCTAAAAAAAAAAATCTTTTCTTCATTTTACTGAATGCTGCTAACAAGATTATTTGATATCTACTTTTAATTAAAATTCAACTTTATAACAATGTCCAGCTTATTGTCTAATGTTACATGTCCACTTATATGTCTAACAATGTCCAGTTTTAGTCTGTTTTCTAATTTGATTCCTATGATTTCCACTTCTATAGTCTTTTTTTCAATTTTCCTTTTTAAACATGTGCTGGAGGATAATTTTTAGCTGCTCTTAACCAAAATCTTGTTGGTAACAGTCTAAAAAGAAAAAGAAAAAGAATTAAAAGAAATGAAATTGATTATACAGATAACTTCATTTAAAAAATAAATTAAATTTTCAACCAAAGAATAAAAGAAAGTAAAATTGTTTGATTTTTTTTTTTAAATTGCCAAATTGTTAATGACTGTAATGAGTAATACCTACATGCCTACCTCATCAACCATAGTTGAGATCAGAGTTCACAGCCCCACATCTATGATCCTTTTCTTGGTTGTATAGTATGTGCTTTGCCAGGGTTACATATTGTTTTAAATTGAGATGTCCTTTTCCTAGACTGGTTACCAACCACAGTCAAAGAGCCCAGTCTGCTCCATTATTTAACCCACAGCTGGGGAAGAAGAGATGGATTCATACCTTTCCCAAGGGTATTTATGCAAAAGTGAATGAAACAAACTTAATCAGGATTTGAATTCAGTTCTCAGATTTCTCATTCTAAGCCGCTAACTATTACACCATCTGCACATATTGATATTTAATTAATCATTTATTTTTTTCAAAAGTGAAACATCTTCACTGTGTTTGGTTAAATGGGTTTGGTGCCAGTGCAGAACTTTGAAACTCTGATAAATACAACTGATGTGTTTAAAAATTAAAGTAAAAGTACCCCCCACCACTGGACAAATGGGAGTTAGGAAGATTATTAATCATCCAAATGTAGAGTATGTTTTTTGAAAATACCAAGACAAATTTTAATAAAAGTTTCATATGATTTATATATTATTGTCAAATTTTAATATTCTTGATGTCAGATTTTCTTTTTATTTGTGCATTTTCAGAAAATTCTGATTAATATCAGACTAGGCAGCTCAAAAAGTTGGGCTAAATTTATATTATTTATTAGATATATGGTTAATAATGACAAAGTGAATTAATAATTGTCATTAAAACTTTCGATTATGATCACCTATCATGGTTAATTATTGATTCTTGGTAGACCAATAAGTTGATTAGCAGCAAAAAAATGGACAGAATAAAAAATAACCAGTGTATTTATTTACAAATGAATTGTAATCTTTTTCGATACACAAAAAACGCTGTACCTACTTGCCATCTCCCACCACACTACACAAGCTATTTTTACTCTTACTGCAGAAATTTAAATTAAATGATTTGAAATATTATCTGACACTATTTCCAAACTTAGCACAATTAAGGAGGAAAGTTAGAATCAAATAAAAGTTTTTCTCTACAGGTACAGTTACAAAAATCTAGCTGAATTTTCACCATAAAGCACTTCTACAATGAATTTGGGAAAAAGGGGTAGGGGTTCTAGTTTTAGTAATATTTAGTTATTTACTGAGGTTCTTATAGTGGGTATTTTTTAAATCTTGTTTTCTATTATAAATGCATCTTACAATTTTTAATACTTATGGAATTTGCATTCAGTTTTTGTGACAAATGTCAAGATAAAAAAGAAATGACTGCATCATTTAAGAGGGGTTTTTTTGTAACTAAGCCACTTAAAAATGTCACAAGTCTTGTTCTTGTTTTATAAAATTAAAATATTTAAAAATAATTTCAAATTAAATCCAATAATCTGATCATTGAAAAATAGTTTATCCAATCATTTTTCATTAATGTCAAAAAGTGATTATCTGCATAATTTTGGCAAGCATTATTTTACGTGCATTGTGGTGTAGTGGTAACGGATATCAGCTCAGAATGAGAAACCAGAGGGTCGAATTTGAATTCCAGTTGAGTTACATTCACTTATGCACAAATACCCATGAGAAAGGGTATGAATCCATCTCTTCTCCCTCTAGATATGGGTTGAATAGCAGGACAGACTGGGTTCTATATCCTTGATTGGCAACCAGTCTACCACAGAAAGAAATGGCAACCTAGTGCAGGAAAATCTTCTGGCTAGTCATGTATCGAAAGAGACATGATCGCCCAAGCATGTATCACATGACACTTAAGCGACTTAACTGATTGACTATTTAGACAATTGATTTCCTTTCTGTTCTATTGTTCCTTGAGTTTTTGTGTGCATTGACCTAGCAGGGAAAAAGAACCATCTGAAAAAGGTGGTAGAATGGATGGGACGAAACGTTGTGAATACGATATAATAAAATGAATGACTTCAATACTCCAAAAAACAGAGTTACCTCCCCTAGTTTAATTTTTAAAAGGACATTCAGGATATAAAATTAAGAATGTTACACTCGATTCAGAACATAGAAAAGTTTATTCATTTTTATTGTATGGTTCACCCATGCAGTGAAAATGGATAAACTTTTCTATTCCACTTGTTTATGCTCCAAGTATTTTTTTTGTTTCATTTTTACTCAAAATATAGGAAACTGAACAGTTCGAAGATTGTCTCTATTCAGCACTCATGATGTTTCCAGTGAATTGAGTGATTGTGATGCCAGCAACAAGCATCTCTACATATATGTTATTAAAAGTCAAAGTATTGTATTTTTTTCAGTTTTTGAGTTTATAAAACAAGAGATAATGTTTGTGTTAAACTACCACATTTCTTACAAGTTCTCACCAATCATACATACACACATTATCACAAATATACATAAATACTTTTCTCTGTGTGTGTGTGTGTGTGTGTGTGTGTGTGTGTAGTGTATGGTTAGTTGATAGCAGAGTCAATTTCATATATTGGATTGGTTCATTTTTAAGTTTAGGTAAAAAACAAGACTTAAATGTTGATTTTCAAGACAGGTCTTTTTTAAATTTGGTTGACTTGTGCAACAGTCTTCCCAACAGCCATATCCTATATATATATATATATATATATATATATATATATATATATATATATATACACATGGTATGTATAAATAAAAAACAATGTAACAAGTAGTAGTCCATGTAAAAGGCTGAGTTGAAATAGTAAGAGGAGTCATTAAAAAAACAAAAACCTTGCTGCATCTAGTCTATTTCCTGTTGTTCATAAACTGTTTTCATAAGAGGAACTTAAAAAAAATATTTTTGTAAATCCCCTTAACTATTTCTAGATTATAAAAATTTTGTGTTTACATTTTATTTGCTTTCTTTTTCTTTACTTTCTTTTGCAGACAAGTTGAATAGTTTTACAAGGCCAAATTTTCAACCCTTGAAGCTTCCACACACTCATACATTGGTCTGATTAAATATACCATATTTAATGGTATTTAAAATACATAAGGATATAAGATCTCTTCTGGTCACCCCTCTCCATATTTCAGCAGAGAATGTCACTAAAAATTATGAATATGGAAAAAATATTCTTGGACAGTAAACTTTAAAATGGAGGTTTACTCAATGGCCTTATCTTCACATATAAATGATTTTTATTTTATGAAAATTATGTGTCATCAAATACATATTCAAAATGAGATGTATAATTGTTCAAGTTTATGAGTTATGTGAAAAGATGTTCTTTTTTGGACTGGCTGGAAATCGTTTTGACTTTAAGTTGGCTTCTAATGACTTCAGACAGAGGTCCCCACCATCTTAGTCAAGTTATTTTTATAAAGTAATTTTCAGCTGCCTGGATTCAGTTATTTGGTCACTCATAAAATTCATATGAGTAACAATCTTCAGCTTTTTTATTATCTTACTAAATCCAAATGATACATAGATTCCCATTAACTCACAAACTTCCTACCATTAATATCTAATCTGCAATGTTCTTGAAAAGATGTTGTAAGCATTATTTTACTTTAAGAAGGATTAGCATCCTTTGTGTTTCCATTTTCTCTAAAATTTTCTCATTACTCACATGTCCAGTCCATGGTACATTCAGGATCCTTCTGCAGAACCACATTTTTTTTGCTTCAAGTCTCTTCATCTCAGAGGAGATTGTCACAGCCATATAGGACTGATATTACATTACAGTACTTTTTTTTCTTGGTTATTGCAATAGGAAAAGTACCACTAAAGTCAACCATGTGGCTTATATCTGTAGTTGATGCCTTCATATATGCAAGATATGCAAGAACTACTGAAGCATATAAACTCAACAAGACTATTCATAAAATTCATAATGGAAAAAGATCAACTGACCATTCTGGAAATAATAATAACTTATGCATAGAATGGATTCAAGATATCTGTATATCATAAACCAACATTCACTGGACAAAACCTGAATTTCAATTTCCAGCATCAAGAAAAGAATAGTCTCCTATCTACAAAATCAGACCAAACTCAAAAGTGGTAACCAACACACATGCCAACGGATCATCAGCATTAGAAACAACTTTTAACATAACTCTGTAAACATAATATCAGCTTCCATGATTAAAAACAGAAGAGTCAACAACATTATCAAAAAATTTGCTACAGTGTCATATATAAAAGGAACATCTGAAAAAGAAATTCCAAGAATTTGTGGTCCATACAACATCAAAATAGTATTCACTGACAATGTTCACATTTGCTTCCTCTTGGAGAACTGTTCCATCCCATGCTGTTGTGGCAAGGAATACAAATGTGGAACAAATCGCCCCCTAAAAGTAAGGGTGGAAGAACATCAAGAGGCTGTGTTGTGGGGAGAGACATTGAAATCAAACAAGGCTAATCGTGTATGGTAGGGGAGGAGTGTGGTCATCAACCCTTGTGGAATGAAGTTAAGAGAATACATAAACAGAACACTAAGGGATAAAATGACTGAAAGAATCAATACATATGTTAGGTTCTAATAATCTAATCAGTAGACCTACCATAAAGATAAAAACCATTTTAGAGCCTCCTAGAAAGAAAGGATACTCATTAGGTTTTAGAATTCAAAATTTCAGCACCACTCTATCCAAGAGACACATTGCCTAATAGATTAAAATGTTTGTTAAAATATATCTGGTTCAGGTAGTACAGAAAAGTCATATTCTGATTCAGTGGAAGAAACAGACAAGTGACAAAGGTGAATAGATTGAAGAATATTAACTGATATGAGATATCCTCTAAGTATGGAAAGTGGTATGAGAATAAACTACCTCATGTTGACTGAATAAGATTCCAAGAAGGAATGACAGACAGTTAAAGGATGTTTTTTTAAACCCATAATCCATCAGGGGCACCATATGTACTGCTGCAGCAATAGCAAGGGCATTTCCTAGGCAAGCTAGCCTGATGAAGCCCAACCCCCACCAGGCTGGTTTTGAATTCATTTTTTTCCTTCTAGACTGGTTACCACCCAAGGTTATAGGACCCATTTTGCTGTTTATTCATAGCTGGAGAGAGAAGAGATGGATTCATACCTTTCCCAAGTGTAATAGAACATAAGTGAATGTAATGAACTCAATTGAAATTTGAACTCAGCTCTCCAACTTATCAATCTGAGCCATAATCCATTATTTCCAAAGAAGGAGACAATGGCCAAAATCTGAGTATAACAACCAAGATAAGTATATTACTCTGAATGTAAAAGCATATATAAAATCTTTATCAACAACTCAAACAATAATTAAAATGAATATTTCTCAATACATGAGCTAATTTGCAATCTTCTATGAAAACTTATCAAAGTGTTATCAAACTTGCCTCTTTTTCAAATAAATTCTTTTAAATTTTGATGTGCTTTGGATTTTCTGTTGTAACCACATTCTTGATATACTCCCCCCTCCTCAAAAATCTAGAGATTAATATCAAGGGACCTTGTGGCTCAAATAGTGGTCCTGCTCTCCTAAAACTATAGGTTTGGTAAGTTTCCATCCCAAAACAGACACCATGTCAGTAATGTGAAGACATACCATCTTGCTGAAAGATGGCTTGCAAAGTTTTTCTGGAGAGATGTAAAAAAAATTAAAAAAATAAATAAAAGCAATGGTCCATATTCCAGTAGATTTTATCTGTAATATTTTCACCAATGAAGATATGCCTGAAATCTTTGTAAACTCTTGCTGAAGACCAATCCATCCAAATGTTTGTATGAATGGTTCACTGCCACCAAAAATATTTTCATTATTGTTTGAATTAATATTTGTTTATCATTTAATTTCCAAAAGTGGTAGTATATATATATATATATATATATATATATATATATATATATATATATATAATATGGAAAAATTCTCAGTGCATATTTTTTGCTAGTATATTTCATTTTGTAAATATTTTTCTCTCGTTGCTTTTGGTCCCAAAGTTGATAAAAGAAATTAAATAAAATCTACTGGAAAAATAAGTACAAATCTAATGAACACAACCACAATTTTATCAAAAGAATCATCAGGAATTGATTTTATTGGAAGTCACACGAATGGCATAGGAGAGGTTTATGGGGGAATATACGATCTCTGGAAATATAAATTCTTTTTGTTTTTTTTTCTTTTTCAAATTAGAATTGTCATTTTCTCAGTTTACAGAATTCAACCAATGTCCAATTTCTGTTGAAGTCTCAGTTATTTCAACAATTAACACTTTCAGCACCAAACTATATTAATTAATGTTTTCTTTATTTTATCTGTTAAATGCTAAATGACATCTATCATATAACATCTCCTTTTGAAATTCGCACATTGTCCTCATTTTGTCTTCTGCAAACCGCTGTGATTAATATTTGCTTTCCAATATTGCTATTTATTGTTTTGGATATTTCTGTTCTATTTTTGGTGGTGTACCCTCATCAGAAGAAAAGAAATTTAAAAAAAACATTGGCAATGAATGAAGGCATGAATGCTTCCCCACCCTGCATATATTAAATATAAAATTATTTAGCCATTTTTTTTTTTTCCAAATCAAAAATCATTAAAAAAAAAAAAAAAAAATTCAATATATTAACAACAATAAAAAATTTACAACATGTTTTATCCAACTTTTGTGTTTAAGTTAAAAACTCATAGGCAGGAAATAGTTCAAGAAGCACTATATAATCACAGGAATAATTAATCATAAAAAGTAACTTGGAAAAAATTGAAAAATTGGAGACTTATTTCCTTTTGGTTTGTCTATTTAAACAAGCTGAAAAAAATATAAATATACATACAAAAAATTTATAAATTTTTCTTTTTAATGAAAGGTGCATAGAAAATAATTAGTTTAAATAAAATTAAATTTAATCAGAGCAAGAAGACATTAGCTTTTCCAGCAAAGCTTGGCATTTGTTTTAAAGAAAAAAGGTTTTGGTTCACTTTACTACAAACAATAAATGGGATAGGGACAGGAGATATTCCAATTTTAAAAGAAAATTGTTAACTTGTAATTTCTTACAGCAAAATGTGGATCAAGAAGATTGATTTTCCCAATTTTTTATTCTTATTTAATTTGGGCCACTGACCATTTCATGGTGGGTAATTTTACTTTTTGAGATTTTTAAGTAGTTTTTTTGATTTCTTCAAGGTTATACATCAGCTCATTTACTTAAACTCAGGGATCTGTCCTCTTACCACCAACCTTGATACTGTATTTTCACAGTATATTAAAACAAAAAAATCTGTTTAAAGATATGCTGGTTTAAACAAAAACAAAACCTTGATTCATAATAAGTCTTTTAAGAATGCTATAAAATACATTTTCTTTATATTCTGTAGAAATGATTGAGGAAAATACAAATGCATATATCTTACCAACCAAAAATGGAAATAGCATATGTGAACCAAATACTCTCTCCAGTGGTCCTGAACACTGTAATTTCAACTTATAAGTAGTAATACTCAGAAAGTAATAATAACAAGACAAAATCCAATACAAACTTTGGTCAACATATAGTCATAATATAATTTTTACTGGTTACATTTAAAATAAACATTTTTAACATATCTGCAGCTGTCTTGAGAATTTGAATGTGAGAAATATCAAAAGAAACTTTTTTTTATGCTGAATACATAAAGAGTCAGGGAGAATAAAAAAGTGAAAGAAAAGATCAAGAAAAGGAGCAAGAGAGAGAAAATGAATAGAAAAAGCATACGAATGAGGGAGATACATAATAGAGAAAGGCAATAGAAATGACAGAGAAATGTAGTTTGAGATTTTTTTTTTAAATAGATTGTAATAAAATTTAATTGATTACACTTGAGACATGCCTAAAATCAACTTTGAAATTATCACAAATTCTGTATTTAATTACCTTCTGCAATTAACATAAGTACTTGAAATTTCTGCTAAAAATAAGATTTTGCCAAATTTTCTTTATTTTCTTAAATTTTAGACTAATGATGATTTAAAAAGTTAAAATATCAACCCACATAATTAAGAAACAAGGATACTTGTTTAATAAAATCCTGATATTAAAATACATAAGTGGACACTGCAGTCAACACCAAGCAACAACAGTCTTTCATGCTTCAACATCATCTTTAGTCCATGTGATTGAAGATTGCATTGAAGGATGAAACAGACTGTTACCACTTGGTGTTGACCTCAATGTTCACTTTATATTTACATATGGTCTATTTCTGAGATTGAGCACTTTCACCCATAAATATAGCACACCTAAAACTATATATATATATATATATATATATATATATATATATATATATATATATATACTGTTGTCTTTATTTTTATAATTTCTAACACTGTTTGGTCAATATATTCAGACAAAAAAAAAAAATTGTAATCAAAAACTGTATATATAATGTCCCCTGTATTTAAACTGCTTCCTGAAGACTTGAAGCAGAACATGTGTGGAAAGAAGAACATACTACCTTCTCCACTTGATAAGGTCAAAATAATTGATATGAAAATGTGATTGAAAATTTGTAAGGTAAAAACTGATACACATTCGAGTATCCAGAATATGCATAAGGAAATAATATAAAAACTTTTTAGCAGTTAAATTTTTCTTTACCAGGATTCAATGCAAGGCTATTTGTAAAACTGGAAATCCTATAACAAAAATGGCTGGTTACTTGATATGAATAAATGGAACACCTCCAGTTTTATCTGTTCTCAGGTCCATGTTGATGTCAGATTGTTTCTATTCAAATATAAATCAATTTTCAAAGACAACCAGATGCAATATACACCTGATGAATGCTAAAGAATGTATCGGCAGAAAAGTTGAAGACAATAATCCAAGAAGTTATTTATCTCAACATACCAGTTAACCCAGTTCATCTCTTTCATTAATCTGTTTGTGACATACATTTTTGTTGAGTTGATTTTATTTAGTAATGATTTAGGAAATAATCATAAAACTTAACCTAAAATAATAACTCAGAAATTAATTCAGAGAAAGGGCTAGGGACACAATATGCAGTAATAAAATATGACATTTAATGGATAGAACTGTAAAGAAAAAAAAAAACATTTCTTTACAGATGCATTTAAGAATGTTAATTTAAATATGATTTGAGGCACATCTCTGTTTGATAAATAAGGGAGAGAACTCTTTCAGCAGGTTTTGTACCAATCATATAGTTAGATTTTTTTTTCTTTTTCTCTCTGCCCCCATGATAAGAATATAGGATTCACTTAGTAGGAAGACAAAAAAACATGGAAGAGAGAGAGATACAAATATAAAACAAAATAGAAAAGAAAAAGAAGGTCACCTCTGGAACAATGGGAAAAGTGATTACTAAAGTTTACACAGTTCAAAATATCCAGTTTTGATTGATGGCTGATTATTTATTTGTTGCCTGGATGAGTGAAAGTAATAGATAACTTTTTTTCCCTTAACTCTTGTAATCTTGTCAGTTTGTTCAGTCAACATCAGGAATAGAAAGATGAGGTACATGTGAAATACCAATGCCCAGTTTGTTGTTTTTTTTTGTTTTTTTTTTTTCAGAGGAAATTCTGGAAATTAGAGGAATAGGAAGTAGTCAGGCCACCATTTTCAGTTGTGAGAAGAATTTACATTCTAGGAGGTGCCATTCTCACCTATCGTCCATTCTGCTTGTGCCCCAACGAAGACCATCGCTTAATGTTTCCAGCATTGAGTTATGCCCATTTCTGCTAGTCTCTGCAATACTATAAGCATGGAAGAACATGTTGCGAACACAGGCAAGTCGACTGGCACGAGATGGTACGTTTTCTTCAGACCTGGAAATAGGCAACAACAGGAAATAAAAATTAAAAATGAAGTTATCTATCTTTGAGAGAAAAAACTGCTGGGAAAACACACACAGATACATACATGATAGGATAGGATAAAGAACAGATAGGAAACATTTATCGATCTAACATGTTTCACTTTTATCAAAGCTTCATCATAGAATGAGATATGGAGTAAAAGAAATTCTGGTATTTTTATTTTTGTGTTACTTGATTTTCATTGGTTAAGCAGGCTTCACATACATTTGACTTGTTAAGCAGCATTTGTGTGTATAAGAAATTCCATAAATTATACAGATGAATGTGGCTTAACAATTTGCTGAAGGGCAGGGTTTCGTCCAGGGAGGTAGACAGGCCCTGAACCCGTCTAGGCGGGTTCAAAGGGTATATTTTTGGCCGAGCCTATAGGCTCAGGAAACCCACGTTAAACTCGGCCTTGTGCCACATGCAACCCTCGTGAGGGGGGGGGGCTAGTTACCGAATGTGGCTTAACAAGTCAAATGTGCATGAAGTCAGCTTAACCAATGAAAATGAAACAACACAAAAATAAAATTCCAGAATTTCTTTCTTCTTTTTCTCTATATCTCATTCTATGATGAAGCTTTAATAAAAGTGAAATATGTTAGATTGATAAAGATTTCCAATTTGTTCTTTAATCTATCATTCTGTCAGATTCCAATCCATATGTGTGTGTGTGTGTGTGAGTTAAGGGTGTATTAAGTGTTATATCACCACAGCTTCTGGCCAATGAAGATTGTCAGAGCAGCTGTGAATCTGTGCACATATATGCACATATAAATGTCTCAATAGATTTAAACCTTGGAAAAAAAATTGAAAATATCCTTTTCTGGAATCTAAAGAAATTTATACAATGCAGATTGACAATCTCAGCATTGCAAAAAGTTGTTGAGAAATTAAGTGCTTGTAGAATTTAAGTCAGTCATTTAGACAATAGTATATCATACCAAAACCTACAAATTTAGAATGTGTATATATAAGCACTGGGAAGAATGTGCATCTGATCGCAATAATTGGAATGAGGCTCCTCAGAGTAGAAGATGTCACTTTGAGGAAGAGAGGAGGCATGCAAGGATTAAAAGAGATGTGCATAAAGGTGTCTCCATTGAACTTCCTGAAGACACCTGCAGGCAGCTTGATTTGACATGTACAGATTGTGGTAAAGTGTGTTTGTCAATGGCTGGTCTAAGGAGTCACTTTAGAGCACACCAATGGAGGGTGGCAACTGACTATAAAGTTGTAGACATCCAGCAACTGAAATGTGATATTTGTGGTAAGACATGCGGGTCCAGATGTGGTTTCATGCGACATTTTAAATTGCATAATAATGTAACACCTGCTGTTGCACCTCTTAAGTGACCTGTTTGTGCCAGAGTATGCAGGTCCCTTGCTGGGCTAAAGAGCCACATTCATTCAGCACATCAGAAGATGTTCTTCAAAAAGATATGTAGTAATAGCCGTACTTGGACACGAGTTGACAACTACTGTATATATATTCATTTTATTTATATATATATATATATATATATATATATATATATATATTCATTTATATTTGTTTAACACTTTATTTATTTTTTTGGAGCTATAAATATTAAAATTACAATGTTTGTTTTTCATTTTGTGTGTAATGACTGCTACATGCATGAAACTCAGAGTTGCATAATAATCAAGTCAAATGTGCTGGTGTGTGGCTGTTGATTCCTAGGAACTGAGCTGCTTGACCTTCATATATCAAATACTACAGGAGAGTCCACCATATATATATATATATATATATATATATATATATATATATATATATAGATATAGAGAGAGAGAGAGAGAGAGACACACACACACACACACACATAAATTGCAGTATATTAACTGAACCATTGAAATAAAAGTTACAACCAGAAATGAAATCAGAGTGAAGTTCAAAACTTGATACCATTCTCAGCAAGCTAATTCATTATTAACACCCAAATCCTTAAGATTGTCACAACTATAAAAGCCATGCCTAACAGGATACCTCTCCACTGTTCAGATAATATAATAAAGATGGAAACCTTTCATCTAACAAAATTCTTTACTATTTGTTAGTATTTACAGGTTAGTCAAACAGAATAGGTGCAAGAACAACTTGTCTGTATCATCAACAAACTCAAGTGGCCAGTACAAGCTGTTAACAGAACATAGTAGCAAGTTATCTCCCTTCAAATATTGTTCAGATAATCGAATCCATTCTTCATTTAAAACTGCATTTATAACATCCCATATGTATGTCAAAGGTGTATAATAGAAAAAAATCAGCTGTCCACTTAAAGTCAGATTTAATGAATATGACACAAAGGAGAAGTGGGGAAATTTGCTGTGCCAGATCTTATTTGGAAAGAGAAGAGTACAGATTAGTCTTTCTAGGAAGAAGTTGAGAATTAACAGAGAATATCATTGGGAGGGAGAAATTTAAAGGTAATGGCATATAATGATTTATCAGCTTTATCTATAAGTTGGATTAGCATGGTTTTCAATTTTTTTTCTTAAGAAAGGAGGTGTTAAGAAACCTGGCTATGCATAGTTTGAAATCACCTAGGAATTTAAGTGTTGGATATATTAAGATTGGTATATTAGCATACTGCCACACCTCTCAGAATACACACCTGATGAAGGCTGAATCCGCTAAAACATTGTGTTAACATCAAGTACATGAAGAATGAAGTCAGCTGACCAAACAATATTTGGAATGTTAATGTTCCATTACAGATAATAGGTTATCTACCTTGTTTGAAAAATACAGCAGAACTAGTTTTGAGAATGTACAGAGCTATAAAACCAAGAATTTAACTAGAAATACATCTTCATCTTTCTTCAGAAAAAAATGTGAAAAATCTTAGATCTTTGTTCACAAATCTAACAACAAAATGCAAAGTGGCATAATTATTTCATTACATCATGAAAGTTTTCAAAGGTTAATCAAGATGATGATGACAATAATGATATTCACAAACTGCAGAAAATAGAGAAAGCATCTTTTACCTTGTACACTTACACACGGGAAAAGTACAAAAGTGAAAGAAATATACATATTTCTAAAAGTATCAACTATACAAACCAGAAAATAAAGGGAAAATTCTACAAGAAGTGAGCAATTTACAACATTAATTGTATTTGATGAAAAAAAAAAAAAAATGACAAACCTATAAGCAGGCTACTTTAGAATAAAGTACACAGGAAGAAGCAGTGTCTCCTTCAAGTCTAAGAGTGCAATATGTACAGTCTATAATTATGATTCCCAAAACATAAACAACCATTTGGAAGGCTTTACAAAAACAGTTGACCAGAATACCATTTATTCTCTTGATTAAATTTTAATTCTTGAATCCTTTATGCTAACTAGAAATGAATATCAAGTTCTCTGATGAATTCAAGAATCTAATTTTATTACTTTTTACTGACTATAAACTTGATAAGTTAATTCATTTAAGTGCAATGATAATCATCACTTTATAATATGTTTACTCAGTTGCATGCCAAGAGAAAGATAAAAAAATTGATGCCTGCTGCAGGGGTTAATTATGCACTACCACAGGGATTTCTTTTTTCCTTTTTGCTACCATTATGGACACACAACACAAAGATTTGTAAAATATTACTTTAATTTTTACTATATTAGACAATTTAAAATAGAGCTACTTTTTCTTTAATAAATCTTTTCAAGTTCTTAAATTGTCACCTATTTCAGTATATATTAGGCATAATGTTGCTTAATTTTTACAGCGAAGCAATATCAAAATGTGACCTATTTGCTGCTGAATGATGATCACACCCTGAAAACTTCAATCATCTGATAAAAGTAAATTTATTAACTTCGTTTCTTGTAAATCACAATAAAACATTTCATTCTAAGAATGTTTATTATGTTGACAAACTAATCTAAATATTCTTTTAAAACAAAAATGCATTCAAGACACTTTTACACTATTATTCAATTTTGTTTTCTTTTAAACTCTTATGGGAGTGAATAACAGTATGAAAGATTCCTTAGTGAAAGTTAAGTTAAAACACATCCATTATAATGGTATTTCAAACAATATGTGTAATTATTATCTTATAAATTTTATTTCTCTATAATCTGCAAAAAGAATCCTCTGAATGTTTCATTAACAACGTAGGAACATTGGGAATAAAATTATGGAAGTGAGGTGAGATAATTTGGGGAACACTAATCTGTGCATATAAGAGACAATGCTGTTAATAAAGAAAAAAAAAGAATGTGGTCACAGTCATAGATTGAAGACTCACAGTGAATGGGTTAGTGTGGCAGGAGATGAGATATGAGCTGTGTGTGCTGGTGATGAGAACCAGGAAGGTGTATAATGAGAGGCAGATGAAGTGGGGAAACTGTGTGAGCAAGTTTCATCAGGATAACAGCTTCCACAGGTAAGAAGCATCTGCGATGATTGGCACCTTAATGGTGAAGAGGTTGTAGCAGTGGCACTGGTGTCAACAACTGAAGAAGAAGAAGAGGAGGAGGCAGAAGATTGCATCTGGTGTGATCTGCACATCTGTGCATTTCTGTTGTCATCACTTGTACAGGTGGATGACTTGTGAGGCACATAGGTTGCACTTTGTGTTCTGCAGGTGAAGAAGGAAGAGAAAATAAAAGTTCAGCAGAAAATAAGATAAGAAAGGAATAGGATAGGAGTTAAGAGGGAATGGAGAGAACAAGAGAAGTCAGAGAGGAAAAAAGATTTAAAAGGGAGGGAAAAGGAAAAATAGGTAAGTGCTAAGAAAGGGAAAGGCAAAAGAGAAAAACAGGAGGAAAATAAAAGAGTAGAACAAGAGAAGGAAGGTGACAAGAAGAAAAAGTGTTAAGAGGGAGTTATGAGAAAAAAATAAAGAGTAGCAAGAACAAAAGAGGAAATGAAAGCTGGAAAGAAAAAAGTAATGAAGAGAAAAGAAAAAAGGAAGAAAGACAGGCAGAGAAGAGAAGAGAAGTGGGAGGGAGAAAGGTAAAAAGAAGGGAGCAAGAGATAGAGGTGAGTAAAAAGAAAGGTCCAGGAGAAACAAAACATGGCAGGCAGAGAGGAGAAGTAGAAGGTAAAAAAAAGGAACAAAAGGAAGAGAAGGAGTGGGAAAGTGGGACATAGAAAGATAAAGAAAGATAAATCCAAGATAAAAATCAAGTTTTTCAACATATATTGAAAATAAATAATGTCCAAATATTTGACAAAGATGCTTTTCTTTTATTAACAGTGACATTTTTGTATAATTATCAATAACTATCATATTGTTCAGAAAGAAATGCCATTTTTAAAATTATCAAGTAAAAACTGAATGATGTGCAATTTATTCCAGAACTTGAATGAGCTTAGAATCAATGTTTTTTTGTCTCAACCACCATATTTCCAGGACTTTTCTCAATACTGATTATCTAACACTTCTACAATTTTTTAAAACTTTTTCCAGACTGGTTGGCTAAGCACATTTTGTTGCATTCAGTTTCCATAGTAAAGACTGAAACCAGATATTCAAGAGTAAAAATGCCTTTAACATGCAGTCTGAGTATAATCCTATAAGAATAGATCTGGTATAGATGGGTTAACCTATGTAGATTGCTCATACAATAAATTTGAGTTACCTAAAATTTTAGAAATAAATTCATTTTCGAAAAGTTTAAAGAAATGTTTTCTTAACTAGTCTTCAAGGAGTTCACTGATCAGAGAAATTCTGATTTTTGGCACAGATATCATTGTTACACACTGGCAACAGAAGTATGTGCATGTTATGAAAGTGTTCTTAATCATTCCAATTTATATAGTGTCCTAAAGTGACAATCATTTCTTGACAATCTAATATTTATCACTTTGTTTACCTAACTTGATGTCTTATTCTCATACCAAATATGAAATATTTTTTAACCATGACTAATTATCATTATTCTATAAGGTGTCTGAACTGATATAAATAAGGATGAGAAGATTATTCTAAACAATTTATGAAATGGTAGAAAGATTTTATTTTATATCCTTTTTTATCCAAATTTCAAACAATTATTAATTCTTTTCCCAAGTCATAGTTTCTGAAAGGTTTTCAATCATATACTGAAATACTCTGAAAACAAAAAGAATACAGTTTTTGGGAACCATTTACAAATTCTGACAAGAAAAATAAAAAAAATGGAATCATTTATCAAGGTAATGATAAATTTTATTACTGCAATAAAAACAGGCATTAACAACAAAATAACCATAAAAAATATATATATTACCATTACAAAAAAATGCACACATTTTCTTTTCTTCTTTGTCCTCAATTTTTGTTCCAATGAGGACCAATAAATAGGCTTAGCTGTTTTTAATTGTTATATTTTGGTATTACCAATTTACAGTAATATATATTTTTTGAAACTCCTTTTTTATAATGAATGTTCTTTTAATGTCTGTTTTTATTGTTGTAATAACATTTTATACTCTTGCAAGAATATTTATTTATTAAAAAATATTAATATTCAGCAAATTTGTGATAAAAAGTCAAAATCCTTATTAATTTTGCAAAATAAAAATTCATAATCTCTTTCCATTTTACAAAACAAAATCTTTTTTCATTATTCCTCAATTTTTTCAGGTTAATATCTTCATCTTTATGGTTTTTACCATGTTTCAGCCAATACATTCTTTAACATTTCTCAGGTGAATATTGCATCTGGTAGTCTTAGTACTCATTTTTTTTTAATTTCCACCATTAGAAAACTACAGTTCCTAAAGAAATGAAAAATAAAGCCACTTTTAAAAGGTTATCAGAAGCAACATGCACCCTGGTCGAAGAATACATCAGCCAAAATGTTATTTTGAAAACAACAAAGATGAAGATACTTGCATGAAAAATATGGAAAACAAAAGAAATATAAGTGAAAATTTAAAAATAGAATAATGAAAAAATGAATAGCAAATAAATACATAAAATTAAATTCAGATTCCAGAATAAAATACAATGAAACTTTTCTAACATACAAAAAAAATACTTACTGTATTTTTGCATGAACAAGGACCCTATTAATAAACCTTGAAAAATTATATATATATATATATATATATATATATATATATATATATATATATATATATATATATATATTATATTGTCCTTCATTCCCTGATATTGAGTACTTTGACCTATAAATATAGCCTACCTTATAACTATACATATATGCACACACACACAAGCCTGAGCCATCAGTTTCTTTCATCAATCTAATAATTTGATAAAGGCATAGATCCATAACAATGAGAACATCACTTGCCTTTTATCTCTCAAAGTATCTTTCATTCACTTCCTCCTGAACTAGACAGTCATTGATATTTATATACTGACAACTGCCATCAGGCTGCCTATCGATGTAAATCTATAAAAAAGGTTAAAAGGGGCTTCAAATCAGAATATTGTAATAAAAATAAAGGATTCTTTTTTCTTTATACTTCTAGTCTTAAACATATTGGTTAATGTTCATCTGTCAGAATTTCTCTTGTTAAATAAGACATTTTTTGTTTAATATTTATTATATTTTATTAAAGTTGATGAAGGAGGGGAAAGTAGACAAACAAGAAATGAGTTGAAGTATTGTAATTATTTATATTATGTACATTGTTCGGATGGTGGACAAAATAAAGAGTTCAGTTCGAAATTTCAATCACCTGAAGAAGGTCGGAGCATACAACGGCTGAAATGTTGCAAATATGGCAATAAAGATGAGGACAACAGTCCGAACAATGTAAATAAGAAATGAATTGCTTTTTATTGCATAGATTTTATAGAATACTTGGAAACAAAATACAAAAGATTCATCCTTCTGGCTCATCCCTATATGTCCTGCTTCCCACATCAGTTGAGTTGTGATGTGTCCATCTTTATTTATGTCATGTGACGAAATATGGCTGTAGATATCAAACTTTTCACTAAACAGTAATGGCTGACATTCAGATAATAGTTGATTGTTTTGTCTGTGCTCAAAGAAATGTTTTAAGATGCCTTGGTCTTATTCCTTAGATGCTAGAATTTGCCTTTAGAATTAATTAAAATCTTTTACTCACATAGCCACACCATATTGGAAGCCAATGCATTTTTGAAGCCAAGAAATATGGTAGTTTTTATATTTAAAGTAAACTGCACTATAAAATCATAATCTCTGTGTGTGTTCAACAAAAGTAAACTTTTAAAAGAATTAATAACTTTTAATCCTCCATGGACAGATATTTGCATTCCTTACCCTTCACTGAGAAAGACTTGAGCTCCAGAGGGACTTGTAGATTCTGACAGTTGGGACACTGAGCAGCTGAGTAAGTCTGAATCTCCATCTTGTAGACTTTTGTCTTGGTGTTTATCTACAATGAACAATAAGACATATTTTATTGTTCTGTTTCATATATATTTATATACAGCAATATATAAAACACAATCAACTTAATGACATAAATGATACAGTGGTTAGCAAAGTACATTTTAGAATCTGAAATTTGTGTATGAATCAAAATTATTAGTGCATGTTGTTTATTAGAGTATTGCATGTCATATGTATTCTTATATTCATCACATTACACTCTAATAAACAACATATACTAATTTTCAAGGTCAGCTCCTACAGATAATTTTTATTTAGTTACTTTTGAACATTTTATAAAAAGAAAGAAATCGTGATGAGTTTTTTTTTTTTTAACTTAACCCACTATATAATCAAGTATATATTATGAAAAAAATAAAATCTGCATTAATTATAGGTTTCTACATATTCTATTAATGCCCTCTAAGACATTTTTGGAACTAGGCATTAATGAATTAATAACAATAGAAATTTATAGCCCTCCCACCCTCCTCATGTACAGAGAAGTTTAAAACATGCTTTAATTATATAAAAACATTTTTCTTTATACCACTTTATTTAAACATATATTGAAGGTTATGAATCTAAATTATGAAAGGTGTATCTGACCTAAATTTAAATATACACAATAACATAGCATGACATGTTTTGTACATTACAAATGAATAGACACATACACACATAGATAGATAGATAGATAGATAGATAGATAGATAGATAGATAGATAGATAGATAGATAGATAGATAGATAGATAGATAGATAGAATTATTAACTTGTGGAAGAAAAAAACTTTACCCAACATATAAAATGTTAAACTATTCTTAAAAAAAAAAAAAAAAAAAATGGTTTCCTCCCATTTAAGGAGAATTGGGGTTTAAAATTAAACAACTTCACAAATAAATATGTAGTCCTTTCCTTAAATGCCCTGTCTCTTCAAATGTAGGTGATTATGGCCCTCTACAGTTTCCTTTTCTATAATATCTGAAAATTGTGCATTAACATGATTGTTTGGGGAAAGATAGTAGAGTGATTTTCATTTGCTTTCTCCATGGATTTGAATTCAGAGTTGTTCTCCAACACTGCCAACCAAGAAAGAGAGAAGACAAAGTTATGCCTTTCCCAAGAGGATCAGTATGGAGTGAACACACATTTTCTCAGCCAGAAACTGAACTTGGTTCACAAACTTTTTTTTATCACTTTAAACATCTTTCATGGATACTTGTATTTGAGTAGGCGCTCCATTTATTTATTAAATAGCATATTTATCTATTTTCGTTCACCCTCCCCAATGTTTGAGAAATCTTATCATCAAAGAAAAATTTGCACTCTCTGGTAGGAATTGAACCAGCATCCCTCAGGGCAGAGGGAACTACTGTTTAGCTTGGCATGCCTTATAGACTTGACCATGAAGAACAGTCAGTCAGGCAAGGCCAAATTTTATCCTTTCAAGCGAAATTTCTAGTACACACACACACAGCTTTATATATTAATCTTTTTATTGTAACTTTCTAAAATATTTTTTAAATCTATATTGCTAATAAAATTCTACATTGTTCACATGATGCTAAGTTGGACATGTATTTTGTATTGGACACTTTCATTATCCAAAACCATCACATGGATGTAACTTTTTATATTCTTTGTAAAAATGAATATATAATATTGTTTAAGAATCTATTTTGATATTCTTTGTTGAATAAAATATATATATATCAAACTTCTTTTGAAGAATTCAATCTATAAGATTTTTAGAGACATGATTATATATCCTGATAATAAATTTATCATGACTATTTATAGACTAATATATGTATGAAGGGATGCTGAAATGTTCTCAGACAGGCCAAAAAACCCTAAAAAATTAATAAAAAATAAAATATATATCTCCAAGAAAATAATTTAGCTACCAGCAGTCATGTCTTGAGACTTGTTCTCAAAAGAAGCAGGATCTTCCTTTTCTTTATAGCATTTTCCTCTAGCCAAATTCCACTGTCCTTTGATATCTTGTCTGGAACTGGAAGATAAATCAGAAAGTGAGATGCAAACTTCACACTGGTAACAATAATAATAAGACAAAAGTTCAAGGCTTAGATAATCAGTAAAGTAAATATAAAGGACATTATATAAATATATTACATATATAGATAGCATACTTTCCATCCTATGGTATGAAAGTGTTTTATTATTAGGTTGATAATAGACATTTCTGGCAAACAGGGGTGTGTGGGTATGAGTTACATTAAATGATAAACTTTTATCTTATGTGTAGAATAGTGTTTTAGAAAAATTATGCAGAAAATTATATGGTATATGCACATACATGAAAAGGAAAAATAATATATATCTATAGATGAATACTATATATATAAGTCGTTTAACATTATCAGATATTTTTTCAAAACATACATTCATAAACGATTTTTTCCAGTTGTCATTTAATGTATAACTGTCAGAATCATTTACCCAAATTCTTAACATATTGTTGACATGGAGAACACATGGATATAAAAAAAAAAAAAAAAAAAAAAACATCTTTCATTTATTTTCTACCCATTCAGATTGATTTTTATCTTTAAACTCTGACACTTAAAACAAAGAAAATAAAATGTTAAACAACTTTTTCAAATAAATCAATCATTTTTTTTCTTTTCTAGTCACAAGCAACATCAGCTTAGGAAAAAAATATGATCTCATTATTTTAAATAAACACACAAATACATACACATGCAATTCACTTTTTCATCTTCGATCTGATGAAGCCCAAAATGGGCAAAATGCATTATCAGATATTTTTTCAAAACATACTTTCATAAACGTTTTTCCAATTGTCATTTAATGTATATAATTTTTATCTATTATTTTACTTAGATTGTGTAGTAAGTATATACCTATCAGTTCACAATATGTGTCTGCACTGCATGTTGGGGTGGTTTTGAAATTTTCTTTGTGGTCATTTAGTGTGATAAATGCTTGCACCTGAGTGATGCAATTTATTCAGTCATCTAGGTCTAATTTTAGTGCAATCGTTTTAGTTTCCTTATTGACCTAGATAACCGAATAAATTGTATCAAACTAAGTAAAATAATAGATAGAAATGATACAGACCTCTACAGGGACGATGGTTTCATAATCTTAAGAAACTATAACAGACAAAACTAGAAAAGTAAGATTATCAAAAATATGGGATTCAACAAACATAAAAATTAACCTAAATGAAGTAGATTTTCTAGATGTCACCTACAACCTAAGAAAAAATTACATATGAACCATACAGAAAGCCCAATGATAAATCACTGTACACATCTTCCAATCACCCGCCATCTATAATCAAGCAGATACCAAAATCAATTAACTGCAGGCTTTCCAACAATTCTTCCAATGAAAACATTCAATGAAGCTAAGAAAGACTATGAAACAGCCCTAAAATCTACACATACACACCACAGAGGACAAAAAAAGCCAACAGGAAGAGAAGCATCATATGGTTCAACCCACTGTATAGCAAAAATGTAAAAACAAGCGTAGGAAAAATATTCAAACTCTTACACAAACACTTCTCCAAATCAAGCACTCTCCACAAAAGATTCAACAAAAACACAGTAAAAATCAGCTACAGTTGTACTGAGAACATGATACAAATAATAAAAAAGTACAACAACAAACTATCAACAAACTACCCGAACAAATTAAACCCACATGTAACATAGCAGAATAAAGAACAAATGTCCCTTAAACAGCAATTGCTTACAAAACAATGTAATATACCAAGCCATGGTAAAATCATCAGATAATGAAGGAAAAATATACATAGGAGTAACTGGAAGGACCTTGGAAACAATGAAACAAAACATCTTTCACAAATAGTAAATACGCAAACAGCACAATGCTTTCCAAGTATATCTGGGAAATTAAAAACAAAAAGTAAATCACACCAAAAATATCATGGAAAATAAGGAAAAGAACATCAGCCTACAACAATCACTCCAAAAACTGAAAACTCTGCTTGGAGGAAAAAAAATAGCTATAATTACCTTCCCAGACCAAAACAAACTACTAAATAAACGATCAGAACTCCTATCAAAATTCAAACACAAAAACAAATTTTTACTACATTACTTAAAAATTGAAAACTGAAAAGAATAAATAAAAATTAATAAAATGAAAATAAATAAAAACAAGTAAAATAAATTAATATCAATAAATAAATAAATAATAAACAAATTAACAAACGACTCCTGCCAAAATAACTACCCACAATGCATCACTGACCCATATATATATATAGTTGAGAAAAAACCCAATGCATGTAGCTTGAAACAATGTCAACTCTGAGTGTAGACTTCAATGTCCACTTTATATATCATAGGAAATCAATTAAATCTTACAATTATTTTAACATGTTTTCTGTTAATATGTTAAAAAAAAAACAACTTATAAACAAAAAATATATTAAATTGATTATCCTATGATATACTGTCATTGTTTATGTTAGGATACAAACTCAGAGAAGATAAAATAGATCAAGAAAGATCAGTGAAGGTGTGCATTTAAAATCATTAATTTGAGCTTTGCTTAACTGGAAGTTCTCTGTGGATGAATGGTTATAGCATGCCAGGCTTAATAGTGGTTCCATATACGATGCAGGTTTGATTCCTGCCAGAGAACACATATTTTCTATGAAATTTCTCAAACATTCAGGCTGGTAAATATAATTAATACTGTTTAATTAAAGAACAGAGCATTTACTTAACTAAATCTATCCATAAAAAATAACATAAGCAGAAAATAAATATATATCTCCAGGTAAAATGAGAACAAATGGAGTATGTAATTCCACTCTAACATTTAATTTAAAAGTGGGTTCAATAGAGGAGAGTTAAATATTATCCTAAAATAAATAAATATATATATATATATATATATATATATATATAGAACATATATACATAGAACTTGTAGAAGTTTACAACAGTTTATTGGTTATACTTACTCAGGATAAACAGAGAATTCGTCTGATGTGATGAACTTTAAAAAATGGAAGCAGAACCGAAATATCTGGAAAATTAAAAGTGGTTATGATTCTTTTCATCAACCATAGAAGCAAATAACATTTCTCACACCAAACATATATAAGAAAGCATGCCTATAAGATTACGACTTTTATAAATGAGCACTAATATCTATATGGAATACTTTGAGGATTTTGCTCAGAGAATAGCATCACTAAAACTTTACTTTTGCTGAATAACCAAGTAGAAAGTTAACATTTAGCCTCTTAACTACAAGATCATGTATGTGGCAAATGAATGACTAAGTAGGAAAAATTTTGTTTTTTAGCACTTCATTGGACTGAAGTAATGTTTTGTTGAAATTATATATGTGTAGGAAGGGGTGGGGGGGAGCATATAAAAACACAAGCATCACTTCAAATTAAGCACTGACAGAAATGCTGAAATTTTAAACTATTAAATAATTTTTTTTCTTCAAATGTTTCTAGGCATGTCGTTGAGACAATTTCATTCAGCTTCCTTATGGTTTTGATTTTATCACTTTTATTATCAAGTTTCTATCCCACCCTCATATATATGAGGATGGCTCATGTGAGCTGAAAGCTTAGGACCGACTTAATAAAAAAATATCCAAATGTTGGACAATTTTTGTCTTTATTTTCACCAGATATTAAAGCAAACATTTGAACAAAAGAACAACTCAAGATCAGACATGATAGACATTCATTGTCTGTTATATTTATTATTTTTATATAGTACAGGCCATATTTCTTGTTTCTAGGAGAACTTTTGAACATACATTGCCCAGTAAGAAGAAACTAGAAAAGAAGTAAAGCTTGGGGTTGTATATATGAAGTGAAATAATACTGATAACAGAAATTAAAACTAATATCAAACTCATGAATTATATAATAGGACAACAAAGTCATTACAAAAATAATTATATTTATACCTACCTCTTCTCCTTTCTCTATTCTGTCAGGTAAACAGTGACTGTTAAAAAAAAAAAAAAAATTCAATAAGTGACAAGTACTACACACACACACATATATATATGAGTATATCCACACACACACACACATATATATATATATATATATATATATATATATATATGAGTGTGTGTATGTATATGTATGCATATATATGTAGGTGTGTATGTGTGTATATGCATGTGTTTATGTAGTAATAAATAGTAGGGTTTTTACTGATTAAATATTTTTATATGTTTATGTTAAATTTGTAATCTGTAGGGGAAATTACATGCTTTTTTCAAATTGTTCTTGATCATACATCATTTCTCTTATAAATGCCCCTGGTTTAGTTTGGCCTTTTCTTCCTCTTTTTCATTTTCTCTTTTCATGCATACATAAGGTTAGTAAATGCAAACCAGACAACAAATTTTCATATATACATCGGCAGTGTAAATTGGCTAGAATTTAAATTTGGATCGTATAATCATTTATTGTGTCTAATGTCACCACAAATATATCCACACTTTTCCGGTGACTGTTTTTTCATTTTAGGTCAACAAATTGGTAGTGATTTATGCATCTGAGAATAACTCATATTTATCTGTATCTCACTCATTCAAACCGTTATTTAACTTCTCCCTTTAAAACTTCTCTTTTAAATCTTATTCCCCACCCTTACATTAAAGCCTTTCCTGTTCTTCTATTTCACATCTCTCTAGAGCTTTCATACATTTCCCTCTCACCCTTGTTTCTCACTCCCATACATATACTCTCACTGATTTTTTTTTTTTTTTTTTTTTTTTACACACGGACTTATATTTTCTGTTTTCTTTCTGATGAATTTGATTGTAATTATGATTCCAATGTAATAAATTATAACCATGGAATATTAGTGTTTGAGCCTTATATATATATATATATATATATATATATATATATATATATATATATATATATATATATGTAGGTAGATGTATGAGCAAGCAATCGTATACAAATATATACAAATACTCTATAGTGTAAGAAACTTTTTTTCATATCAATGATTTTAAAACATTGCTACTATACTTGTAATAAATTTTCTTCAGTGTTGGTCCACTCAGGACTATTAAAGGAATGAATATAAACCCTTCCTTTCTCTTTCTGCTCCAAGATATAGTAGCAAAAACATGGAATTTCTGTACGCTAGGGAGATTTATTTCCTTCAGCAAACCAACTACATGGACATACTCACCATCCTGAATTCCAAAGTTCATTCAAAATTACATTTTGTAATTTTCTTATGTTCTAACAATGACCAAATTTGTGCATCCACAAAGATCTTGTTAACAAATAAGATTTTCTTGAGAAGAAATTATTTATTTGAAATTCTCTCCAATTTTCTATATATTAAATAAAAAAAGATCTTATTATAATTGTAAACATAAGCTTTATAGATATATGAACATATGCAGTTTATCAATGCAGCATACATCTGGGGGGAAAAAAAAAAAAAAAAAACCACATCAGTTGAAACATTATGATAAAAACCCAGTAAAGAATAAAGCATTGGTTTAAATAATTAAATGATTGATGAAAATGATATTGTGAAATCATCTGAGTGTTATCTAAAGTTTTTCAATGGAGTATTTATTTGAATAGAAAGGGCGAGAGTACAGAACAGAGACAAGGAGAGAATGGAACAGAGAAAACGAAAAGAGAAGAAGAGAAAACAGAACGGAGAAAACGGAAAAGAGGAGAGAATGGAACAAAGCTCTTCTCATCTCTGTTCTGAGTGAGAGCAACCGAGTCTAGTCAGAAATGTTCATGCTAAGAAGGGGTGTTTTCAGTGATACAAGAAAAAAAACTTTTATAATATGGAGAAGCAGTCTGTAATCGTATAAACTTCACACATACATAGCTGTGATAAATTTTCAAATTTTTTCACCACAATCTGCAACGCCATCATCTAATGTGTTCTAACTTTTTGTTCTCCTCAACAGACATCTTGAAAAAATTTGTTTGGAATAAAACAATGAAGGTCCATGGTAAAAGACCTTTCAGTGCTCACTCACACAAAAATTAGTATTTATTTAGTGTCTGAACCACTGGATCAGGAGTGGCCAAATACAACACATCTGATGATTTTATGCAGCCTGTAGGAACACCATAAACATTCTTTTTAAATATCCATTAAAAATATTTACAAATATTTTTCATTACATGTTACAAAAAAATAATAATTTATTCAAAATGGGTAAAAAGAGAACAAGATTGGAACCATATATATTTAATAGTGAACCCCAGTTCTCAGGAAACTCATTTTTTTTCAATCATTTCACCCCAAACAATGCAATAAAGCCACTTAGACACAAGTGTGAGAAAATGGTGATGGTGTATGGGGGAGGGGGGGATTGCATATAATTTTAAAAAATTAAACTTGACTGGAAAGCAAGAAATTGGAAGAGAGGTCCACAAGTGAGAAATATGAGAAGAAACTCTTAGCATAGAACTTACAGTTACATCTAGCCATTTCAACTGTAAAATAATGATAACTTGCCGTGAATCTAGTACTGTGCTTAAATTCATAAATAAGTCAAGGTACCATAGAGGGAAGCTTATTAGAACAATTACCATGAAAGTATTTTAAGAAAAGGCACAGAGAAGCTAAGTTACTGCAATGGGAAAGTAACTAAAGCTGAGATACCAGGTCAGAACCAATAACATTGCAGATTCTTCTTTGTATTTTATCAAGAATCTCTAAATACATAGCAAAAGCACCATACCAGGTGCATGGATGAAGGGTAGACATATAGATATGCAAGATAGATTCTGATGGGCAAAACTGTCTAGTATGACAGTAAGCCAACTTTCCCAGCAAAAAGTAACATAGCGTTATATACAATCTCAGGCACTTAGGTCTCACATTGTCAATGGTAATGCAGTCATCAGCACAGTAGTACTGATGTAGAGATTTAGGTGCTTGTGTGTACTCCAATTCAAGATAAGCATATGACATCATTTCTGTGCTTCACTATAAACAACTCACAAAATTTATCAAGTACTAATAGTTATTCTAAACATCACTTGAGAATGAAACTGTACTCTAAATTTTAATTTTAATTTTGAAATTAAACTTTAGGACTTGAGTCAGTTTCAAAACATAGTAATTTCTGTGTCATGATGAAACCATATTTTTTTAAAAATACTGTGTGTGTGTGTGTGTGTGTGTGTGTGTGTGTGTGTGTGTGTTTCATAAAATTTCAAGACTATTGTCTTAATCTTTTTTGTTATTAAAATATTTTAGCTAATATATTCTTCTTTGAACTTTCTTCAAGTATATGTTGCCATCAGGTGTTTAGGAAATTTATAACTGATGGGTTGAAATTCTAAAATTTATTTAAAAAAAGAAAACAGACTCACCCAAAAAGATACCAATCATAAGCTATGGTAAGGTAAAGAATTTCCTCTGGTTTGAGAGATTGGTGAATGGCACCATCAGCCCACAGAGAGAGTCGCATCAGGGAGATGTAGAGTGGTGTGCGGTCCCATCCTGAAATGCAGTGCACTAATAATCCAGAAGAACCTAAAATAAAAATGCAAATGAAGATATTTTTAGGCTCACATTGAAAAATAATTTTTAAAGTAAAAAGTAGAGTGGGAACTGACTCATAGAAAATACCATAAATTATTATAATCATCTGAATTATACAATCTGCAAAATTCTAAACCAATCAATATATTTTATATTTGATGCTACCAAAATATTAAATTATGTTTTTTAAATTTTATATTTATATAGCTATTCTTTTTTTTTGTAAAAAATAATAAATAAAAAAAATATAATGCTACATTATAATCATAGTTGTTTGGAAGATGTTAAGATATGTGTGTGTGTGTGTGTTCAGCCACCCATATACAGAAAAGTATTGGATACATTGAACTCTTTAAGAAAATTATTTCTACTATTGCTGCTGCTTCTTCTATGTCATGGCCCTTCAGGTCATTGGTGATCATGGCTCCCTACAATTTCCTGTCTTTTGTAAGCTCTTAATAAAATTAGTCCTTTTGTTATCTCTCCTAAACCATTTCCTGCCATCCATTTAATCAAACTCACTAGGTAGGTTGAGCATGGTTTTCCTGTTTCTCTGTCCTGTGAGTGTCAAATTTTTCAAACCCTCTTTCCTCATTATGTGCCATAGAAATTTCAAGTCTCTCCCTGATATTAAATATAAGTGTCCTTTTTATTTCCATTTTCTCTAAAACATCATCATTGTTTACATGTTTGGCCCATGGTACTCTCAGCATCCTTCTGTAGAACCATATTTCTGTTGCTTAAAGTCTCTTCTTCATGTATGAGAAGAGTGTCCAGCATTCACTGCCATATAAGAGAACTGATATTATGTAACAGTCCAGTACTCTTTTCTATGTTTCTAACAAAATTTTTGTGTTTCTTAATTACTTAGCTTTTGGAAGACATCTTTTGCTATCCCAATGAACACATTTCATCCTCTGTTGAAACATTTCCAAGATATTTAAATTGTTGTACTTGCTCAACTTTGGTATCTCCAATTTGTAATTTGCATGATGAGCTGCTTCTTGAGTTGAACATCATAAGTAGTGCTGCATTCCATGTTGTCACTGTATTCCAACACTACTGTATAGGTTGTATCAACAAATAATGATTTTTTTTTTTTTATTTTTACTCATTTTATTAGAGGAGAGGGACTGATGTGGCAGCATCAATTCTAGGAGGCAGTGGGAGGAAGAAGTTCAAGAGAACGCATGCTCCTTGTTGGATTAGTGTGCATCTGCACGTGGTCTTAGCCATCTCTCAAACCTGGGTTTGGGAAGCATATCAACGCCTCAAAATTCCTGTGTGCCTTTGCTGACTTTGTATGATTTTGGACTTATATCCAAAACTTAGACAAAGGCAATCAATTACTGTCAGAATATCACACCCACAAGGTATTTTGGTAACCACTGACCATCCATCCAGGCCTAGCCATTGCATTAGAATATACTATATATAAAGAAAAGATGTTTGCCTAAATATATATTTATTGACAGGCTTAACAGAAAGTAACAAGAAAAAGTTTTGAACATGTTCCAAAAATATGGACGAAGCAGAATAAAAATTACAGTATGAGATTGAAATCAAATAATTTTCAAATTTTTTCACTGACCATTCAAAACTCACCATACGTCTTGAAAGCCAATTTATAAAATTTATGTGTATTGTCCAACAGACACCTCATTCAACAGAAAATTTAGAATTTAAGTGATAAAAGTAACTATGAAAACATCTTACCATTTTACCATGAAATTACTCTGATAAAATACTAAAATAGTAAGGGAAGAAAATTATTGTACTATTCTTCTAAATGAAGGCAGCTTATTTGCTTGCCTTAGAAATTAGCATTTAAATTTCTGTAATTTATGACACAAATAGGAAATACACTCTGGTTAAGAAGTAGTATATATAGACAGAGAGAAATAGTGAAATTGAAAGAAAAAGAAAGATTTAAAAAGTGAAGAGTCTTACCATCTCTGATGAGCGTAATCAGCAGTTTAAAGTAGTTCTTTGTGAGTGTGAGAAGGTCCCATTCCTAGATAACAAAAAAGAAAATATCATATATTAAAATATGTAAACCATTAAGCAATCCTAGAAACAGTAGTCGAGCTATACCCAATCCATCATGCAAAAAAATATAAGTAATAAAACTGAGAAAAAAAAATATCCAAGAATGGTAAAGTCTGATTTATATTAAAGAATTTATTTTGTTTTATAAAAACTGAAAATATAATTCATAATGTCATATACATGTGTAAAACAGATACATATGAGTCTGACTATAATTTTGATTTAAAAAATGATACTTAAAAAGACAAAGCAATTTATTAGGATGAGAGTGTATAGAAAGTGCTTTAATTGCTAGATCATCCACAGTAAATTTATGTTCTTAAAACAAGGTGAAAACCTTCCTTGTCAGATCTATTATCACAATATGGGATATGTAATGACAAACAAAAAAGAAACTAAATAAAATTGGCTAAACTATGTAACCAAACACATTATGAAAAAAATAAAATTCAAATTTAACAGTTTAAAATTGTATTACATTTTATTATTTTAATTTTTTCTTCTTTACAATAATGAAAGCCAACTACTGAATCAGAGGAATGAATTAGTGTTCAAATGTTGACATAAAAACAAATTCAAATTTTCATAATATAATTTCACCTTAATTAGCAACCCTAAATCACTCTCATCCCTTCTAAATCTTCAAATGTCAACATAAATTCAAATTTCCATAGTGTGAGTTTGCCTTTTTAGCTACCTCGAGTCCCTCCCCAACTCCCAATAAAATCTTTTTATGCTATATTAATTATAATTTATAAACTTTCCTCTATTTAGAATATTCCCCTAATTCTCCTTCTGTTAATCCCTTATGTCCTCATTACCTTATATATATTTTTAGAATTATTTTAAATCTATTTTTTATTTTAAATTTATTCTTTCCTATTTCTAATGTCCCCAATTTGCCTTTATAGGGTTATTATTTTCTGACTTATTTAATAAACCTTCTCCCTGTCAAGATAGACAGTTACCACCTGCCCTGACCCCCGTCTGGTGTCTATCAGCTAACTTAAACAATGAAAAGTGTGAACATTAGGTTATCTTTGGCAAGTTAAATTTTAGGTTGACTCATTAGATTCTAATATCACCTCCTTACAGTCAACTCCTACTTCCTTCTACAGACATGAACTTCATTCCACATCAGGGTTGAAAAGAGATGACCACTTTCATTGTCTGCCAAAATAGTCTATTTCCCACACAAGGTAAAAAGATTTTTTTGATTATTCATTTATATTGCTCCATATAAATAAAATACATCAAGCTCTCTTTTGTGGATGTTTTAATATTTTTATATTACTAGGATCCACTCGGATTATATATCCCTGGATTTATTTTATCTTTACTAATATATAACATAATGTGCATGTGTGCTATTTATGCAGATCCACATTTCTCAACCAATTTTGTTGAAATTGTACACATGTTGCAAATTTACAAAAGTAGATCAAGACCAACTGTTCAGTCTCCAGGCCCCAAGAGTTTGGAAGAAATATTGATAAAACTGAAGGTGGGTACAACTTTTTGCAAAAGCCAAGGCAAAGTTACATGTGAACAAAAATTACAAAATTTTTACTGAGCACTTTAATGCAAAACATAGCTCACGTTACGAGGTTTATGTAAAGTGCTTGATAGTTTTCTTGCGACATTGGCTTCACACAAAAAATTCCAAAAAACAACAACAAAAAAAAAATTGGGTTTTTCATACTACTTAAAATTAAAACTTGAATAACTTCCTCATTTTTTATCCAATTTTCTTCAAATATGTCACAAAACATTTGTCATCATGCAAGAAATAAGATAGTGTGGTTTTAGTCCTGCTTCCTTTCCTGTATATAATGGAAAAAGCTACAAAAAACTTTAAACAAATGCCCATTTTTCAGCCATAACTCCCTGGTTTTTCATCCAATGCTTTCCAAATTTGACATGTAAATTACATATGACACACAAATTGTCCTGCATAAATGTTTGGTTTAGATTATTTCAGTTAAGTGGATGAAATCTGCAACAAACTAGGTCCAAAATCGGCTTTTATCATTTAGCCAATAGTTTCCTTATATGATTCCATCCTAAATTGGCATTCGAACAACCTTTGATGCAAAGATTATTTGAGAAGGATTATTGAAGCATTAAAAGGTAAAAAATTATCGAAGAACCTCTTATTAACCCCAGCGTTACAGTAAATGTACAAAGGGGTAGGATGTTCATGCACTTGCAGTTGTATCAAGCTCTGATGCTTCATCCCTGTTTTTGTTTCATTATTAGATTTTTGAACAATGCCATACTATTTGAAAGTTATTACAGGCATAGGAAATTTACTGAATATCTAAAACATTGAAACAATTTAACCCCAAGCAACGACCACACAAGAAGCTTTTATTGATGGAGTTCCTTTATTAAGAACAATCAAACATTTGCAAAGGACATACTGTAAAAAAGATGATTTGGGGAGTAGCTTAGTATACCAATGGATGATGCATGCAAGCAGAGATGCAAACAGACATTTCTAGACAGTGGGTTGTGGGCATACAGTGGGGTGCAATTATAATCCTGTAATATTGTTAATTTAGTTGGCAAAATTAGTGAAACAAGTAAAAATATAACTGACAAACTAAAAATCAGCAACAGAGTTAGCAAACTCTGTACTAAAGAATCCTATGTCACAATCAAGGACCATAAACCTGATTTTGAAGTTAATCTTTCCACCAAGATTATCAACCCTACCAAGCCAGAAATTGGTAAAATTAGCAAAGATCATCCTTGATAGAGTCAACCAGCTGATTAGAAAGCACCTTGAACCTGTACAATGGATTAATACCACAGACGTCATACTTTGGCTTTGGAATTTACCAACGAGGAGCTTAACATTATTATGAACTGTAGAAGGTCTGTTCTAATCCATAACAAAGAACAGTGGATTAAGAACAACTCTGTTGACCAATTCGATATTTCCATGAGATCGTTAGACTGAGTTTTCTGACCTTGTTGGTTTATTTATCTTACATAATATTAGTGTCCACCAAGATATAAACACTGATAATATAGGTTATATAGAGATGATGGCCTTATGGTGGTGAAAAATTTCACAAAAATTAAAGCTGACAAAATCAGGAAATTAATAAATAGAGAACTTAAACATGAAAGCTTTTGTGTAGTGATTTCAACATGTTTTTATTATAATCCTTTATAATAAAATATAAAATATTTTAGGCTTAAAAGTCAGGAAAAAAGTGTGTATTATACATAATTAAATTATCTGTCTACCAATGGACAAAAAAGCAAAATACACAGAAGAAAGAGAAAGGTAGACAACTTTGGAACTAGCAGAAAATTATGATCTTTCATTGATAACCTTTGAGTAACTGAAAAAAATTTGGACAAACATTTTACATGTATACAAACTAAAAGTATGAATATAGAAATTCACTCACACCATATGTTTATATACCTTCAGTTTGTATACAAAATTGATAGATTTGATTTGTTTTTTTTTTACAGCCCACCAAACCCTTGTGGGTCATTTAAAAATCAAAATATAGATCAGATTGTAGCTTACAGTACCCAGTGTCCCCAAACTCAGTGCTATGCTATGCTATCCATTAGGACACACAAAAATCCCAGATAGGTATTTGCCATTGTATAATAGGGCAAATTCACTGGATTGGTATTTATTAGTGCATTTGACAACTGTATGGTGATTTGAGATAGGATCTAGTTGAGAATAGAAGATGAGGGAGTGGCCTTTGATATACTGAGTACAAGAAAGAGGTAAAAATATGAACTTAAACCTATGAGATGAATGAAGGTCCTGAGAGGATTGAAATCTGGGAATTTAACTAAAAAGCAGTAAACAGGTTCCCAGGTTTATACATCTCCAAAGAGATGAATTGATAACAGGTTTGTGTGTTCTCAAAATTTACCCATCTGGGATTGTTTTGAAAATTTTATTTGGGTTAATCCCATTCTGCAAAAATTATGTTATTTCATAGCTAGAATAATGGCTGACATTTCAGTCTGGTCTGAGCTGAGTCATTAGATAGATGATGGTTTCCAACTAGGGATCAGTGATCCATGGATGATGGAAACATGTGAGTTCTTGATAAAAATAGACAGCCAAAATGCTTTGAAAAGTGAACCTCTTGTTGACTGCAGTCAATTCCACACCATTGCTACTAAGCTTCTGATGAACACACAAAGACCTTTTAGCAACAAGACCTACAGAAAAGAGAGAGAACTTCTTTCTATACCTAGAACTACTATTTGAAGTATAGTATCAAAGTAATATCACTGCCTCAGGTCACCCTTCAGTTGAGTAGAGAATAATACCCACAAGCTAATGTTACATACTCATCCATATACATATATCATTGTAATAACCTGTAGTTGAGTTTGACAATGGTGTTAGTGATTTCTTTGGAGTTTTCTCTAACATCTGTAATTTCCATCTGACCTCTGAATCCTGGAGAAAAGAGTTACCATGGACCTACAATGGAATTCAATTTTGCTACGAGATGCACAACTTTTTGAAAGAATGTCCTACCACTGGACAGTGCCATCAGGAACAATATCACACCATAGGAAACCTATGTAGGTATACAAGAATATGGTGGTGGTGTCCAACTCTTCATGACTGGATTCTGTGAATTGTTATAAGGTACATTGGGTTGCCACAGATCTACAGATGGATGAAGTGGTATAATTGTTACCAAGGTTCATGGACACAAAAAGTATAGCTATCAGTCAATTACAGAATACAGTGAACAACTGAGACCTCATTATGGAGTGGTAGAGAACTTACTCTCTGTACAACTATTCAAATGCAAAGGAGATAAGACATTAGCAGAGAAGCAAATGTAAGACTAAGACAATTTACTGGGACTGAATTTGGATCTTACAACACCAGAAGATTCACTTAAAAAACAAAAATTCTACAAAGTACTGTTACTGAACTTGATTTTATTTTCTTAAAAGTCTACTGGGAATATGTTATGGACCATTCTAAAATGAAGAGCTTTTCCCCCATACAAACATATTTTTCTATAAATGTATTCTTCTGGAATATGATAAATATAGAACTAGATAAAATTTATCAGTTTTCATAAGGAAAACCAACAACAGGTGTTTAATAAATTTATGTTGTTCACACTTATGAGCAATATTAAGTAGAGATAAAACATTACCCTTTTGATTTTGTGTATCATCTCAAAGTATTCAACAAATCTAGAAATTGGTTTATTTTAAAATGAAATAAAAATTCAGAAATATTTCATTCTCCAAGTTAAACTAAAAGATAAAACAACTTTCTTACCTTATAAGAATCCCAATCAATATCTACAAGTGAATATAACTCATTAGGTATATCCAAAGCAGCATCTATTGAAGGCTACAAGGATGATAAAGAAAAGAAAAAAAAGCAAGAAATAGAAATGCTGAAGAAATGGATCAAATAGTGCCAAAATGAAGATTCACAATGTAGGAATTGGTAATAATTGTCTAGTTTTGAGATGAGGCTTTAGCATGAATATCATCATTTTTACATATGTTGCTATTCAGACCAGCATGTTCATCTTGGTTGTTATGTTCACAATGTCTTGGCTGTGCCATTCAGCATTCTTCAATTGTTCATCATTATACTTAGTAACCTTCTTAGAATTTTGAATGAAACTCTCTATTCAAATATATAGACACCTAAGAAGAATTACAGAAGGTTCAATGGCCAAAACATTGTAAGTATAACAACTAAAATGAGTATGCTGGTTTGAATAGCAAACTATATAATGATAATTCCTTGTAAAAAAAAAATTTCATTATAAATTGTTTGAATTTTCATTACTTTCAAAACAACATCCTTAGTTGGTCAGCTCTCCAACCTTCATGAGGTGACTATTGCTGTAAACAAGAATTATTTAAAATGCAACCGAGATTGTACATTGCTCATACAATCTAGTTTTATAAGTATTTTAACTTCTTTGTTTTGTCTACTACTTGCTTGTATCAATGACAACCATATGTGCTTTAGGGTGTGCGTAATGGTTAGCAAACTAGTCTGCTTGACCATTACAGCCAAATAGTTCAATCCTCATTGAGTGTCTCATACATTTGGCCTAATACCAGACTAAGCTAAATAAACAACTAAGTTTGGTAGGTGATGAACAGCTAACAATTGTTTAAAAATCAAAGGTGAAACAACTTAATTTAATGTGAATTCTTATCTGAAGAATTAAAAAACAACAAAAAAACAGTCAAGTCTTCAAGCAATTCCTGAATATTTCATTATATCTACACAGAACAAAAATTAAAAGAAATTTGCAATTTACTTACAAGATTCCAGTCATACATAACTTCTTGCCCACAGTAGGCTCTGTCTTTCCATTCCCTGAAGAATTCACAGCCTGAAATCCAAAATATCAATGAGATACAAACACCATGTACTGCAGTTCTTCATTGCATATAACCAGTACCACTTATTTCTTTAGTATCTTTACTATATTCATAAACAATTAATTCCTATTTCATTTGCTCTTTAAGCAAGCAAAAATAAATAAAAAAAATAGAAATCTCAAAATTTAACAACTTCTACTAGATATTCACACTATAAACCTATTTGAAAAGGCTATAAAAATCTGTCAAAATTGACTTCGGTGGCGAATACAGAGCTGTAATTTGCTTATGACCTCAAACCACTTTTTAAAGTTAACACATGACTGTAGAAATAGATTTCAACAAAAGAGACCTGCTCAGCATTGTTCTAGTGATAAGACATCCAAAGGGACCAAGTACAAGATTTGGGCCTTTCTCAAAAAAATATGAGTAGAAAATTAACTAGCAGTATTTGCAACAAGAATTTGAAAAGTATTACAAGTATAACCCTTTCAATTTTTGCCCCTTTCACACTGCTTGTTGTATTAATATGCAAGAATTTCTCTGTGGGACAAATAGTAACAGGTATATGTTTATTGCATATAATTTCTTGTATGACATAGCGGTAGAAAAAAATCTTTGAGAACAATGCATGTCTGTCATTCCTTTCTTTCAACTATTGTGTTCTGTCCATTGTATTAAATTGTTAGTATATCATGGAGATACTAATGCCTATAATAGAGAAATGCAAACTGGAAATATTCTCTTTTTCCTGTTACACTTAAAGTAATAAAACACCTTTCAAGATGACATGTTCCATTTTTTTTTTTTTACTTTAGATGATCAAGATAAACAAAAGAAAGAGATGTTGTAGAAAGACCAGCCAGATGTCTTAGTTTATTTATTCAGGCCATAGTAATATCAAATGAAAATCTTGATAGAAACCAATGCATGAAAAAAAATGCTTACATAGTGATTCTTTTCATTCTTCAATTTGTTGAATAGTATTTTTGTTATTTTATTATTTAATACACAATGCCACACATTCCTATACTGAATTCTATTTTAGATATCAAACATTTATGTCATCTTAAATTTTTCAATTGTTCTTGTATATGGAATTAAATAGGCTCATATATATCAAGAAAGTGTTAATACATTAACATTTTTTTTACTCCAATTATTTTTTTAGTGGTAAACACAAATGCAACAAATGGACATACTTGATCAAACAAAAATGTAGCAATTATTCAGTTTATCAGGTCATTATTGCAAACTTTTATTGAATTCCAAAATGATCTCATCCCCAACACTGGTCAAAATAAAAATTATCTACATTCTGCACTTTGTTAAAATAAAATTTCTCTCTGATTGTCAAAGTAAATATAACAGGCTACTGAGATAATGATCAATAGCCTAGGAATGGTTAATATTTAAATAGTTGTGAAGTGATGTTATAATGTTTTTACTTACCTGGGTAAGGAAGGGACAAAAGACAGAAATCAGAATAACGATTTTCTTTGTCAACTTTTTCAGAAGAAGCCACTCTGGAAGAAAAAAAGTCAGAATGCCACTTCTAGGTAAAAATCAAATATATGAAATAGTTTCTATTTTTGATTCAAAGTTTTAAAGCTTTTTAATTTTCTTTTTCCTTGTAACAACTTTTTTTTTGTCTCCAAATATTTTAATTTCAGTATCACAAATTTTGGTTTGAACACAAGACAAGAATATAAAACTGAGCAGCTCTTCTGCTTTTGCTTGTCATTAAAATCTATTTACCTTCATAACAACAATGATGACAATCATACAGATCTCATCAATGCTTTTGTTAGAATTACCATTAAAAATTGCTATATAAGACTATACTTTGTTTTCATAACTTAAATTTATTAAACTATAAAGGCTGATGTTAATGGGTGTTCTCAACCAATGCTGGCTTCATTTGTTTTCTACAAAACAGAAAACAAAATACAACCATAGAAATAGAAGTATATAAATAAATATAACAGCAGTTTTTATTACTATTTTTTAAATCATTTCACCCCAAGTAAGGTGCTAATGCTACTAAGACAGAAAGGGTCAGATAGAGTGAAAGATGAGAAAACTTTAGTGTGCAGTAAGGACAATAAAGAAACAGGATTCAGGAAAACAGAAGTTGGCAATTAGCATTGCATTTAAATCTTTGAAGATTTTAGGTGACAGGAAAGCAAGAAACCAGAACAGAGTTCCACAGGTGAGAAAAGAAACTATTAGAATAGAACATAGTTGCATCTAGCTAGTTCAACAGTAAAGCAGTGAGACCTAGTTGCCAATCTAGTAGTACACTTAAATTCATACAGCTGAGGCACCAAAGTGGAAAGCTCATAAGAACAATTACTAGGAAAGCCACATCACCACAGTGGGAAAGTGACTGAAGTCAAGATGCCAAGTCAGGATCAATTATATTACAAGTCCTTCTTTGAATTTTCTCAAGAATCTAGAGATATATAGTAAAAGCACTATACCAGATATGGCAGCAATATTTAATGCACAAATGAATGGTAGATTTATAAATGTGCAAGATGGGTTCTGATGAGAAAAACTGTCTGGTAAACCAATTTTCCTAGCAGTAGACCCAGCAATTGATTCAATATAGTTACTCCACTTCATGCCAGTGGAAAATATAACTCCAAGAAGGCACAAGAAGTTGCTCTCCTGGAGTTTAGCATCAGCCATGCTGATAGAAAACAAAAGGTTCTCTATAGTGATTAAGTGAAAGCAGTTTTATTTTGGAGGCGTTCAAATTTACAAGCCATTCCTTGCCCCAATTAACCACTGATTGGAGAACAGCTGCCAGTTTTGCTTAGTAGCAAGTTCGGCAAAGACAGAAGTAAATAGTTATGTCATCAGCATAAATACATAGTTGGGAACAGATGACATCAAGAAGATCATAGATGAAGATAAGAAACAGCATAGGTCCAAGGCTAGGGAAGCCCCACATTAAGGTGAAATGATCTAGAAGTGTGTCCAGTCAACATGACCTTCATTACACAATTTGTTAAGAACAATTGGATTAAGCCAAATATTTGTCCAGAGACACCATATCCCTCGAGCTTGTGGAGAAGGTCAACATGCATTCAAAGTATCTAAAGCCACAGCTTGAGCCCTGACAATCTTATCTAAAGACTGATAGACAAGTTCAGCAATAACTGTTAACACATCAACAGCAGACATAGAAAAATGAAAGTCATATTGTTTATCCAAAAGAAATCCATGCGACATGAGATTCTTAACCAATCTGATTGGTTAGAGTCACTAGTACTTTGCTGAAAAGCAGTAAAAGACTAATAGGGCAATAATTCAAGGGGTTAGAAAGTTCAGATTTCTTAAAGACTGGAATTACAGCTGGAAAAGCAGAAAACGGCAAAAACTTTATGGAAAAATACATTCTTTTAATCACAAATAAGTAATACTGCAATGGTAAAAAGTTTGTTGAAATTTCACTCATTCAGATCAGAACCCATACAGTACAACAAAATAATCACATTGTTTACTCAGTGCCACATAACTGAAACTGAGTCTATTGAGTTATATTAAATAAAATGGTAGAATGGATAGATGTGCATCAGAGGCAACATGTTACAAGATGCAGATATGCATCATGTGACAGTAAAGGTGTTAAGTGTATATGTTAGAGCTCATGTCGATTGGCTGTCCATCAACCAATCAATATTTGCCATACCCATTACTTCAGACCAATCATTTTATTTTAATCAAGCAAAGTCTGCTGGCTTGACAACTAGCAGAGTTCTCCAAGGAGATGCAAATTTGAGCTCTATTGAATCTTTGGCTCTTTTCTGTGTGAAATAAAACAGTATTATGTTTTTGGATATTCGTTTTGCATACATTTTTAATTAAAAAATGTCAAGTTATAATGGTATATCATAGTATCACATTTATTTTGTATTCTGCTTCATTCTATATCTTCCTTTAGTGATGTTTTAGCCATGAATATAATTGCATAGCACATCAGTTGCAAAATAATGGTCATTTTCTTCCACTATGCTGAACCGTGAGAATGATAAATTTCCATAACATACTGAAGTTAAATATATTTTTTTTCAGATTTCAGTACCTCATTTAAAGCCCAGCATAACTAATTGAAGTCATTTTTAAATAGATTTTTAATTTGATATTATTTCTTACTATTTTTAGTGGGTATACATGTTTGAGTAAGGCAGCTCAATTTTGGAACCATGGCATTGCACTTAATTTGAAAGTTGGGGTTCACATGATAAATAATGACACAAAATATTTTTTCCACATCATTACCATTTTTTGAGGAAATGAATTTAAAGATTACATTTTAGTTCATAATTGTAGTGTTGGAACACTTATAGCACAGCCTTACAAAATTTATAATTTACTTAAGCTTTAGAAATTTTACATGGACAAAATGCATGGCACAAGCACATTATTACTAATTCATTGTGCCATCAAATAAGACCTTCATTTACTTCAAAGGGAAATTATACTGAACAATTTATCTATATTATGATGTAATATGCCATACAGTGGTGTATTTTTAGTGTAATTTTCAATAAACAATGCACATTTAAAACATTTTCTCTAATAATTTATACCCAGCAGTACTATGGTGTGATATATACTTTATCTACTTTTTGTTTTTATTAATTATGATTCAACAAATGATCTAACAAATCTTATTCATTGAGAAGCTGTTCTTGTAATCTTACTATTTATTTTTTTTTTTTTTTTTTTTTTTTTTTTACACAGGTTTTCTTATCAAATACAGTAAAATAATTGCATATTTTGCTTGTGATGATTCATAATTAGAATTCTTGGTTGAATATATTTTCTATTCAATTTATCGAATACAAAAGATATCAATTTTATTTGGATTTATTCTTAAAATAGTAAAATTTCAAAGTCAGTTTATAAGAAAAAAAACCTGCAGAAATTAGGTATTTCTGTACATTTTTTTCAGATAATCTTTAAAACTAGATGTTCAAAAATTGGTAAAAGCTATGAATCTAATTTTTGGTGTCAGTACTTATCAAATTAAAATTCAGCTTTCACACTGAGTGCAATGTTGATTTTCTAAAAAAAGTGAAAAATCAACCTGCCTTGATATTTAAGTTGACATCCCTGTTATTTTAAACAGCAAAATTAATGTTAACCAGTCTAGAAATCATTAGTAAGTACTTTTCGATTTCTAGGCTAGTTGACATTAATTTTATTGTTTAAAATAACAGGGATGTCAATTCAAACATGTTTACCTACTAAAAATAACATTTATAGTAATAAGAAATAACTAATTGACTTGCTTACTTTCTCTTTTCATTTTAGCTCAACACTCAATCCCAATCATTAATGTCTCTCAACTACTTTTTATCGTAAACCTGTTGTGTCAGGTCACATGATATCTGATTTCATGTCTGATCAGTGAGTCAAAGTGAATGCATTGAGTGACCAGAAAGAGAAAAAAAACAGCATAAATTGTGAAGATGCATTCTAATTGACCTCTGCAGATGAAACAAAGATAAGGAGAGAAAAAAAAAAGAGGAAGAGAAAAAAAGGTAGGTACTAACCTCATATAATACTTTACTTTCTTCTTTTCTACCATGAGATCACAGATATAATCAATGTTTAGATACTTGAGCAGTTTGATATCATGTCCTCGAATTTTGTCATGACTAGGCCATTCACTATAAATAGAAACAAACCTATTAATTAAAATCATGCCAGAGTGTCTCAGCTCAGTCAGAAGAGATATATACACACACAAAGGTAGATCAATAAGCCTTTTGCCTAATACATAATTATTAGCTGAACTTTGATTTGAAATTTTAACTTTATGTGATTAATATTCACCATTGAGTTAAGTGCATTGACAAAAAGAAATAGGCAGATTATGTTGAAAAATAAACATTTTCTTTTTAAAATAAATGGTTTTTCATCATTAGGCTATGGATTTATTGATGTACTTATGTATATACGTGTTGATAATTGTAACAAAGGAAAAAAAATGATTTACCACAACACAGAGCTAAATCACAAACAAATATTTAATTTACTAAAACAGAACATAAAATATATACAGGATAAACAATTGTGGCCTACAAAACAGAAAACACAGAGTTACTGGCGAAGTGTCATGAGGGAGAAGAAAAGGAAGTCAAATATCTTTATCACTTTAGGGCTAGTGAAGTAATCTAAGTGCTATATTTGGAAATCCACAAAGGTGTGTAAATAAATATTAATTTTTAGTTTGGTCAATGAAAATTAGTCAAAATTCTATTTACCAAATTTGTTCCATGAAATTCTCTTTTTGGGTTTTTGTTGGTGACAAACTTTTTATAGAGATTCTTTCAGCTGGATATAATAGTCCTTGAATCAAAAGCCGGAGTTGATAACAGCAGAAATTCTTTTCACCAACTGACAACCCTTTTCCAAAATCCCATTTTTATAGGGGCTAACACCTAATTTGCATATTTCTAGATGTTTCTTGAATCATCTAGATTTTTCTCGAATATACTAGAATGATCTAGAATCTTCCAAACATTCTATTTCTAATTTCTCTATTTTACAACTACTTCATGAATGAAAACTTTTTTGTAATAACAAGTAGAACTCAGTGGAATCCCTTATTATAGAAATGCATCCTCGTAACAATACAAGGTTCTCTCTCACACACACAAGGAATATTAATGTTATCAGTTACAATTAGTTTTTATTAGCTTCATCCAACAGTAATGTTTCTGAAAATGTCTAAAGATGACTAAAAGAATGAATAAAAATATGCACTTTAGACAATTTCTTCATAAATTTGATTCAGATATGCATCAGCTAAGATGCAACCTGGAAAAAAAACATGTAATAAACAAAATAAATAAAATTGTCATTTAATTTCAACAAAACTTTGAAATTGTGGAATGCTGAGGGGCTATAGATTTGGACTTGTCAAAATATTCAACTCATTCACAAAGAAAAAAGAAAAATAGATAAATTCCAAATACAAAAGTTTATATCCCAGAAATTTTTACATGTTTTACAAATAACATTTTGAGTCAAGTTTCTTCTTTTGAAGACAAATTTTTTATATGACCAGAAACAGACTAGAGAATAAAAAAATTTTCCATGACTAGAGTCCTAACTCAGACTAACTACTTGATATGTTATACTAAAAGTATGGACTGAGTAGTAGACACATAGCTTAGTGAAAATATTTAATGGAAATATAAACTATTTGAAAGAATATAAAATTTCTAATAACTAGAAGTGCATAAAGCTGACACTTTGCAGATTAATAATTTGGTATGCTTTCTTCATAAATTATAGATTAATTAAATTTTATTTTAAGTTGATATCCATTCAGTAGGGATATCATATTTTATTAATAAATCTTCTGTAAAAAAACCAAAAACAAAAAAAAAAAAAAAAAAAACTTATTGTGTATGAAATTGATTAATTAATAGAATATGTTCTAATGTGTCTGCAATAATTTGAATCTGTATAATTTATTGTTTGTTTTACCAAAAATTAATTTATGTAGATTTTTCATCACAAATACTACAAATTAATTCTTGCTGCATATATATATATATATATATATATATATATATATATAAAATTGAATTGAATTAAAGTACCAAGCTCTGTTCCATCTTCAAGCAAAATTATTTTGGAAAATTTTTTTCAATTTAATTCAAATAATTATATTGAAGTTTTCGGCTCTTGTTTTGAAACATGAGAAGTCTTATGTAGCGATGGAATCATATTTTTAAATAAATAATTATATATATATAGATAGATAGTAATCCATTGGTATAATCCAGGCAAGTCCTATTAACACAACATAGAATTTGAAATATGTTAAAACTGACTCACAAAAGAGTGCTCAATTCTTATTTTCATTAAACAGAGCAAATTTTTGTTCCAATTGGAATTAAAATATCTTTAGTTAATGACTATTTTCCCCCTAAGAGTTTTATTTTTAAAATTCACAGGATTTTTCAAACTGTTTATGGTATCAGTTTGTAGTGGGATACTATTTAGTTGGAGAAAAAAAAGGGAGAGAGGATGTTATAATGGACTTATTAGGAGGTATGGAGAGAAGGCGGAACTGTTACTGGAATTGTATTATGGAGGTAGGAGAGCCTGGATAGGGGGAAGGAAGGAGGAGACTGATGAGCTGACCTACATCCTAATGGTCCCACAGCCAAAGTTTAATTTAACGGGAATTCATGGAAATTAACAAAAACATGAAAAAACAATCAAGAGTTAACTTTAGTAAAATGAAAGAGAGATAATTTGGAATTATTGGTATTAAACCCATGCATATATCAGAGCTCAAAGTTTGGAGGAACGTTTTCAAAGATTTGGATATATATATATATATATATATATATATATATATATATACATAACCATGCATTTACACACGTTAAGAATATTTACTCACATAGCTGACTATATTAACATACACTTAGATATCTACATTCAAGCACATACATACACATACTAGCTATATACACACACACACCTTAAGTGAATGTTAACCAGTGGAGTATAGATCACAATCTCCCTTTGCTAGATGTTGCTTCTGCACTTTCTGTAGCAAAGTTTTCACAGGATGGACCCATGCCCGTCCCCACCACAAAGATGAATAAATAAGTTTGCATATATTTTCATCTGAAATTTTCACTGTATAATGTTTGATCTATGTGATTAATATTCAGCAATAGATTAAGTGTATTGAGAAAGGAGGGAAATTATGTTCATAAGTAAATATTTATTATATAAAATAAATTTCATTATTCAGCAGCAGACATTGATGTAGCCACAAACATATACACATGCTAGAATAAGTAATCTTCTTCTACATGTCATGCTCCTTCAGGATGTTGACGATCATGGCTCTCCACAATTTCCTGTCCTTTGTAGCTCTCACTAAATTTTGTCTTTTTGCTATATCTCCTAAACCATGTTCTGCCATCCATTTACGCAAACTTGTTAGGCAGGTTATGAGCTGTTTTTCCCTGTCCCTCTAGCCTTCACTATGTCCTGTGAATGTCAAATTATTTTCCATGCCCTCTTTCCTCACTATGTGACCCAAAAATCTTAACTGTCTTTCTGATGTTAAGTATGTGTGCTTTTTGTTTCAATTTTCTCTAAAACTTTATTGCTCACATATTTCTGTTCATCATATTCTTAGCATGTATATAAAATAAAACAAGATAGTTCTTTTGGGGTGGAGGTTCATGATAATGTTGATAAGACAAAAGAGTGGATTGATTTTTATGTTCTTTGCCTAAAAGTAAGATTATGTTATTAAAAAAAAAAAAAAAAATAGAAGCTTACCTTGGATTGTCTTTACCAGGTTCCAAACAGGAATTGGAAGCTGTGGAACCAGAATCTGGACCTAAAAAAAAAAACAAAAAAAAACATTTATATTCTAATATGCATACTTATTTAAATACAATGTGCACAGCTCTTTAGACATCCATTATACGCTGATTCTACAGGAATAGGAAAAGCCAAATCTTTAATAAGGTTAAAATATATTTGCTATAATGTGTATTTCAGTATTCAGGCCATTATGTAGCTTTCTTACAGGAAGAAATTGTCAAAATGTAAGCAAATCAAACGAGGACAAGTCAAACAAGAACAATTGACGAGTTAATGTTTGATTGTCAGGACAATTTGTCCTGATAGAAGAGAAAGATTTTTTTACAGCAAATATTGGGCTTGGTGAAATGATTGAAAATGAATAAATGATTTTTTTTTCAGTAAGCAAATAGAAACTTCAGAAACAGAAAATAGTTTAAAAAATTATTATTCACCATTTTTTTTTTAATTTCATATTCCTGCCTTAAACAAGCACCATAGATTTACACAAAATCAGTTCCATTTTAGATGGAGTCACGGGTGGTAGCCTTAGATGCAAAATTCATAGGGACAGAATTTTTTTTTTTTAAAAGAAGGATTAATGGTGATATTAACTATTTCCTTATGAGTAAACATCCAGCATTACTTAATCAAGCATCCAGTAATAATAAATAAAAAATAGTCTGCCCTTTTCCTCACACAGTACTCCAGTAAATGCAAATAGTTATCTGATTAACCCACTTTCAGGGGTTTAAGTATAAAAGTTACATGTGGAAAATGCAAAGTAGAGGACAGGATCAAAGAGTCCAGTCCAGCCAGGAGATGCTGTCAATATGTAAGTGAAATTTGAAGTTTGTGAGGTTTTGAAAACAAGCTGGCAGTTGGTGAAAAAATAATCAAAGATTCTGCTGGTCCTTAATGAAACCACCTACACTTTAATTCTGACATACGTTAACTTTGAAATTACCAGAAATAAGAGGTTTTACATTTATGAAACATTTATATATGAAGTCACAAAGACTATAAATAGTTACAGCTATTATCCATGAGGTAGTTGAGTGCATACTACTTCCTGTGAGTCAGTAACACTACACTATAATATCATTGCCAATATTTATCAAATTGAATGAACACTAGATAATTATGAGTATGCACAAGTTTGGCTTAGGATACTAGAAGCTAAAGTTAGAACAAAAAAGCTGAAGGATTTGAAATCAGTTGGAAGAGAAAACCAAGTAACTGATCTCCCTCTTGGCAACTGCTGGTTGTGAGGCCATTATAAAATCATCAGCAATTGCACACCCAAGACAGTTGGGGGATATGATGTTTGACGATATAAGTCAACTAATCGTGAAAACCACAACATCCAAGAAAAAACTAGTAAATGCAGAGAGTGTTAAGTTTATGAATATTTATCAAAAAGTGAATGAAACAAGCCACTAAATATTGTGAATTTGAAAAACTAGGATCGGAAAAGCAGTCAGTTGAAGAGGATCTGATCCAAATGAAATTGGTAAACAGCCTTCAAAATGAGGAGTATCAGCAAATGATTAATGCATTTACAATTGGGAAAGTTGTCACTAGAACAGTGTGTTGAATTTGTTCAGCAACAAGAATTGGAAAATTCAGTAGAACAAAAGTTACGGATCTGGTAAGAGGAAATGGGCACATACACAATAAAGAAAAAGATAGAATAAGGTGTACTTTTTGTGGATATTAACATCAAAGAGAAAATCAAAAATGTCCAGCATATAAAAAAATGTGAAATGTGTTTCAAAATGAATCATTTTAAATAGATGTGTAAATCCAAAAAGAAAAAAATGTAGAGACAGTCCAACAAAATGAAGAGGAAATAAGTATGGACATCTTTTCATTAAAAATTCAAATCAAAGATTTTTTATTGGACATGCAACTAGATACAGGAAGTGACATGACATTGATATCCAGAAATTTCTGGAAGGAATTAGGAAAACCAAGATTAAAGAAAAGCTTTATCCAATTAAATCAGTTTGATGGATCCGTGATAAAAACATTAGGCTATTTTGAAGCCTACATGGAACTGGCAGGAGATATCAAATGTAAATACAGAATGATAAAGCTATTTTTAGAATTTTAATGAAACTCAATATGAAACTGAATTTAAGCACTTTCTTTTTTTTCTGAGAATTGACAACAAAAATATTTGTTGTAGCATACCTACGGACAATAATGGATATGTCCCTATTCACATAAATACAGTAGTAAATACTGTATGTTGGTTGGCAGTTGGAGATTCATTGTGGAATTCACTTGAATCACTTCTAGCAGTTGACTTCTTCTACGCATGTTGTTCTTGTCCAAAGTATTACCGTTCATTACCAACCTTCGTTTCATTATTCTATTCAGTAACCTTCCCTAAGTTACAACAATATTAAACAGTATTTATTATATTCTTTATTTACAAGGTTTTATTTATTTTTATATTTACTAGATTGTAAAAATATGTGAACCAATTGCAATGCATTAATTATTACTTGCCATATAATAAAGAAATAAATTCAGTGCTATATAAGGAGATAAGCTTTTGGTTAATTTTAACAAATCATTTCTTATTTTTGTTTCTTTATAATAAATGTTTACTTTCTGTCATGTTGTTATTAATTGCTTTATTACTTTTGCCCCAATGCTTGTGTGGGTGTATGCATGCATATGGATATACACATACTTCCACATATACACTACAGTTCAAAAGAATGAGGTCACTCCTGGTAATTTTTTAAATTGACCCAAAAACTAGTTGTTTTGTACTTTAAATAAGAGAAAATTATTATACATAGTTAAAAAAAAAAGAAAAAAAAGTGAGACATGATTTTTTATTAAAAATTTTATCATGACAAAAAAATAAAGAAGCATTTTATGATTAAATTTTGCTCTTGTCAAAATATCCTCCTTCAGCCTTGATTACTGCAGCACATTTTTTTTTTATTTCTATAGTCAAGATTCATAATAGACTGTGTGATAGGCTTTTGTAAGTTAATGATGGGTGGTAACTTTCAAAGTATATAGGAAAAATATGTGTAAATATGTAAAGCAAATTAATGTTTACAGTTTTCTTCTGAAAAATGTTATGTCGAATATCTAAGAAACAAGATATTTATTGTTGTCTAACCACACTTGAAAGATTTGACTGAAGGCATTCTTTGATGTCACTAAGTGTCAAAAACATGTTTATCTTTCCCTTTATCTAACTACCACTTAGCACAATGGGAAGGTGCTGTCTGGATGGAGGGAAACCCAGTCTCTAGGCAAGCAAACTGTCTCATCAAATACTGATGGTTTATAAATAACACAAAAATCTTACTGAGGAAGAAGTCGATACCAATGCGTCCAAACATTTCCACTCCTGTGGCCAGAGTGCCGGAACGACAAATTTGCTGAGAAAGAAACAGAGAAAAAAATTTAAAAAATAAACTATATATATAAATAAAGTTCTGAAAAAAAAAATACATGCATGCATATATACACAGACACACATACACAGTGTTGGTGCAAGAGTCTCAGTCTCATGCCCCCACCACAATCTATGATATCCCCACCCACTCTACTACATATCAATTTTCATAAGGTAGTATTCAAATAAGATAAACATTTTATTGTAACCTAATTATGTATGATAATAGATCTTATGAACAATTCAATTAGAAAAATTGAAAATAAATACAATGTATCTAAATACAAATTAGACACATGTCATAATAAATCATTCCATCTTAAATAAATCATTCCATCTTAAATAAATCAACAATATTTTGCAGCAATTTTTAACACATTCAACATTATGGATACAAAATAGTGAATATTATATAGTGTTTTTTTTCAAGACTTAACATGAATAAAACAAATTCATGAATTTGGCCGAGAAAAAATAGAAAAATAAAAAAAGAACATAGAATTATGTGGAAATCCACAAAAAACTTTTCATCCTTTGATAGTCAATTGTGTTTAGTTTGATTTGTAACATAAATGTAGATAGAAAAGAAGCAAATGTTAAGATAACAAGGGCCACAAAGCACTGCCCAGGAACTCCAATCAGGCTCCTCCTGTGGGGGTGGGAGGAAGTAGTATACACTGGCCATATATATATATATATATATATATATATATATATATATATATATATATATATATATACACTTAGATTATATTAAAAAATATGGAAATATGGATCAATATTGTTTAATGATAATGAATTTCTTTCTTTGTTTAATGATAATGTTATCAAACTTATCAGATGTTATATATATTAAGGCGAACAAATTTTACATAAAATAAATACACACAACACTTGTCTATATTATTTAATGAAACGTCATGTATAAAATGAAAATATGCTGCCTAAATACACACAATATATATATATATATATATATGGAAAAGTATAACTGGCCAAGAGGATATTACTGTTATTTTTAAAATGATCCGCAATGGAAGACCCATAAGTATTTTCCAGAAAATTTTTGTTTACAAGATGCTGCAGCTTGGAAGATGCATCCACAACTACATTTGAAATAATATGGTGGGGGGTAGAACATCTTTACACATAGATGGAAGAAAAAAAAACAACACGGTCATTCTCAACTACAAAACATTTCCTACCATGCATCACTTTACACATACTTTGATTTTGGCCTAAGCCATCTCGTATTGTTTCAAAATTAATCTCTTATCTGATTTTGTTTGTATGGCAATGACATACTAGTCAACAAAACAGAAAACACTTATGGTTCCACCATCTTTTGGCTCAACTCCGGGGCCAGGTTTATAGTCTTGGAAATTTGCTTGTAACAGCTTGTTTGGTGCTTTCTTTAGGTCAAAGCACCCTTTCTGCGCTTCTAGCAAGTCCATTCATTCATGAGGTTACAGAAAAGGCTGAATTAACATTTCTAGATAGATAACTAACATTATAATGTAATGACTCAACATTTTACAAATTTTCCAGCTTACAAGATCCAATCCAACTATCAGTCAAGCCAATTTAGGTGACTGTCCAATTGCTTTAATCACTTATCTGATTTTGTTTGTAGCCTGGACATTTAGCCTTCCACCACTTTTGGCTCACATTTATATCTTGGAAGATGCACATGTATTTTTCAGGGTATTTTTAATGTAAAAAAAGTGCATCTTGTAAACCAATTAGAAAAACATGGTGGACATTGCTATTTAATCTATTTTTCAGGGTATTTTTATAGGACTACCAGATTTATTGTTGGATAAGCATCTTCAGTTGAATTTTATTTTACTTTTTTGTTTTTCACATATCCACCACTTTAGTTTTTACACTTCCTTGAGTTTTTGTTCCATTTATTAGGTGTGAAATTGCCGTGATAAAAAAATATAAATGAAAATAAAAATGAGGATCTAAGTCCCAAAAAATCATTGTATAATAACACCACGGCTGCTACCACCTTGGCTTCCCTCATGGCTGAGATAGTTGCATATTTATTACTAGTTACAATAGCATTCAAACCCAAAGTCATAATTTTGAATTCTTATTTTCAATGTAGTTAGGAAGGTCATTGAGAAATTGATGCAACAATCTTCTGAACTTCATTTCCTACATTTGACTTTGTGTCATACTATGCTAAATTTTATAAACATTAATATCTTGTGTCAAAGAAATTCAAAGAGAGTTTTGTTAACAAAACCAAAAAATTCCTTTGTGAACTAACATACAATTTTTTTTATTTTATGTACTTAACATGTCAACCTCCAAAGAAGAGGGGTTAGAAAAGCAGAATGAAAATTCTAAGGAACAATAGAATCATTAATCACAGTGCTGTGGTTAGTGAGCTAGTCTTGCAAACTCTTGCTATGGAGTTCATTCTTTATATAAATAATGGTAGAGTTTAGTAAATAATAAAGCAAGTGTATAAAAGCCTTTGTATATTGATCAATTGTGAAAAAACATTGTGGTAATGAGGCTAGTAATGTTTGATATACCTATTTCAAATTAAAACCTATTTCAAATTAAAGTCAAGAGAGCTTCTTTTGTTGAGGAATGCTGTCCAAGAGCAATAAGCTAAGGTTAATAATGAAAATTTATTTTAAAATGTAAAATAATAAATAATTTTTTTCATGTATATGGAATATTGTAATAGGATAAAGAACAAAAAGGAAACATTTCTAAATCTAACATGTTTCTCTTTTAATAAAGCTTCATCATCAGAGAATGAGATACAGAAAAATTTTTATTATTTTTATTTTTTTTGTGCTATTTGATTTTTATTGGTTAAGCAGACTTCATGAGCATCTGAATATAAAACTTACGTGTGTAAGTGTATCATAATTCTAATTTGTCTATGTGGGATTTGGTTGATAATGTATATATGTACGTGTCTAGTAGGCATTATTTATGTTTGGAGGTTATCTGCATGTTGATTTTGGGACATTTTTACGTCAACACCAGTTGTGATAGTTAAGTATACATTAGAATCTTTAAGAATGGATTTAATAAAGTTTGGTGATTTAATATAGTGTTTTTGATGCCTGTTTATTGTTGGTAAATTTTTTATCAGGACTCCCTCAAAGTATATTCGGCATAAAGAATTATGTTCTTTTTGATTAGAGTGCCATTTTCAAAATCAAAGTTATGGTCAGTCTTGTTCCTGTCTTGGGCCAATACCATTTGGATTTATTTATAAATAAAAATGTATGCTACACTTTGTTTGCATAATAAAACCAGACATTTCTAAAACAAATTAGCATCAATATTCATTTTTATTAGGGCAGCTATATTGGTTGGTTAATAACTTTATTATAAAAACATTGACTTGCATAATCTGATATAATGCATATATATATATATATATATATATATATATATATATATATATATATATATATATATATATGTGTGTGTGTGTGTGTGTGTGTGTGTGTAGATACACACTATTCTATTCAGTTGTATTACTATATGAAGAATAAAAAAAAATTAAAAAAATGGCATCTGCATCAATATTTGATAAATTATTGATCTTCTAAATATTTGGATATCATATCTTTATAAAAATAATTATTATATGTTCAGGTAATATTTAAGCACTTAAAAAGATTTTTTAATCTCATTATTTCTTACTACCATAAACATTATATTTCATGTGGTTTGGTTTATTTTACAGCATATCAACCTCTATGGGTTATTTAATGCAAACAAGATTTTTATTGCTGGTAATATTTTTTTAAAAATGTATTGCTGCTAATATTTATTTTATTTTATTTTTTTTTTTTTTTTTTAAATGTATTGCTGGTAATCATTTTTTTCTTCAAAAATTCATTGCCAGTAATAACCTTTTACAAAAATGTATTGCTAGTATTAAAACCAATTTTAACACTTTCATAGCGTTTTGACCCCAGTTTGGGGGTCAACTATTTGCCCATAGCTGGGACCCTAACATGTGGACCTGGGAACACCAGCAATTAAGAGATGGTGCCATGCTCCTGAAAACCTGATCAGAAGCCTTGCTGTTGGATGTAGTTTATCATCTTACCCAGGACACAGATGTAGTTTATCGTCTTACCCAAGATGTATATTTCATGGGTGCACATGTTTGAGTAGACATACCTATTTTTTTTTTTTTTAAAAGTGAAATTAATGTTTACTAGCAAAGACATTAAATGCCTTATTAAAGAAAATTTGCATCTCAATAAGAAAGAACATATATTCTTAATCTGAGGAAACCATGGGACGATTTCTAGGATAGTAGACATTAATTCCATTGTTTAAAAAACTTGGATGTCTACTTGAACATGTGTATCCTGAATATAACATTTATGGCAATATGAACCATGCAGGTAAGCAAATAAACATTTTCGTATCAATTTTTTTTTTTTTTTATACATACCTCATGACTGCTAATAAGTGATTTGAAATTTGTGATATCTCCCAAACTGAAGGAAACAAGGCCATTTGATTTGATAAAAAGCCAAATTCTGAATATCTTTCAGTGGAAAAGGGAAAAATTCTTTTGACAAAACTTACTTTCCCCTCAAACAAAATTACTGGCACAACAAAACGTCCACGACATCTTGCCGAACGAGTAGCCCAAAAAAACTGTTTCAGTTTCTCTATATCCAACAAACTCTCATATCTGGAAAAAGAAAAACAATCAGGATTTTCAAAATTTGTATTTTGACCAATAACTAAAAAGTATCAAAATTCTAAACCTATTATATTTTCTAAAAAATGCTCCAATAATTTCAGTTGCTTTAAAAAAAAAAATAAATAAATAAAAAATTATATATGATCATTGAATTAATGAAACAGATATATATTTATTTGGTGATTCCTAGGCTAATTTCAGTCACATTGTATATCATTTATTTATTGTCTAATTTTCTTCAGGAGTTTGAGGTTACTAATAATTTAAGAAATACCAATAAATTAAAAGTTTTAGGAAAAAAAAATTTAAAAAAATAAAAGAGATAAAATGAAAAATCAGATACATTGTGGAAATTTTCTCAGGCTATCAGGATAGCAATAAATTTTATTTTTTAATCTTTTGACTTGTAATATCAGTTATCTATTGTCTGAAATACTGACCACATTTCCACTTAAAAGGTTGATGATGACTTTACAAGTTCAATTTAAAATCAAACCATACCATATAAGAATTGCTTACCTATCTCCATTTTGAACTTCTAAAGGATCGTTTTTTGTTTCACTCTTCTCATACTCTAACACAAAGACTTTATATGGGTAATGGCAGCACAGCTCACCATTCAGATTTGGGATCACCTAAAAAAGAAATAAAAACCTTCATAAAATTCAGTGATTAGTAAATACCAAGAAAGTCAGTTCTATTTTAACTGTGATTTCATCAAATAAAAAGCTAATAAATAAATGATTTAAATTAAAATATACAATCTCATTCAGTGGTTCTTTTATCATATCAGTTGTCAAAGGCAATAACTTATAACAAACATTTGGGTTCCTCCCAAAAAAAATATGACAAAAAGTACCTTGAATTTAGATCTAGAACATAACATTATATTATATTTTTGCCTCCATTTTCTGATATCTTAGGCCATTTTACATCCCCTATAACTTTCAGGACATAAATCAGTGTTATAACTCATTCCAAGTGGTTATATTATATCTTGCTTAGGCTACTCGCCTTAATGTCTGTTAGAAATTCTCCTGACTCCAAGGACAATATTTATTTTTGTAATAATACAAAAAATGTGGCACAAGGCCAAAGTGAGGATGGGGAAGGCTTGTCATCATCTATCTTATCTTAAACTTAGCTAGACACAATCACTGACCCAAACAAACTATACAATGCTCCTTTCACCAAAATAGAACTTTTGTTTCATTCAGTTGTTGTAAATCAGTTCCAGTAAGGGAACAAGAATGAGTGACTGCCTCAAGTAGTTTGTAAGAAAGACCATCTAATCCTGAAGTTTTGTCCTGGCCAACCAGTTTCAGCACTTCCCAGATCTCAGACTATGATGGGACCTTCACAACCAGCTGCTTCAGCTGCCTTAAGGTGAGGAAAGCCAGCCAAATTGGTATTGAACTGAGCAGGTGAACAGATCCTGAAAGTAACCATGAAAAGCCTTGCATATGCCTGTATTTGTAGTTACAGTTCACTTATCTGGCAATGTGATGCACATGATATGCCTATTGAATGCATTTCTAACTTTGTCTGCATGCAGTTTAGCAGCTATATTTGTTGCCTCTGGAGATATTTTTTTAACCTAGCCTTAACTACAAGAGCTTGATCCTTCTTCATAAGCAAAGAGGCCAGCTTTGTCCTAGCTAAGGATACTTCCTCACTATCACAGGATTTAATCTCCCAATCAACTTTCACTTCACATGACATTTGTGCTGCCAATCTAGCTAGATTGAATGGGTGACTATAATCAGCAGCAGACAACTCAACTTTGGACTTTAATATATATATTTAATATATATAAACACTGGCATCAACCCCTTTTTTCACTTGAAATTTCACTTTGGCTTTGGAACACTAACCCAACTCATCCAACAGAACATCCAGAAAACATTTTTCAATTCTTCCTTTAAATTTTCACTGTTTTTTTTTAAACTGATTGCTTGTCCACTTACATTTTTGCAATAAATATTTAAACTATATCCTACAGCTCAAATAAGTCCATCCAGTCAGTACCAAATAAGTTTGTAGTATTTTTTATCACATAAGCCTTAGCTTTTACATACTTGTGATGGAATGAGATGTTTCACCAATAAAAAATAATTTCTCACCTGACATGCCACATGTGATTTTTTTAAATTCTTTTTAATATAGGTTTTCTGTTTGCTTTTCATGTGGCTTTGTTGATTATTGTGATATCACTACCAGTGTTTAATTGCATTTTTACATCCACATTATAAATTTTCATTAATTTCTCATCATCACTGTTTTTTCTGTGCACTAAAGCAAAAAAAAAGAAAAGTACATTTTTTTTCTACTCGTATGAGTTTCGATTCCTTGTCACTATTGTTATAACTCACTTCTAGCAGTTATAATATTATATTTTGCTTAGGCTACTTGCCGTGACATCTGTTAAAAATTCTCCTGACTGATTCCAATGGACTATCCAGACTCATTTATTCTTTATTTAAGGTATCTTGCTTAGTTAATTGTGTCACTGGGGGTGTGTTATTTACTCTATAACAATTAATCTGTCACAAGATTTCAGCAGGGTTCACCTAATTAAGATCAAAATCACTATGCTAGTGGACTGGCCTGTGAAAGGAGCTGGTTAAACCTTATACTACAAAAGGTACCAACTTTTCAAAAGACACTGATCGCTGAATGAAATAAACAATGTTAGAAATGTGAAAGGACCTAAAGAACCACTCTTCATCTGTTGCAATAACTTTATCAGTCCTGGTTTGGAAACTGTGTCTCATGGTACAAAACAGACCAATATCCTGATTTTCAACATTTACAAATCTGATTTGTTTCAATTTCAGCACCCACCATAATTTCATTCATTTTTTTCTCTAGTAGATTTTTTTTTTTTTTACTTTGTATGATTTCATGGTCTGTAATTATAGTAAACTTTTGTTACCCACAATTGAAAACCATTATGTAACTATTCTGTCCAGCATATTTCATGATCAAATAATAAGTCACCTACTAAAAATATAAGTATTAATTAAAAAGTGCAGTAACATGACTTGTCTACATTCTTAACAACTTTCTTGGTTAAAGATAAGTAACCACAAATTATATGGAAATTAAAATTCTAACTTTAAAAATTATCAGGATGATATGGTAGTGCTATAACAAGCCATTCACACACAAACTCTTGATAATTATATATCAGAATGAAAGCTATGATCTCATAATATTCATGCATGTCAGGATCAGAGGTATATAGGCAGATAAGCTGACTTTGAGTACCCCCTCTTGATGTTGAATGCCACAGTTATGAGCAAGAAAAGTTACTTTGATGAAGACTAAATTGTTATGACCAGAAAACTAAGAGCATTTCTGATATTACACACCTCGTGTGGTGCTCACATTCAGTTGTAGGGAGTACAATATCAGCAATATTCTGAAAGTAGAAAATTACCAATTGCCAACTAAGTATTGGGTAGCAAAGATATATCAGTGTGAAAAGAAGCAAAAGCCAATAGAAATGTTACTCTGGCAAAAATTGCATATATCTTTCATTCAAGTGAAAGAAAGAATGAACTATAACATACAGTATATCAATTCTTGTAGTGTATGGTACTGCAGAGCCACAAGCCCAAATGCCCATGCTAACCAATGTCTATTGCCAAAAGTGTTTTCAATGAGCTCATGAGTGCCAGAACTAAATTTTGTATCAATGGAAAGTTGCTTGGTTTAATGAGTCTCATGGTTTCCTGAATAAATTAAGCAGGTGGTGTGTGCATTTTTATTCTGTGAAACATTTGAATCTACTATTCATTTAGAAAGTATTTTGTTGCATACCACCAACCTTAGCATCATTGAAGACCAGCTACATCCTTTCATGGTAATACTTCTCCAATAGAAATATCTTTCAACAGGACTATATGCTCTATCACACTACATGAATTTTATGAATTTTATAAGAATACTTTCAAGAGCATTAAGAATATTTCATTGTGTTGCCCTGGACACTAAATTCTCCAGATCTTTAATTCTATTAAGCACTAACAATGTATTTGACCAATAAATTTACTTTGTATAACCTCCACCATGTAACTTGCAGCAATTAAAAAACATGCTGTTATTATCATAGCACCAGATTCCATACCTGATAGGGTAAAAGCTGTTTTTTGGGCACAAGGAAGACTAACACCTTATTAGGCAAGTGTTCATAATGCTTTGTGTTTCACAGTGGGTGCATACACACGCAAGCATTTTTCAAACCTTTTTTGTGAAGATTTTCCAACTGTTCAATCAAGAAAAAAAATCCCCACTTTCTTGCAGATGTATGGGCCAGTTATCTGAGCAATTGAAATAAAGGTTTATTTCTGGTGAAAGTAAATTATCTGCTGACAACAAAGGACAACATAAAAGCACAAGGTGGGAGGGAGACAAACAAAAGAGAACTTTATGCTCCTCTCTTCTGCCATCTTTAAATGAAGATTCTGGTGTACAAAATAATTTCCCTGAAAACAAGATATGATGCTATATCAGATTTCCTGACAAACATATCTTCAGTATATATTTTCTTTATTTTATACTTTCTAATGGTAAATTATCTTTAGGCTTCCTTAACAACATATAATGGCTTTATTAAGCCAATTTTTTCAAGTTTCTTGTATCTCCTATTTTGATAATGAACAAATTCTAAATTCAGATAAATCTTAAATCTTTTAATTATACTTTTTCAGTTTCCAAATATGAACACTGTTTTTTATGTTTCCAATAGAAAAGTCCTTTATTTATCCAAATAACTAAAACATAATATCAGGAAACCAAAAATAAAAATTATTTAAAAAAAAAAATTCTATAATCTGTATCAAAGAGAAGTAGAGAGTGGATCTATTTATTCTACACAATTAAAATTCTTTATATTTTTAAAAGTGTTCATTTTAATCAATTTTAAACAAAAAATACATCTCAAAATGAACATTTCAAGAAAATTCAATGATTGTGTTGAGAAGAAAACTTAAAAGAATCCAGAAAATTTTGTTTCATATGTCCATTAAAATATAACAACTACAAACAAAGCAATAAGCAGAGTGGGTAAGGAAAGGCAATGTTTTTTTTGACACAAGTTTTTTTTTTTTTTTTTAATTGTCTTTTTTAACTCACTTTACTTTTAGATTGAGTTCAAATTAATGAAACAGTCTTACTCTCCTCTCACCTCCAGCTCACAATTACTATGCCTTCCTCTTGTTTTTGGTACTTTAGTATAAACCAGTTCTCTGCCCATTGAGCCAACACTTAGTCATACATTTCTGAGATAATTAAAAACTTACAGAATAAGCATAATCTTCAGCAAAGAGTCTTTCACAGTCGTCTGTATAGATGTGGCCCTAAAAAGAGAAGTTGAGAAAAGAATGTGAAATATTTTTTTCTGACAAGACAAAATAAACAAAGTGAAAAATGTGCACACACACAATTTCCCAATGTCATTGCTTCATAATGCTTTTTAATTTAGTGCTGGTATTCTGAGTGTTGAGAATTGATAATATATTTGATGGCATATAACCCCCATTTCTTGCTAAAAGAAAGGGAGAAAAAATGACTTGACTACCATTCACTAGGCACACAATCCTGGAGATAGTTAACTATTTTATTCAAGTTGTTGTCTAAATGGAATAAACCTAATTGGCTAAAATAGGGATTCAATCTCATCACAATATTTTGACAAAATCAACTTGGGTCTCATTGAACAACTGGCTCACCATAATCGAGTTATTGTTACTACTTTATCTGCAGTTAAATGTAATTAGATTAAAGATAACTGCATATTGAAGGTAGCACTATTACAGTAATAGGTGAGATTATCTTGTTTAAATTATTAGTTGTTATTCTTAGGTTTTCTTTGAATTCATTCTTCATCACCATAATTATCAACACTGTACATGTGTTTATCAGTTCCATTTAGTCAACTGCTTTATACAAGCCGTTGTCTTCCTCCTTCTGGAGATAGACAGTCACTTGAATAAAACAGTTGGTTTAAATAGCAATGCAATTTCATCACAATGTTTTGCCAAGTACCATATCAAAGTAGAGGAACATGTGCCCAATAAATGGTAGTCAATCCCAAAAACTATCCTTGGACTTATATGTAAAATTGTGGTACTTGGTTGTTTAATGTTTCCTTAGAAAGATACAATAGACTATCAGCATTTGTACCAAGCATGATTCTGTTATGTAATATAAAATGTAAACAAAGATGGATCTTATATGCCATCAAGTGCAGTAAGTGGAAATTATAATTGACAACACATAGGATTCAGGTTCATTTATGATACACATCACTCCAAATTTTGTTTGGATAATTGAACTCTTAATTTGTGTTCTTGATATTTTGGACAATCCATTCTCCTTAAGAGAAAATAATTTTCTTCCTCCACCCGCAAACAAAATTTGAAAGGTTAATGATTCTTTTATTGCAGTTATAGGTAATGATATAGTTCAATTCAGCAAGAAATATTTCTGTAGGAATAAAAGGTTAGTGGAGACTATTATAGAATAAGAAATCTCATCATAGCATATAAGACTCAGGAATAGAAGTGCTGATAAAGCACATTTGGTCCCCTGGAAATTGTTCAATATCTGAATCCAGCAATGCAGAAATATACACTAGCTGAATGGACAGAGACAGTTACAAATTCTGAAATCTCTTGGGAAGGACAATGGCTGTTAAAGGTATAGGAATATAGTGGAAAGGCAGATTAACAAAAGAAGGAAGAATTGAATGTTACAGGTTTTAAAATGCCCTACAAAGGATACTGGACATGACAGAAATGAGAACAAAATACCTACTTGAGAGTGAAATAGAGGTGACATTCTGTGACATTCTTGGAAGTTTAGGGTAGAGGAAGGTAAAATGAGTTTAATTGTCATATTTTTAAAGTTTGATCTAAATTAACAGTAGTAAACAGTTTCAAACTGAAGTAATTTTTACTTAGGCTTAAGAAAACTCTATCTGAGATTATTCTTAATACATTAGCTCTCCCAGCACACAAAGATCTGGTAGAGAAGTTTGATTGTTTTTTTTTTTAGTTTTTTTTTTTTGGGGGGGGGGAATCATCATTAAATCCAATTTACCCCATGGTTGGGATAAAATATGTTTCTGATCATTTTTGAAACACTAATGAGACACTTGTTTTAAAACTAACTGAACAGTTTTTTTCCATAACTCTTTAATAAATATACCACTAAAAATATGATACAACAAATATGTGAATATAAACAGTGAGAAAAAAAGGCCACTTTTTAAAATATCCTTATATATACTAGCCTTTGTTTCATCCATCTTGAAAACTAGCAAGACAAATGTTGCTTAACTCATTGCACAAAAGAAAAAATATACACTTTTTTTTAAGAGCTTAAAAAACTATATATATATATACACCAAATAGTTGCAAGCAGCACTATCTTAAAAAACTTAATAATATTCAATATGTGAAGGAACAAATGAAAAACATGATATTAAGAGCTAAGCTTTTAAATAAACTGTTGGTGATCCAGATTTAATGTGATAGCATAAATTTTAAAGTTCAGATATAGTTTAATTTCATAATCCTTTCTGATTGGAACCAATTCAAGCAGTCCAGCAATCATAACATTTTGTAGATTCCAAATGATCTGTTGTTAGCTGGCAGTTCAAGATCTGTACTATTGCCTGATTTTAGTTTCAATTCTTCTAGATCAACACTTACTGCTACTCCTTCATAACTTGGAAATCTATTTGCTAGTTGACCAATGTATAGCTCACTCCATTTCTTACTTTTAAATATTGCAGCATACTAGGAGCCTTTTACTTTTTACTTTTTCACAGGGAGATGGAGACTTGTGTAACACTTTTAAAAAATTGCTGAAGCTAAAAAAAAACTGTCACAGTGACATCAAATTGACTTTTGCTTCATCACAATGAACAATCTCTTCAAGTCGTGTGATGCCATCAAATTGATTTTTTTTCAAAGGTTTCCCTCTATATTTGCACATATAAAATCTATGGCCAGCTAACAAGTAATGACATATTTAGAGTGACAGGAAAAGTTATAAAACCTATTTTCTCTCTCATCACAGAAAACATGAGATTTTGGTTTTGAAAGAAAAATTATGATGCCCAGATTTGATTTTTCATATTAAAAAGCAGTATGAAGACCTTTATGGTGACAATAAAGAAAATCTAAAATAGCAGAAAAAAAAAATTATTTTCACAATTATGACATTTTAGCTTAAAAAAAAAAAAGGGGGGAAAGGGAATGACTGCATGTATAACATCATACATGAACTGTTGTAACATGAAAGACTAAAAACTGATAACTATAAAAAGTCTAAAAAAAACAAAAGAACAACAACACACAATATTATTTAAATAAAATAAGGCATATTTAGCAATAATAATTCTCTCAAAAATGTTTGGTTAAATAATATGGACAAGTTCTATCTATCAATTTTTTTTTTTTTTAATTTTTCAAATTTCCAAATTAGGTATTTTCTGTTAATAAATTTGCCAAAGTTCATATTTTTATTTTATAATATTTTCTTCCCGAGTACTTTCAAATGTTGTTACATTCAATTTTTCATTTTCAAGGATTGTTCCATGCATATTTACGTAACGTTTTTTTTTCTTTTTTTTTTAATTCTGGCATTTTCACATTTGATAAAACCAATTTCAAGTCACTCAAGGCGATGTCAATGTTAGTAACTTTTTTTTTCTTTTTTCTTTTTTACTGTATTAGAGCTATCTTCCTTATAATAAGAACTCCATATGGGGACAATGTCATTGTTATAACAATGCCAGACTGAACATATTTATGAAGCTGGAAGGTGAAAAGAGATTATGAAATACTAGAGTACAACTGGAAAATTATATATATATATATATATATATATATATATAAATTACAAGGCTGGTATAGATGGAATAAACTTCCAGTAACCAAAAACACTATTTTTAAAAAAGTGTTCAATACATATGATAACCTAATATTAGATTTCAGAAAATATCAGTTTTACATATGGCATAGGTATACGTGTAAATAAATATACAAAGTTGTTAAATTAAAGAAACTAAAAGATAGACTGCCTCTCCAGTCCTGATGATTCATTGGCCGTCACAGATCACATTTTAATTCCTGAGCACCTTAGAAAAACAACAATGGATATTAATAAAAACTACAAGTCAACCAATTAATGCTGACAATATATATATATATATATATATAATTTATTTTTGTAATAATACAAAAAACATCTGTTTAACATCTGTTTCCTTACCTCAATCACAACCTATAAAAATAAATAAACTTGATCCCTTTGTAAAAATTTTAGAATATATATTTGTCCATCTGTATATCAATTTTACAAAGCAAATTTATGGTACAAAAGATGAATGTTGCTCCCCCAAAACTATATATTCATATACAGTGGGGAACAACTATGAAAATATGATATGACTGAAAAAAATTATTCTCTTGTCTGTTAATCAAATAACGATTTTCTACAAACATATTTTTTTAGATCGACTTCTTTTATAGTTTAAAATTGTATAAAGCACTGACAGATAAATATCTTTATTTTGGGATTGAGCCACATTAAAAAAATAAGAATTCCTTGATTATGTCATTAACTTAAGCTGTGATACATTTTTCTCTTTCCCCAAGAAACTCCTTTGAGTTCCAATTTGTACAGAAAATGTAACGATTAAATTATTATAAATATAAGAGTTATATTCATCAGGAGTGTTTACCTTAATTCCATTCACTGACAATCCATTCCTTTCTGATATTCAATGCACTTTTATAATCAAATCATTTAGATTATATATACAACAGACCTATTCCACCACTATTGCTTGCATTAATTCCTAACCACTGACAATATCATTTTGTTGTTTTTCAATACATAACATGCAAAATGTGTACCAAAACATTTTAGACATTAATCAATTTTGTTTTTTGGTCTATCTAGTGCCTGAAATATTTAGTTTGATAATATAGAAAATTATTAAAGCTAAGTAAGGAAGTAGCAAAGAAACAATAAAGTCATTGGAAATTAATAAGTCAAAACTTTTCATAAATATACTGGGCTCAAATTTAATTAGTGCTAAAATACACTAATCATTGTTTTTATTTTACCCTTACTGTCAAAATTTGCTGCATATAATTGCTTTGTATAGAATTTATAACAAGTTTTATTACAAAATTGCACCTCCACTTTGTGTCCACATTAATTATATACAAACATGCTTTTCATAGTATTTATACTTTGTTTTTGTAAGTTTTTTTGGAAAAAAATGAAAAGTTGCTAATTACTAAAAATTAAGTAATATTTATATAATACTAAAAATCTG